GGTCGTCACTGTTGCAACGTACAATATTAAGGACTCGACGATTTTACAAAGCTTGATAAAAGTGGTAATGACTTCGTTGGTTGGAGGGAGAGAGAAGGGGGAAAAAAAAACCAACCTCTTTTCCCGAGGATCTTGTTCGAATTTGTCTTGGTGGCGCGGATACTACGTACAACAGGCCCCTTTATCGCCGAGAAGCAACTCGCATTCCTGTATCTCGCCCGCGAGGATTCGACTTACTGTGTTGTACTGACAATGTCTCTCACCTCGAAGCGGTACGAGTCGTGATTCCGAGAGGAAGAGGGGTCTCCTGACTGTTCTGTGGCCGCCAAGCGCACTCTACCCTCCGTTTCCAGACTGGTCTCATGTATGTATGCGCTTCTCCAGTCGCTTGCCGGCGATAGATCTAGATGCAGCATCGTGTAAGCATTGGCTGCACTTAGTCATAGACGCAAGCATGTGCTACCGATGACACCAGAGCCACTGTCCCATCGAGAAGGCTCTGAGGATTCGCCATTGTCTATTGGCAGGTTAGACGCTGGCGCGAGGGCCTGGGCGTGACCGTGAGCGTTGACAGGATAGCTTAGAGGAGGCGAGCGACCTAGTCCTTGATCTACTGAACCAATATCCTGATAAGTCAGGTCGGGAGTCACCCAACACGTGGAAATAGGCTTTCCCCACAGGCCAGGGCGTTGTCGTAGTCGTCGTATGGCAGAGACAGCGTACTTGACCGTACTCGGACTAGAGAGTCTCGAGGGCGCGGGACAATGAATCCACATACTCCTACAACACCCTACTTTTCTCTCACCGCTCCGAGTCCTATGTAGGTATGTATGCACGTATTGATTGATAATGATACCGCAAAGGAGGGTAGGTGAGGGGGGAGGGGCGGTCTGTATGTATGTAGACATCCCATCCAGACTTTGCGGTTGTTGGGTTTCTACGTGTGTATGCAGGCTGCTGGTTCGTTCGCAACGAAGCCCAGTTCAGATGCGATCTGGAGACGCACAATGGAGTGAATTGGCCCCAACTTGAACCGGTGTTGAGTAGAGTGGTTCGCTAGAAAACGCCGAAAGTAGAAAAATACCATCCCAAAAAGAGACTATACAGCATATGGGGTTGTGCGATAGCGGCCCCGAACTCCCCCCCTTGATACCCCGTCGACAAGCCACCCGCACACGGCATGGGAAAATGTCCCTGCGAGCCGTCGTTGGATCGGTTGCCCTGGTTGGTATCGCGCAACGTCGCTGGTGCCGCAGAGACTAGTCGATGAGGATCAACCGTGCAACCAAACGGTATCAATTACTACATTGTCGGACGGGTCCGTTGTTGGTCTCGTGGCCGATGACACTCTGCCGAGCAAGCTCAACGCCACCTTTTCCGTGCCTCCGTACTCTCTGGCCCCCCCCCCACCTCTTCTTCTTCGTCTCGGGCTTTGCAGGTTGGCCGCGATAACTCATCAGGAAGAGGATCTGGCCGCGATTTGCCCGCAGCGAAGTGTGAGCCAGCTCACGAATTAACCAACCAGCTAGACGGACAGCCCGACAGCTGAATCCTCCAGCGCCTCCCTCCTCCACGCGTGCAGTCATCGGCCGTAGATGGAGTCAGTCCTAAAAATGGCATCCGACGGCATTGCGGGCGCGACAGACATTGGCTCGTCGCCGAGATGGGCTCGTCGCCGGGATGGTCCTTGACTAGATTGATTGGCCGTCTGGCCGCAGCGTTGTCGAATTATACTCGCTGTTCGTGTATGCATGTGCCCGAGTCCGAGCTGGCGGGTGGGAGAACTACAGCTACGATGTACGTAGTAGTAGGTAGGCAGTTGAAGCTGAGGAGAATTAAATGACTGCTAGCCACTGATTCGGTAGTTCATGCCGCTGCCCCTTGGCGATCCTGACGGTTGTGGGCTCATATTAAAGCACAGTGAGTTAACTCAGGCCGTTCCTGGCGCCGCTCATTCATCATGTCATTATGCTGAATATACTATATGCTGCAGCCTGTGCCGTTGGGCCGTGTACGTATATGATATATGTGAATACATTGTATCAAGGTATATGGTATGAGTGTATGAGCAAGGAGGAATGAGATGTAGTAGAGGTATAGTTATCAAATCGATGTCGGTGCCCGTCACCACAGAACCGCCCCTTGGACCAGGTACACAATGCATGTACGCATGTACTACATCGCAACCCGGCCAACGCCCTTATGTTGCATATATGAATGTACAATCTGGATACCATCGATATCATCATCATAGACATATCTAGGTGGGTATAGGGATATAAATAAATAAAGTATATTATCTATATGAGTACCTATATATTTGCAGGTCTAAGAGCGGTGCCGTTCCTGGTCTCTGTATCCATAGGAGCGCCACTATATCTAATAAATAAACGTGTATGGATATGCCTGAGGTAGATGTGCATAGTACTGTCTTGACGCGATACCTACCTGATGATATTTCGAGGACCGGCGGATTCTCGCCATCGCTCACTTGCATGAAACGACCAAATCAAAGCGAAGCGCATACCAGGGCGACGGAAATGATGTCAACCCTCCACAACCTGGAAATTGATTTTCACACACACACACATACATACATTATCTCACACGAGGCATACCTCTCAAACATGAGGTTAGGTGCATACATTACGCAGTAATACCTCGCCACACCTACCCTGGCTGATGGATGGTAATGGACGACCCGTGCCTAGGTACTTACCTACAGGTAGATCTCGTTCGCCTTTTCCTGTTCTCCTCCTCATCCTCCTCCTCGCCTACGTCTGGATCCGTCTCTCCCCCTCCTCTGACGCGATGAATTCTGCTAAGGGGTATGAAAAAAAAAGGAAGAGAAGACAAGAAAGACAAAAGAAAAAGAAAGCGGCGGCAAGGGGGCGAGTTAGTTCCGAGCAACTACATATAAACTGGCAAACGGGCTTGATGACATGACTTAGACGGTAGGATGAGAGCTATCAGCGAATCCGTGTCGATCCCCAGAGGGATGACTTTGCCTCCCACACGAGTGGTCTGACCGGCCAGTCATAGCGGCGCATCGCCATCGCCGTTCCTAAGGGCGTCGGAGCAGGATGCGAGCAAGAGGGAGCGAATTGGGTCGTCCCGATCCCGCATGTTTTGCAGCCGTCCGTTGCTAGTCAGACACATACATACAAGACACGCATCTGTGCCTATTGCTTGTCGCCATATGATTGACCACGCACATCTACCTACCGTCCCGCACCGGCCGACAGCTAAATATACCCTCCAGATCTAAATATACCAAGATCGAGCACATAGAATCGGTGATGGGCTGCACGCCATGTACGACGCCGACAGGCAGATCTGTTTAGGTGATATGTGTCGACTCGGTTCCGAGCGAAGGCGGGAGCTGCGCTCGGAATGCCGACATCACACATGGTGATATGTGAGGGTTTTTTGGCATCTGGCGAGGTCGAGACAATCAGCAATGCACACCATGTAATAGATGCACGCACATATGTACATATCTACTCATACCTACCTACCTACCTTAGGTACGCACGCACATGTGAGTAGGCAATAGGTGCGCAAGTAAGGTATGGATTGAATCCTGGGGGGTTGTGTTCGACTCTGAAGTGCCCCGTCCCACCCATTCCGCTTATGGGTCTGTCCCAATTCGCATGTAGCAAAGTCCGTGCAGTGCAGGGCAGGGCAGGGCAGGGCAGGGCAGGGTAGATTCAGGTGCATGTCTTGAGGGCAGATGGGCTTCAGCGAGGAAGAATCAGGTGTTGTCGCACACTTACACGTCCTGCGTTAGGCGGTGCCCTCGAACGCCGACACCGCGCCGAACACCACGCCCAGGAGCACTCAGAGTACCGAAAAAGGTCGACGGGTTTACCAGGTCCCCTCTCCCCTTTCTCAACTTCTCACGGGAGGGACCCAGGATGGCAGGTCGGTAGGGCACATAAACCTTGGGCATAGTGTGGCCGGTATTATTGCAGGGGATGGGACCGGGGCTGGCACACCGGCCACTGCAAATTGCACTTGGCCCGCGTGTGCCCCCGTTCGAGCAGCCCGCGAATGAGACGGTGCAGGGCCGCGTTGGTGCTAGCCTCCACCCCTGCCCAGGCCACCCCTGCACCACACACGCTGCTCCCTGCGAGGCCCTGCTTGAGGCCTGGGCCGGTAGCTGGGGTTGGCGCTGTCACGCCCTCGATAATTAGGGGAGAGAGAGACCCCCTGATGTACACGCCGCGGCGAGAAGAGGTGCGAGGTACATGGATTCTGTCGGTGCCTACAGGGCGGTGGGTGCTTCCGACAGGTACCTCCTTGGACGCCGGGCTAGTGACAGCGTAGTGGCTGCAAGTAGCGCACTACGGTAGGTACCTGGGTAGGCGTGCAGGTACCTGTAATATGCCCACTGAGCACCTGAATGTGCACCCACGGGGCCGCTGGCGTTACAGGGCAGATAGCGGGTGAAGAAGCGAAGCCTAGGAGGGATGGGGTGCTGCCTGCATGGCATAGCATAGCATAGCATGGCATGGCATGGTGCTAGCATGGGAGCGAGCCGACGCAGACAGCCAGGTCCTTCTGAGACCACCACCAAAAAAAAACAAGATACTTACCTGTCTGCTGCCACTCCAAACCCCCGGTAACTCTTCCATAATTTCTCTGCTCAACTCCCAGCGCCCGTCGAGCTGCCGGACCACATCTAATTGGCATTCGTCGCATTCGACCGCTCCGAAGGGGCTCGATATTGGAGAGTGCCGTGAAGACGACGGCCGTTCGCGCTCGAGGCCATTGGCAACTGGGCCTGCTCTTCAAACACGCTGCGACTTCGAAATTTCCGACTAGCCACGGATACGCGGGACCGGACGACACGAGACGAGACTAGGTCGACCTGACGTTGTTGCCCTTGTGCATACCCACGCCCCTACATACATAACAGAGCTTCTATGGCGGTTTGAGTGCTGCGCGCGCGCATTGCACCTCCTGAGACGGCGCCGTAGCTAGCGACACGGCCAATATTCTCCTCCTCTTCTCCTTCCTTCGTTGTCCCCGTGTTAGTCGGTTGCCCTCCCCCCCCTCCCGGCCTTCAATGCGTAAGTCCGCTGCCGTTCGATTTAGCAGGCTTCGATCTGCCGCCTAGTAGAGCGAGCGAGCGGGCGCGAGAGGAAGCGAGAGACGGAGAGACAGAGATATGGAGGTGGATTTTCGAGAACCGCGTTCGACGTTGACGCGGTCGAATCCCAGCGTCCCCCCGACTCCGCGGGGGGACTTGTCCGCGAGAAGTCGGACTTTCCCTAAAGCCGGTGTTCGCGATTCGAAGCTGAAGAGATCACCGCAGCTCGGCGGGTTCGCGGACAAGCTGGCGCGAGCCAGGGCGCGCATACCTCAGTTCAACAGCTCGACGCCCTTATTACCAGCCAGCGAGAGGAGGTCCGGGCCCCACGATGGAATCAAGCCCAGGTGGGAGGTCGATGGCGAGAAGTGGAACATCACGCCGGACGGAGGCTCCGCCGGTCGAGAAGGACGACATTTCACAGTGGCGAACGTGGGAAACAACGGCCAGATATTCTTGAGGTACGCGCGCAACTGAGATGTCGGGCGTCGTTCGCGCCTGTTTACCGTTTTAGCATGCTAACCAAGAGGGCGCCGAACCGAAAAACAGACCCAGCATAAGACCGGCGAACCAGAGGTTTCCGCAGCCCAGCTTCGTATTCCCGAGCACCACGCCGCTGAGTCCCGCAGGTGCAAACTCTTCGGCCCAGACGAAGAAAAAGCCTTACGCGACCAGCGACTTGCTTACTCCTAGCATCCTGACCCCGACCCCCGAAGGCGGGTCTCCGACGCCAGCGCTGCTGAAGAAGAAGACGTACTTCGACTTCAAGACGCCGAAAACTCGAAGTCGCCGCGCCATGTCGGACTCGACCATCCACGACCCGAGCATCGCGCAGGAAGGGGAGGCGGGTGTATTCAAGGTTGTGATCTCGAAGCCGCAGGATGAACCTAGATCTAAGACGGCCGAAGACGCCGGGCTATCCCACGACTCTCTCCTCCAAATCTCGATTCCTTCCTGGAAACTGGGCACGCCCAGGTTCACCCTTAGGGGTACGCCTCTGATCCGAGGCTCGTCCTATGCCCCGACCGAGGAGTTTCGTTCGAGCAGTACCTCCTTCTTTCGACCCCCCCCCGGCGATATAAACTCCCTCCAGACCGACTCCTTGGATCCCGGGAAGCCCAGGACGAATTCGACGCCTCACGTCAACCTGCACTCGCCTGCTCTGCTCAGCCCTAGCACCATAATCACCCCGCGATCCTCCGTTCCTCGGCTGCGGTCGACTTACCTCTCGACCCACCTGGTCATCGTGCCCAGTATGTTCGATGCGCTCACATTTAAGCCGGCGTGTGATGATCGTTCGATCGTCCGTTATTCTTCGGCCACGGGCGCGGTAACAGCGGCTACGCCGCCGCGGTTGGTCGCCGAAATCACGTCTCCCAGTTTTCTCGATTACGAATTGATCTCTGACTTCTTCCTCACATTTCGCGCATTCCTCGAGGCGCAAGACCTCCTCAAGATGCTGGTCGCCAGACTTCGGTGGGCCGTATCCCGAGAGGACGAGACCGGGATGGTGGTGAGGGTGAGGACGTTCGTGGCCATGAGGCACTGGATCCTGAATTACTTCGTCGATGACTTCGTCGTAGATTACCACCTTCGTGTGATGTTCTGCAACCTCATCAACGATTTCGTCGAGGAACTCTCCCACGATGAACGCGGGCGCAAGGTTCAGCTGAAGATTCTTGCCGAGTTGAAGAAATGTTGGAGGCGAGTGTGCGCGCAGTATTGGGATGGCCCGGAGTTCGATTCGTCGCTAGGTCCGGACATCCCCATCGCACCCGGCGGAATCGCTGGCCACCGCGACCCGAGCCTGGACCCTAGCTTCTGGGAAACCGAGTCAGACGAGCCGCCTAACCTGTACGATATCCGTCTCCCGGACTCGCCCCTCGAACAAGGCTTCCTCACAGACGTAGCCGAGCCCGGCCACATCGATTCTGTCCTTCTCGACGGCGTGCGCTCGGGCACGCTAGAGGACGAGCCGCATCCTGCTGCGCCCGAGAGGAGGCAGGCTTCGCCAATTAGTATCGCTAGCCTCGATGTGGTGTCCTGCTCCTTTCCAACCAAGGGATTTCGGGTGGGCGACCCGAGCGCGAGTGCTGCCCTCGCGGCCCATCCCGCCGACCTCAGCGCCGTCCACACGAATACGGATCCCGTCGCCCCTACCCCCCGTGCCCTCACAGGAAAACGTGTTAGACCGCCCACCTCTCATAAACGCAACAATAGTCTTACGGATTCTCTCCGGGACCACGGTTCGGTAACAGAGAAGCTGCTGTATAAGAATGCCGAGTTCCTATTAACCTTGCCGTATGCTGGCAGTCTCGTTCGGGGAAATCTTCTCCCCCCCGGCCAAGCCTTCGTTGAAATAGACCCCCCGAGTCCCTGGGGAGCAACGCGCCATACCACTGTCTTCCAGACGCATCCCGTTGAGGCTCAGAAGGAGAAAGGGCCAGGATCCGCGATGTCGGGTCAGGGTATGAAGAAGCTGATCGGGAGCGTCCGCAGGGCATTAAGCACGAAGGGCCAGGGTGTGTCTCCCACGCACGGCAACTTCATCGACATCGCGCCCATTGGACCGAGGGGCGCTACGACCAACAGGCTCCCAGGAACGGCCATTGTGCCACAAGCGCGCCCACCTCGCGCCAACGGCTCCCGAGCTCCCATCCGTATCGATGTCCTCGGTGCTACGATCGCCGAGGACTTTAAGAAGGCCGTACGGGAGGACGCCATTCCAGAGCTTCCGACCGATTTCATCCCTGATGGTGATACTAAGGAGGCCATCGAATACTCTCCGGCACATCTGGACTCGTCGTTTGAGCTCATGATGAAGAGCGAGGACGCAGTTACGATAGGGAGTAAATCCATTTTCGTCGTCGACGGCAATTTCCCCTCGGACTACCCGGTTATGACCGGTGCTCTGACAGGTCTGAATCCGTCAGTCGAGGCCTTTGCCGAAAGCATGATGCGGACGGGCGATGCCGACCTCACACCACCGACGACCCCTCCCGGGCTTATAGTGCGCGGAAATACGCCGAGGCGATCTTCCTACCTCCTCGGCCAACATGCCTTCGGGTCTCTAGCCTTTGCGAACCCGCCGCCGCCGCTGCCGCCGCCGCCTGTTCCCGATGTAGAGACAATAGTAGGAGAGCGTCCTTCTGAGGAGGCTAACGCAAATCCACGCCCGTCCGCCGAAGCTGTCAAGCAATCACCCCGTAGGCCTCCGGTGAGTTATATAAGACAGCATCAACGTCAAAAGTCAAGTCGCAGCTACCGGTCTAGAGGCTCCACTGTTCATCGTCGGTGGGCATCTTTCCAAAGTGGCATTGCGATGCGGCGGTCGACGGCCAAGAGCTTCGACGCCACTACTTACTCGGAAGGCTCGGTAGCAGGGGAGATCATGCCCCCCCCCCTCAGAGTTCTTCGTAGGAGGCCAGGTGGAGATCTTCGAGGCGCCAGAAATGTTCACGACCTAGACGGCGCACCGATACATAGATCGCGATCTGTGGGCTCCCTGACGACGTATAGCGAATCCATCAGGAGTTCCTACATACGCAGCCCCATCAGAGATTCGAGCGCATTCGTCGACGTAGTTACCAGCGAATATTCGCAGAAACGGGCGGATGTTTTCTCGTTGGGAAACCTAGCCGAGCAGCCACCGAAAGGCGCAATGTCATTATTCAGTACCCACTCGTCAAAACCGATCATGCGACCGTCTTTCGAAGCGGAGGCACAGAAGCTCGCGCAAATCCCCGACGACATAGACGACGACGGAGGCGTCGAGGCCGCTCTTCTAAAACTCGAGGGTAAATTTGAGAAGAAATTTGCCAAGTTGTCTATGGAGCCTTCGGGGATTCCGGCTGGCGATTTGGAGGCGCTCGGAGGTAGAAGCATAACGACTCCCGAGATCGAACACTGGAAGGAGGAAAAACGAAAGCACCGCGAAAATCACGTCGGCGAGGAGGAGGTTTCTCTTGTGTCCCAAATTGGGGGCAACCCCGAGACACGATCTAACGGCCAACTCACGCTTCCCCGAGCCTCCGAGGCTCTCTCGTTCTTAACAGCAGGCTCTAGGGAGACCTATAACTCGATTCCGCTACTCGACCGAGGATTGATGGATGATGTCTGTAGTAAGAAGGGTACCCGAGAGTGGACCGACCATTCGGTATCGATACGACCAGAAACGCTCCCGGACGAGACGAAAGATGGAAGTCTTACTCCGTCGATGTATCCTTACGAATTCGTGCAGGCAGCCGAAAGTGTTGAGAAGATGAACCTGGGTGAAACCGAGCTTGAGGATGGCTCGCGCTTGGACGTGGATGCGGATAGCGATAACGATTCCGCTTTGTCGTCTGAAATGTCTGGCGACGCGCCCGAAGAGGAGGAGGAGGGCGACGATGACGGCTACCTGTTTGGGCAGCCACGTTTGCCGAAGAGACCCAGCCCTATAATTACCAGTTCATCGCCCGACGGTGGCAAGCCTCCCTCTCCTCCCGTAACATTAGCACATGTCAGCCAAGCATCGATAGAACCGGGCAACGTCCCGCAACTACACGAGCATCAGCTCTGGGCGCAGAAACCACTGCCGCCTACCCCTGACACCACACCCACCACGGCTATGCACCACCACGGCTCAGGGTCGGCCGGGGACCCCGCTGGTGCAGAGGAGACACTCCGGGGTGTACCTGACTTTCCCCAGAGAGAGCAGGCGGCCTCAGCGCATCTGCCGTTCATCCTTGCCTTCGACTCTGAGATTCTGGCCCAGCAGTTCACTTTGATCGAAAAGGACGCCCTCAACGAAGTCGACTGGAAGGAATTGATTGATATGCGGTGGAAAGACAGCAGCAACGACTCGCGGTCGTGGGTAGATTTTCTGCGAAACACCGACGCTCATGGCGTCGAAGTCGTCATCGCGCGCTTTAACATTATGGTCAAGTGGGTGATATCAGAAGTTGTCCTGACCCGGAACATGGAGGAGCGGGTCCGTTGCCTCATGAAATTCCTCCACATTGCTGCTCATTGTAGGAAGTACCGGAATTTCGCTACGATGAGTCAAATTGCTATCGCCTTGACATCGAATGAGGTGGCGAGACTATCCACGACTTGGGCCATGGTGCCACCTGGTGACCTGAAGACGATGAGAGATCTCGAGATGCTTGTTTCGCCCACGAGGAATTTTTACAACCTGCGGGCCGAGATGGAAGGCGGGGGTAAAGCTGCCCAGATCGGATGCATCCCTTTCGTCGGCATCTACACGCACGACCTGCTCTTCAACTCGCAACGGCCATCCGAGATCGCTAGCTCGCCGACGACGGCACCTTTGGTCAACTTCGAACGCTGCCGCATCGCCGCCGCCGTGGTGAAGACGCTGCTCCGCCTGCTCGAGGCCAGCACACACTATCAGTTCCAGCCGATCGAGGGCATCACCGAACGGTGTCTCTGGATGAGCGCCTTGAGCGACGAGGAGATCCGAAAGCACTCGGAAAGCCTTGAGTAGCCGGGATCGCCTCCGTCCACGTGTCATCGCACGGCGCTTGTCCAGCTGTCCCATCGCGACTTGTTTCAAAGTACAAAACTTGTATACCATGTGTCCACGATTGATACCATCTCGCCAACTGTTGCCCTCGCATACCCTTTCTGTTTTCATTTCGCATCATCCAACCTCATAGAACGAATTTCGGCCCGCGCAAAGAAAAAGCAAACACCAACTATGTACCAGTACGCACCCAGACTTACTATCTACCCTATTCTTAATATCTTCAAATACGATGCCGCCCGCGGTTCGACACTCTTCTTCGATCGTGTCGCGCATACACGCGCTGGCATACCCGGTTTCTCAGAGAGGAAGCATCGGGCCTTCCCTCAGCACACGCTCACGGATGTGAACTTTTCCTTTTTGCCTCCCTTTCTTCCTGTCCTAATTAGCCGCCCGTCACTTGGGTTCGATCGCGGGCGCGTCTCTCCTCCTTTTTATACCCGCATAGTTGTGTCTTTTTTCTTCTTCGCTTCTTGCACATACCATGTTTTTACTTATTTGCTCCCGCAATTACTTGTCGCACAGACGAATCCATTTCCTTACTTCGCTCTTCTTTTCTCGTAGGAAAGAAAGAAAGAAAACAATAGGGGTGCAAAATGTCCTGGCTCATTGCGTTCAGCAAAAAATACCAAAACACAGAGGCGCTCCCTCCCGGGATATCGGAGGACGAGGGCTAACGCACGCACGCACGGCTGGCGGCGGCGGCGACGATAGAACAGGGGACGGAGTATACGATGAGGCGGGTGGGAAAGGCATCTGCTTTTTTTTTTTCTCTAAGTCTTCTGGTTCGGGTGTTGCTGCTTCTGCTACATCTCCCTGACACACACACACACACGGAGTTTGAGCAGTCCTTTTGTTTGCTTCCGCCTCGCACACGGCTCTCTCCCCTCTTCGGCTCAGGCGCGGAGGGGGAAACGAGATCCGTGTATCTACCTTTTTTTCTTTTTCCCCAAATGCCCCCCGTTTTCTTCTACGAAAGGGGCGCAGGGCGCGGCGGCCGTCGGAACTGGGATAATAGAGGCCGGCGGATTTTGGTTCCCGAGGGTGGCGGAGAGGAGAGACAGAGAGAGAGAGAGAGAGAGAGAGGATGGGGGAGAAGGCGGGAGAACGGCCCTGTTTCTTTTTTTTTCTCTTCAGGCCCGGCTCTCACCCTCCCTCCCTCTTACCCCTGGGTTCGGCTCGCGCGCTGGAACTCGTTATAGTATATATATATAACTACCTCGATACCCCAATTCCAATTCCCATGCTACTGATTCAGCCAGATGGAGCTTGCTTGGTGACGTGACGCGTGCGGAATAGTAGAAGGGTATTAGGTGTAGCTCGGTGTGGGATGTTTAGGAAAAGAAATTCCTACGAGACGCCGAGACGAGTCGAATTTGGACTAGGCAATCGCCGATGGTAAATGCCAAAAATAAAACCAGCATAAATGTAGAGAGGCGGCGAGCACAGTTAATCACGATATCTTCGGTTTCTTCTTTATCTTGCTTCTTGTACTTTATTTTACTTTTTCCTGTCGTTTTCTACTGCTAAGCCTACAGGCAGAGAAGCCGGGCGGGATAACGATTAAGTCCACCCCTTTGACTGCACAGGGCATTCCCCCGAACCTTGCCGGCCGCGATCTTCTCTAGACGAGACGACCAAGCCGACCCGGTCCGGATATCTTTCCCTCATTAGTGCTGTCAAGTTGACCCGATACTCTACCGCTCTTTTTTTAAAACTTTTGGCTGCAGTAGCATTCAACAGAGAGGTTGTGGCGATTAATAGTAGCGGTGGTGGTGTGCGGAATGGAAGACAATGGGGGTTACCAGATGATGTCGTCGACTTGCGGGTCGCTCGCTTCTCCTCCAGGGGTGTGTTGCTGACCGGAGCCTGCCAGTTCCTACCAAGAGTCCTTAGCTTCAGCAGTACCCCATTCGGCCGTCGGCGCGTTCGTAGCACCAGCCCACTCGTCGTTCTGGCCGTCCCAGCCGCCGGCTTGGGCAGCAGCGAAGCCGGGCGGAGCAGCCTCCCAGTCAGCAGGGGCGGCGCCCCCGAAGGTTGCAGTCTCAGCAGCAGCGGCGACAACTTCTTCGGCGGTAGGTATCTTCTCCTCCTCGATCTTCTCCTCGGCCTCAGCCTCAGGGTCGCGGTCTGAGAAATCGTGTTAGTTCAATGTCCCGGCCGCTGGATCATGATGAGAGCCCAATTGAACATACAGAAGTACAGATCCACCATGACGTCCCAAGGTGTGTCGCGGGACGCAATGGTGCCGCGGATGCGGAGGACCTCTCGAGCCAACATCCACCAGACACAGCCGATAGCGTGGCGACCCTTGTTGTTGGTGGGGATGGCGACGTCGACGTACTCGGTGGGAGAGTCGGTATCGCAGAGGCCGATAACAGGGATGTTGACGTAGGAAGCCTCTTTAATAGCCTGCGAGTCGGTGCGGGGATCGGTGACGATGATGAGGCGGGGTTCCTTGAAGGAGCGGGTGATGTAGTTGGTGAAGGAACCGGGGGTGAATCGACCGGCGATAGCGACGGCGCCGGTGTGAGCCGCGAACTTCAGAACGGCACGCTGGCCGTAGGGACGAGCGGAGATAACACAAATATCGGCGGGGTTATCGACGGCGGCGATGATGCGGGCGGCCAGAACAATCTTCTCCCTGCGACGGAGGGGTTTCGGGTCAGCATCGACTCGACAATTGCGCTCCGTCCAGCGAGCGCATCGGGTAGGGAGGGATAAATTTACCAGGTCTTGCCGATGTTGATGACGTTGACGCCGTCGGCGCGGGTCTTCCACAGGTAGGGCTCCATGTGCACCTGCAAGTTCTTGGAGCCTAGGTGGGATTGCGCGGCTAGGAGCATCTCGATGTCCTGGGACGTCGCGTGCATCGACGCGGGGAGGTTTGAGGGCGCCATGATGTGCAGCAGAGCGGAGTTGCAAGTCTGTCTGGTCTTACAGAACTTTGCGAGAGAAGAAAGGAAGAAGGAGGACGACGAAAGGGGGAGGAAGACGAGTTCGTCGCGCGGTCGTACTTTGGGAAATGCTGGAAATTTCCCAGCAAGGGAAAAAAGCTGGCGCTCGGATTTGATCGCCCACACAAATTGATTTGCGTGCTGGTGCGAGCGAGTAAAGAGCTTAGGGTTTTGATGCGCTAGCCTGTGTCGGTACGAAGCCTTACTATATTCCGAAAGGGCGTCTTAGGTAAGGTACCTAACCCTTGTACATAGGTATGTATGTACCCATGACGTTCCAATGAGACGTCAGCTTCGGATGGCGGCACTAGCATCCCCCGATCCGTGATAGGAGAGTGTACCCAAGGTACCTCCCGACCGCCGAGCTTCAATTGCTGCATGTCCCGCGCAAAGCCAAGAGCCGATCGATCAAAACTGCTGCCATGTAAAAAGTCCATCCTCGACAGAGATCCGCATACGCAGCCATGCCGCCCCGAATATCAGGCCTGCAGCGCCTGGGCGCATTTTCTCGTAAGTCGGCCGAGCCAGGAAACCGTCACTTCGAATTGCTGCGTTAAATGCCGTTCTCCATTGACAATGGCCCGATAGCATGTCTGCGGCCGGCCGCAAAGTCCTCGCCCACCCCGTCGCTCCTCCCGATCACCCAGACGGCGTCCCTGTCGCAGAAGGAGAAGAAGCGCCTGGCGAAGCAGGATCCCTACCGGTGGGAGCAGATGCAGCAGCGCAAGGCCGCCCACCTCAAGATCCGCGAGATAATCGAGGCCCGTCGCACCTCGCTGCGCGGCGACCCCGTCCGTGGTATCACGACACCCTTCGTCGAGTCCTTCGACTCCGCCGGTCAGGCGCCCCTGTCGCGGCCGCGCCTCGACGCCGAAGGCCAGCCCATCGAGGAACCCTACGAGCTGCCGACATCGCCTCACATCCTCAACCACCTCGTCCACCGCGACGAGCTACAGTCCGCCATAGACAGCGCCTACACGCTGACGCGGCCGATGCCACCCGACCACGGGGACTTCGAGCCGCCGCCGCTGCCGCCAAAGCCTAATCCAGATGCGGAGGCACAGACGGAGGGCACAGAGACACAGGTCGCAGAGATACAGGTGGAGGGTGCGGTAACGGAGGTGGAGGGCGCGGTGACGGAGGTAGAGGGCACGGTGACGGAGGTGGAGGGCACGGTGACGAAGGTGGAGGTGGAGGGCGCGGTAACGGAGGTGGAGGGTGTAGTGACGGAGGCGGATGGTGCGGTGGCGGGGGTAGAGGGTATAGTAACGGAGGCGGAGGTGGAGGGCGCAGTAACGGAGGTGGAGGGCGTAGCGACGGAGGCGGACGGCGCAGAAGAACAGATAGAGCGAGCGGAAGAAGCGGAGCCAGCGCGACCGCCCATCTCGCCCGAGTTGGAGGAGGCGCTGCGGCTGCACGACGAGCGGCACGCGCTGGCGGTCGAGGCGCTGAACCGCATCACGCGGCTGGAGGCGGGGTCGGCGAAGGACCGGCTGCACGCGAACATCCGGCGGTGCATAGAGACGTTCGGGCGGCACGAGACGGACCTGGTGCTGCGGCCGCGGGGGCTCTCGCGGGGCCAGGAGCCCGTGGAGCGGCCGGTCCGCGGCGGGCCCGACACCGGCAGCAGCGAGGTCCAGATCGCCATCCTCACCGCCAAGATCCGCGCCCTCGCCAACGAGCTCGAGTCCGGCCGCGGCTACAAGGACAAGGTTGGCAAGCGTGACCTCCGCCTCCTCGTCCACCGCCGCCAGCGCCTCCTCCGCTACATGGAGCGCAAGGAGCGCGGCAGCGACCGCTGGAAGAACCTCATCGAGACCCTCGGCCTCACCCCCGCCACCTGGAAGGGCCAGATCACCCTGTAGAGAGACGAGCGGGGAGGAGGAGGCTATAAGGAAAAGAAGAGAGAACCCCCGAAAACTAAACGAAAAGAAAAGAAAGAAAAGCCTCTAGGTAGCCTGTGTGCTATTTGGAAGTGTATCATATCATACTTCTAGGCGTCCTAGATACATATTTTGCGAAATACCAATAAACCTGCTTATGTATAGTACAACACGGCACCGGCGCTGGCCGCCATCCTATGAGGGAGAGCTGTCTCTTCCATAGAATTAACCAACTATTCGCTCGTCCATCCGCGACATCGATCAACCGCCCCATACCAGTCAAGATAAACATGGCGCCGTTTTTCTGCTTCGTTCGTTCGTTCGTTCGTTCGTTCGATTTGAGAAAGAGCGCGGGAGCAATCGTGCCGTGACGACTCATACAGCTTTCGGACGCGTAGTTCCCCTTTGGTATCCCGATCCATTATTTCTAGTTCTATAAGGCTCGCGCGGGAAGCGTAGGGAGAGAGAAAGAGGAGGGCAGATGAAGAATTAGAACACGCTGATATAGTTTCCGATCCTCTCTTTCTGATTTTGCGCTATGCACTCGGCGATCCACGTGATGTTGCGTATTTCCTATCGACCGTTGTTAGCCCCGATGCTTTCGCTACAGTATCGTGTGGCGAGGCATGCTGCTTGAGGAGGGGAGACTTGGGGGGGGGGGTGACTCACTTGTTCCCTAAGCTTGACCCACGCGTAGACGATGGCGTACGTGAACTGGCGGGTGAAGGCGCTCTTCGAGATCTCCATCTCCTTCTGGTAGAACATGTCCTCGAGGCTGCGCTCGCCGCCGCCGGGCCCGCCGGCCATGTTCCCCGGGCCCGAGGGACCGCCGCCGAGCCCGGCGGCGTCAAAGAAGCCGCGGTAGTCGGAGACGCCATCGACGGCGAGGCGGACGCCTTCGAAGTCTTCGGACCGCGAGAGCAGCAAGGTGCCCTCGGGGTAGAGGCGGCCGAAGGTGGGGTAGAGCTTGTTACGGTCGGCCTTGCTCAGCTCGGTGCCGAAGGAGTTGAGGGTGATGTTGATGGCGCGGCGGTCGGCCTCGAACTCGAGGATCTCACTCATGACTTCGGCGGTCGGCGTGCCGGCCATGTCCGGGTGGGAGTTGACGAAGCGGTAGAAGTCCTCGAGGTAGTTCTTGTAGAGGGTATTGCGCACGATCTCGATGTTGAGCTCATCGAGGTCCTGGTGGCTCAGGCTACCCTTAAAGTAGGGGGCGAGAGGGGTCTCGATGAGGACGCTATTGTAGAGATCCTCGATGTTGGTGGCGACGCAGAGTACGGGCATGGTCTCAAACCAGCCGAGCGGGTGGCAGCGGTCGAGCAGCTCGCGTGTGTCGCGCTCGTGCAGGGTGCCGGTGATGAGCAGGGCCACGTTGTCGATCATATAGCCGTACGTCAGGTAGTCGAGGAACTGGGCGAGCGATCCCACGGCGTTCGCGCGGACATAGCGAAACTCGGATACGAGCTTGTCGGTCGTCTTAGCGGCGAGGCTGGAGGTCGATGGGTTCGGCGGGAGGGAGGCAAGAAAATCGCCGTAGGCAGGGCCCAGTTGGAGCTTCAGATCTAACGTGGACAGGAGGCGGGTCTGCGGTTAGATGTTGTTCTACCGCGTACTCGACTCGCGCTTGTGCGTAGTCTTGTTGTGCTATGGACAAGCATGGGAGGGACGTACCGTCGATGGTCTCGCACTGGGTCAGGTTAGAGTAGTTGATGCTGGTGAGCAGGCCATTTCTATACCCTCGCACAATGCCCTCGATATAGCTAGCAAGAAGCGTCAGCAAGAACTCATCTCGCGATGACGACTAACGGATCGGGGATGTCGTTGCGAAGGGGCTCTTACCCGGCATTGACATTGAAGAAGAGGCCCTCCATAGCGGCGGCGGCGGCGGCGGTGTATATGAGTATATGTAAGTTACGGCTGTGGGTGGGCGAAAGACGAGCGACCCCTTCGACGTAAAGAATAGGATGATGTTGTTGTACGGTGTATTCTCCCGGATTGGTTGTGGTATGAGGTATGTACTTAGGTCAGGTTGTGTGCTGTACGGTGTACGAAGGTGTATATAGACAGTATGGATAAGCAGATGAGCAGGGACCAATCAGCCCTGTACATGCGCTGCAGCTGAGTCGGGGAAGCTAAAGATGCTGTACGTACCTAGCCTAGCCTATCTGGGACTGGAGGTCAGATACCCGGGCAGGTACCTATGCTACGTATTCTGCTAGTTGCATACATATGTATAGTATTCTCTGTATTTACTAAAGCATGTGTACGTACACGCATTTGCTACAGTATTCACTAGATGCATTCATTCGCTCGCAGTTACCCCTTTAACGAGGTGCTATCCGTTTTGGCTAGTGTTCATTGGCCCCCCACGATTCGTATGGCCCACTCTTTTTTCAGAAGCTTTCTTTTTTTTTTCCCTGGACCTTTTTTTAATAGTCGAATAAAATTTTACAACCAGTAGAAGCCTCCAACTCTTCTACAGCTTTGGAGTGGTGAAGCCATCCATCCTACCGTATCTCCTAACAGCATTCATAACCCAAGCCAGGCCCAGCCGCCTCCGCGAAAGAGGACCTTTGCAGGATACCACAAGCCATCTGTGACTTATCCCAGTCCTGCAAATATGCCTCTCTTCGTCCTCGCCGAGACGCCTGCGGGGTGAGGAGTCCTGTTGTTCCCAGCTCGCGCGCATCGTGAGAATCCTGCTAACGGTGTCGTGACCAGCTACGGCCTGTTCAAGGCGAAAGACAAGAAGTTACTATCACGCGATGATATCGTCGAGCAGCTTTCTGGCGCCGAGGCCATCAATTCGATGTGAGTCGCTGTTTGTGGTGGTGGATTGGCCCGGCCACGTCTGCTCACGTGGGATGTAGGTTGTCGCTCAAGAAGATGGTCAAGTTCGAGGACTCGGCCCAAGCCCTCAGCGAATATACCTCCCTGACGGAAGGAAAGGTCACCCCGATGCTACAGAACCTACTCGATGACATCAAGGAGGAACGGAAGGCGTCGCTTGCCGTTGCCGACCCGAAATTGGGCACCGCGATCAATCTTCTGCCCCAGCTCAATATCACTCCCGTGTCCGACTCGAGCACGAACGAACTCTTCCGCGCCATCAGGACATATCTCCCCGAGCTGTTCCCCGACTTGGACAACAACTACTTGGGCAATATGGCCCTCGCCCTGTCTCATTCCATCTCTCGCCACAAGCTCAAGTTTTCTCCTGACAAGGTGGATGTGATGATCGTCCAGGCTATTAAGCTGCTCGATGATCTTGATAAGGAGCTTAATAATTATGCTATGCGAGTTAAGGAGTGGTACGGTTGGCACTTTCCGGAGTTGGATCGCATCGTTAACGACAACCTCGCCTATGCTCGCATTATCTTGCTCATGGGCATGCGAGAGAATGCCGCCAACACCGACTTCTCCGAGATTCTCCCCGAAGATATCGAGGCTCGAGTCAAGGCTAGCGCCGAGATCAGCATGGGCACCGAGATTCTCGAATTCGACCTGGAGAATATTAAGCTCCTCGCGGAGCAGGTCATCGGGTTCACCGAATACCGCCAGCAACTTTCGCAGTATCTATCGTCGCGAATGAAGGCGCTCGCGCCCAACTTAACAGAGCTTATAGGCGAGCTAGTCGGTGCCCGTCTTATCGCCCACACCGGCTCGCTTCTCAGGCTCGCCAAGAGCCCGGGTAGTACCATCCAGATTCTCGGGGCAGAGAAGGCGCTCTTCCGGGCATTGAAGACGAAGCATGACACACCCAAGTACGGCATTATTTACCACTCATCTCTCGTGGGACAAGCGACTGGCAAGAACAAGGGCAAGATCGCCCGTACCCTTTCTGCGAGAGCCGCCTTATGTCTGCGTGTTGATGCTCTATCCGAACTCAGCACGGAGGGTATCGACGGTGCGGATATTGCCGTGGACGACGACGAGAGGGCAGACATGGGCATTCGGTTCCGCGCAGCACTTGAGGACAAATTACGAAAGTTGGAGGGCAAGCCGTTGATATCTAAGGGCGTCAGAATCGCTCCAAACGGCACCGTCCCGTCCACCAAATTCGAAATAAAGCCCACGCGAAAGTATAATGACGCTGTAGACACCATCGCCACGCACATAAAGACCCCAACCAAGCCCTTAATACAAGAAGTAGAGGATATTCCGTCGGGTAATGCGGAGGAGGCAGAGGCCGAGGATGAGGATGTCGAGATGGAGAGCACGGAAAAGGGTAAGGCACTATTAACAAGGCGCAAAGGTCACCATTAGCTAACGGAAAAGCAGCAAAACCAAAGGAGAAGAGCCTGAAGAAGAAGGACAAGAGCAAAAAGAAGGTTGTCCAGGAGAACGGCGATGCCGCGTCCACCCCAACACAACCCGGCAAGTTGTCCGAAGCCGAATACGCCCGACTAGCAGGAGAAGCAGGTATCTCGGTATCCAAATTCAAGCGCAAGTTCGAGCGTGGCGACATCAAGATGAATGTGGACGGGACGCCTCAGGTGGTGAGCAAAAAGGAACTGAAGAAGTTGAAGAAGGCGGAGGCTAAAGCTGCTGAGGCTGAGGAGGAGGAAAATGAGGGCCCAAGCAAGAAGCGAAGGCACACCGAAGATAGTTCAGAGAAGAAGAGCAAGAAGAAGTTGAAGAAGGAGAAGTCCTGATAAACGTTCCTCACGCTCTTTCTTTCCCTCTGTACTATACCATCAAAAAGTGCAGTTGCTTTAAGTCATGGACGGCGGCGTTCCGGGGTCATACCAGGCTCAGTCTCGGAGTTGGAATACTTTGACAGATAGTTGCGTGGCTCGGGATTGCTTCAATGCGAGCTAGGCAGTTTCGCGCGTTGCGATCTCTCTTTCGAGTTCATAGTAATCGTGCTATCTATCTACAATACTTGCAGCTCTGTTGACATACCTAGACTCCAAAGAACAGGGCGCGAGCCGAAGAGGGAGAGCATATCTCCGCGGGAACCGACGGTCCACGCGGTGGAAGGCGTCGCCGTCCTGGAGGAGTATGTTCCATACCTTTCCACGGGCAGCCTACGAGTGAAGCCTCGATCTTTCCTATGTTGCTCGTCGTGTTGACCGATTGATCTCACTACGTACAGTAGCTTCTAAGCGACGCGGCTCTCGGCTAGTAGCTGTTGCTAATGAAGCTAACCCTTGGCAATCTAGATTCTTCGTCTTGGCAGGCGCCCGCGGAGACCGAATGACTGGGCAGAAACGGGGACCGCGGGCGAACGATCCCTATAGGAAAGCTAGTCTTACACGGCGTATTATCTGGCCCTAGACAAAATAGGGTCTACTGCTGTCCTCGTCTGGGGAACCCCATATTTTCTTTCGAGGCATTGCAAGGCCTGGATGTTACCGACAAGTCACTCGACTGGCTCCATATTCTATGCTGAGACGGCGGGCTAACGCTGGCGAGTTTGATGGCCGCTTTGGTAGGTATGTCGTCACCAAGGTTTTCGAGGGCGGGGGCCACGGCCTCGCGGCTCATGCCTGTATACCTATATATATCCGAGTGAGCCTCAACATGGCATGATTCCATCTCTTCCTAGGATATAAATCTCTTGACGGCAGCCCCTACTTCCATCAAGTCTCGGACGCGTACCGTTCAGACAACCACAGACGGCAACTATTAGGAGCGAGGTTGAACGTGCCCAAGAGTATGACCGTCAATACAGAAAAGACATCCCCCGAGAGGGGGGCCATGTACGCAGACGACAGCAGCTTCGTCGAGGAGGATGAGCTGGACCAAGTAACAGCTTTGGCTCGACGTACGACGACTACGCAGTCACCGGACGGGAACCATTCAGACGTACCCAACCCGCTCCGACCCGTAAAGGGGACGAAGCTAGATCCATTCTCACACACATTCGACGTATCGGCATGGACGAAAGCCTTTATGGACATGGTCGAGACTGACGGCCGCATTCCGCGGCGGAGAAGCGGCGTCGCCTTCCGTAACCTCGACGTCTACGGCTACAGCACGGGCTCCGAATACCAAGCGAGCACGGGAAACATACCGCTACGCCTGGCTTCGTATCTGACTCGCCAGTTTCGCGGCAGTAGCGGCGGCGCCAGCAGAGGCCGCCAGCGGATCGACATCCTACGCGACTTCGAGGGTCTAGTGGAGGAGGGCGGGATGCTCCTCGTGCTAGGTCCTCCAGGCTCGGGTTGCTCGACACTCCTTAAGGCGCTAGCAGGCGAGACACGGGGCTTACATGTCGGCAGTAACGCACATATGAACTTCAGGGGTATCCCAGCGCAGCAGATGCACACGCAGTTCCGGGGCGACGTGCTCTACAACGCCGAGGTCGACGTCCACCTACCTGCGCTTACCGTCGGCGACACGCTCGACTTCGCGGCGCGCGCGCGGGTGCCGGCGCGGGTACCGCAGCTGGGTCTGACGGCGGCCGAGTATGCGCGCATCGTGCGCGACGTGACCATGGCCATGTTCCGGATCACGCACACGGAGAACACGAAGGTCGGCGACGACTTCGTGCGCGGCGTCTCCGGCGGCGAGCGCAAGCGTGTCAGCATTGCCGAGGCCTCGCTCACCGGCGCCCGGTTCCAGTGCTGGGACAATAGCACGCGCGGCCTCGACAGCGAGAACGCCATCCAGTTCTGTCGGAACCTCCGCGTCCAGGCCGACATCAAGGAGGTCGTCGCCGCCGTCGCCATATATCAAGCGCCCCAACGCGCATACGAACTCTTCGACAAGGTCATCGTCCTCTACGAAGGACGCCAGATATTCTTCGGAAGGGGCCAGGACGCGAAGGCTTACTTTGAGGGGTTGGGTTTCGAGTGTAGGTCACCTCTACAATCTTCCCCTCATCTTCCATTTAAAATGATCAATTTCATAGACTAATTAATGGTTATTCCTATCCGCAGGCCCTCCTCGACAGACTACGGCAGACTTTCTAACATCGATGACATCGCCTCAGGAGCGCCGTGTTCGCGCCGGCTACGAGTCCAAAGCACCCCGTACACCTGACGAGTTCGCCGCATGTTGGAAAGCATCGAACCCACGCGCGCAATTACTAGCAGATATCGAGCGGTACGACCAAGCACACCCCTCCGCTGATCGTCTAGCCGAATTCTCAAGCAGCCGTGCCGCGGAGCGGTCGTCGATGCAGCGTCGCAAATCGCCGTACACGCTGTCGTTCCCGCGGCAGGTGAACCTATGCCTCTGGCGGGGGTGGAAGAGGCTGGTCGCTGACCCAGGCTACACCATAGCGCAGCTGATCTTCAACCTAGTGATTGGAATTTGCATCGGGACCGTGTTCCTCAGGCTCAAGAACGACAGCAGCACGTTCTACTACCGGGGCGCCATCATCTTCACTGCGCTGCTGTTCAACGCGTTCTCGAGTCAGATGGAGGTGCTGACGCTATACGCGCAGCGCCCAATCGTCGAGAAGCACGAGCGCTATGCGTTCTATCATCAGGCGGCAGAGGCCGTGTCAAGCTACGTGACGGACCTGCCGTATAAGACGATCAACATGTTCATGTTCAACTCCATCATCTACTTCCTGGCTGATCTGCGCCCAGGCGCGGGGTATTTCTTCTTCTTTTGCCTGGCCTCGTACCTCGTGCTGCTGGTCATGTCGGCGCTGTTCCGCCTCATCGCTTCGATCACACGGACATCCCACCAGGCCATGGTACCGGCAGCCGTACTCGCAATTGGCCTCATGGCTTACGCCGGCTTCGCCGTCCCGACCCCTAACATGCTCGGCTGGTCACGCTGGATGAACTACATCAACCCCCTCGCTTACGGCTTCGAGGCGCTCATGGCGAACGAGTTCAGCGGCCGCGAATTCCCCTGCGCCGTTATGGTGCCGTCGGGCCCTGGTTATGACGAGCTGCCGCTCGAACATCGTATCTGCTCCGTCACCGGGGGGGTCGCCGGGTCGAGCCTCGTCAGCGGCGACCGCTTCATCGAGTCATCGTATGACTACTGGAGCAGTCATAAATGGAGGTATGCTTACCCGTATCTCCAATCAAACATAATGCCTCGGTAACTAACACGTATTGTCTAGGAATATCGGCATCCTGTTCGGATATCTCGTCTTTTTCCTCGGCGCTTACTTCATGGCGGCAGAATATGCCCTGCCCCAGAGAAGCAAGGGCGAGGTTCTCGTATTCAGGCGCGGCAGCAAGCAACTTCATTCGAAACATTCACACACTGACGTAGAGTCCGGGCCTCAAAGCTCCCAGCCACGTCTCGCAGACTTGAGGAAAGGGGGTGACGCTGTCGCGAACAACGAACTGCAGTTAGCGAAGGTCAAGCCCAGCGACTCGGACAGGAAAATCTTTCACTGGGAAGACTTGTCCTACGATGTCCAAATAAAGAGGAAGACTCGCCGTATCCTAGACCATGTTGACGGCTGGGTGCAACCGGGCGTGACAACGGTCCTGATGGTAAGTAAAAATGAGTAACTTGTAACTTGGAATATTGGATATAGCTGGGTCGGACGGAGGCTCACCAGCGCCACCGCAAACGATAGGGTTCTTCAGGTGCAGGCAAGACAACTTTGTTAGACAGCCTAGCAGCTCGCGTAACGACGGGGGTAATCTCTGGAAGCACCCTTATCGATGGCAAGCCGACGGACCGGTCGTTCCAGAGCCAGGTCGGATACGTACAGCAGCAGGACTTGCACCTCGAAACGACGACGGTGCGTGAGGCGCTCGAATTCAGTGCGGTATTACGCCAACCGGCGGGAATCCCGCGGGAGGAGCGAATAGCGTACGTTGACGAGGTGATTAAGATGCTCGACATGGAGGACTTTGCAGACGCGATCGTCGGCGTGCCGGGAGTCGGGCTTAACGTCGAGCAGCGGAAGCGGCTTACGATCGGCGTCGAGCTCGCGGCGCGCCCTGAACTGCTCATCTTCCTCGACGAACCGACTTCGGGCCTCGACTCGCAGACGAGCTGGTCCATCTGCGACCTCGTCGACCGCCTCGCCAAGAGCGGCCAGGCCGTCCTCTGCACCATCCACCAGCCGTCCGCCATGCTGTTCCAGCGCTTCGACCGCCTACTCCTTCTTGAGAAGGGCAAGACGGTCTACTTCGGAGGTGAGTATCTGCGCTCATCTACTAGTTAGGGTGTTAGGCTGACTGACTCGCGTACGCAACAGAGATCGGCGACGATGCCGCGACCCTGATCGACTACTTCGAGCGTAACGGTGCACCAAGATGCCCGCCGGAGGCCAACGCCGCGGAGTGGATGCTGGGGCTGGCAGCCGGGGCCGACGAAGAGTCGCGGCGGTCGGAGATTTGGCGGGCGTCACCTGAGTATACGGAGGTGAAGGCAGAGCTCGCGCGACTGCGCGCGCGTAGCGGCAGCGGGACGAGCGACTCTCAGCCGCCGCACAAGGCGCCAGCGAGTTACGTGACGCAGTTCCGTGCAGTGTTCGGTCGCGTCGGGCGGCACTTCTGGCGGTCGCCGGTGTACACGTGGTCGAAGATACTGCTGACGGTGATACCGGGACTCTACCTCGGCTTCACCTTCAGCGCCTCCGATCTGAGCCTCCAGGGCCTCCAGAACCAGCTCTACGCCTTCTTCATGTCGCTCGTCCTACTCGCCAACTTCAACGAACAGATTATGCCCCACTTCATCCCCCAGCGCGCCATCTACGAAGCGCGCGAGCGGCCGTCCAGGATCTATCACTGGTCAAGTGAGTTCTCCTTTTTTTTTCCCTTTCCCCGAATGCCTCGCCCTGAGATAGGAACATAAGCTAATGGCTTAGCCTACGTTGTATCCAATATCATTATCGAGATGGCATGGAATACGCTCATGGGCGTGCTACTGTTCCTATGCTGGTACTACCCCGTGGGCTTCTACCGCAACATGACAGACGGCGACGTGAGCCAGAGGTCGGGCCTGGTGCTTCTAATACTGTGGCAGTACATGCTGTTCGCGAGCACGTACTCGCACCTGGCGATCGTGGCGATCGACACGGCGGACCTGGCGGCGGTGCCGGCCTCGCTGTGCTGGTTCATCAGCATCATGTTCTGTGGCGTTGGTGTCCGGCCCCCGGATATCCCGCACTTCTGGCAATTCGCATTCCGTGCGAGCCCCGCGCGCTACCTCGTCTCCGGCGTGCTCGCTCCGGCTATGCACGGCTCCGAGGCCGTCTGCGCCGCCAACGAGGTCCTGTGGCTTGCCCCGCCCGGGCCCCCTATCGCCCCCGCCAACTTGACGTGTGGCCAGTTCCTCGGGCCTTACGCCGAGGCCGCCGGCGGCAGGATCCTCGACCCGCTGCAGGCGACAGGCCAGCCGTGCGGGTACTGCAGCGTCAGCAACTCAGACCAGTTCCTCGACTACTTCGGCATCCAGTACAGCGAGCGTTGGCACAACTTCGGATACCTGTGGGCGTATATCGTGTTCAACGCCGCCGCGGCGTGTCTACTGTACTGGCTCGTGCGGATGCCGAAGGGGAAGAAGCGCGCTACGAAGAAGGAGTAGGCGTACATTTTGAGAATAGGAGGAGGGAACAGTGGATGGAAATAGGGACGGTTCCCCCCGCCCACCTTATTTCCTAAGGAGAAGCAAAGTATTGAGAGAGAATTAGAGCACAGAGTACATAGCTGGAAGGGCTATCACATAGACGGTGTGGCGTTCCGGCAAGTCTAGGCAATTTATATGTTAATTACAGGGGTGAAGATAAAAAGAATCATGCTTCGTTGCATAGGACACAAGAGCCAGATAGAAAGAATTATATTCCTGCCAACGCTGTGGCCAAGAACCTCTGAGACAGACATCTGTTAGTGAATCTATTAATCAACATCTCAGCCGTTACACAATGCCCAGCCTTGGGGGTGAAAGGACAACATTAAGGAAGTTAATATTGGACACTGAGTCATGATCCTGAGCAGCAGCTTTCCTGAAGTCGCTGTGAACCATGTAACAATAGCAGCGACAACATCACAGGTCGACGGCCTGTGACCAAACAGAGCAGACGATCAACGTGCCAGTTGCCTATAGTAAAACCAGGAGCGTTTTTGCTAACTGAAGTCATTGCGAACTTTAGCCCCTTTCATGTCCCACACTCAGTGTAGCTTCGTAATTGGTATATCGGAAGTCATAGGCGCAAGAGAAAAAGAGTACAGGGAAGCCAGTTTGGAAAACAAACACCGGTTGCTGGGGGTCGTGGGTATTTTGTGCAAACGGCGCATCGTGAATCCCTCCACAGTTGGGGGCATGGCTTCGGTAGGTGTCGTATCTCCCAGCTCCGGCTCACTCGCAGGGGTCGGCGCCGTACTCGACGAGGACGCGGCCCTGGAGCTCCCGGGTGATGGCGAGGTAGGCGAAGACGGCCTGGCCGCGCCAGGAGCCGAAGCGGTACTCGCAGCGGGCGATGGGGCCGCCGTAGCCGGGCACGGTGCCGTGGTCGATGATGGTGTCCACGTCGAAGACAAACTTGGTGGAGAAGTAGGCGGTCAGCGCCTCGGGGCTGACGACGTCGGGGTCGCCCGCGACCAGGATGACGCGGCTCGCCTCGGGCGGCCCGTCGCCGGCCACGCGGTTCCGGTTCCAGAAGACCTGCGGCGCCGTGCCGCACACGCGGAAGCTGCCGCGCTGGCCCGCCCGGTACAGCGTCTCGGCGTCCTCGCGCCGGAAGAAGCTGAGGGACGCGGCGGCCGTGCTGCGGCCCTCCGTGGGCCCGTTGACGACGGCGGAGCGCACCTTGCCCGTCTTGGTGATGGCGGCCAGCAGGGCCGGGATGGTGGTCGAAGCTGGCAATTTTGTTATCCAAAGGCTCGTATTGCTTTCCTCCGGTACGTGCGTGCCCTTGTTGGCAGCGAGGCTCGAGTCCCCGCGGTAGTTCCCCTGGAATCTGCCTCCGCCGCTGGCGTTGAACGCTGCGCCAGTGAGTTGGTCGGATGGGGAGAAGTATTTTTGGTCCATCTGCTAGTGCGGCGTGAGCACCTGTATAACGAAATATCAGAGGGGAGAGGTAGGGTAGGCTGTAGAGGGGATATACATACGTTGAAACTCGTTAGCACTGTTGAGGAGGGGGAAGCCTTCTCCAGAGGTAGTTCAGGAGAGTCTGTGTTGGCGAAGGGCGGAGAAGGTTGCTAGAATGGTATCACGTAGGATAATTCTCTGCTGTAAACGTTTTGTGAGCGTCTTGTTTGGTTGACAAGATTAAAGCCTTTGCCTCCGAAATTGGTACAATGCGAGCATATCGGAGAATGTAAAGGAAGAGTCTTGATGGGCATGGGCAGTGAGATATTTTATTTGTATCTAAGCTGTCACCCATGGATACATTGTTTGTCCTTGGTATCTTCACATGTGTTCTCGATAGTAGTCATAATCGTGTAGCAAATAGTTGCTCAGCACCCGCCCATGGCAACAAGCTACATGCTAACCTCTCAATCCGGCCCGACCCGGCCGTAACTCAACCAGTGATGCTCACAGCCTAGAAATGTGTGCTGAATCATCTGCTTTCTCCTTTTCTACCCCCATTAGATACGATGTGAGCGATGAATATATATCCATAGCGCAGCTTGTCTCTATTGAGGTAGCTGGCTTAGGAGAAGGGTAAACGTATGGTCTGAGGGACGCGCAACAAACTGTTGCAGGTTGCGTAAACGATAGAACAGACAGGAAGCCCAAGACCATAGTAAAATAGAGAGTCCCCTTCATGGGTATTTATAGAAAAGCCATTCTGTAGTCTATAAACGGCTGAAGTGGAGGTATAATATGACCTAGTAATGGTAATAAGGTAGTGAGATGACCATTTTTCTATCCTGGGCCACAATAAAATGTAAATAGCTGATTCACAAAACAGATGCCGATCATCCTTATTTTCCTTTCCTTTCTTCTTTCCTTAACAGGAGAATAACAGTCTTGTTTCTAAGTCTTCCCTCCCCTACTACCTTTTGTACTCTCTACCACGTAGGCAGCAACTTCGGAGAGCAAAAGTGACACACTGGTTGCTCTATCATCGAAGCCATTAGAGGCACCGAGGACCATCACTCCAAGCTATCATCTCAGCTGAATTCCTTTGTTCAGATATGCTTCTTTACAGAAGGCTGATAGGAACGGCAGTCAAGTTGGTTGGATACATAGATATCCCGGAAGGACGAATGGCCGAGGTAGGTTTATGCTTTGTGGCCTCGTGTTGGGCTCGCAGTGATTAAGGAGGAGGGCTGGAAAGGGGAAAAGGGGGGATATAATAGGGGTAGAGACACTGCTAACAGGGGCACGGCATGCTGGGGTTGGGCATTCTCGACCCTCTTTAACGAACTCAGACTTTACGTAGTTTGTTACCTGATGACCTGATTGATAGATGCATGAGCACTTCTACTCTTCTGGTGAGAGAAGGCATTTTGCTCACAATAGAGATATTATTTTCACTTCCGCTTGTTATATGCATCGTAGGTATGAACACAGGCAACAACCTGAATACTGCACATGTATATATACATAAGTATGTATGTGCATAGTACGGGGTATCTAGAAGATGCCCCATTTATGCATAAGAACCTAGTGTATCTTAATACAGGAATAATGCATATATCAGATTTACAGTCAGCACAACACCGGGCAAGTCACTGTCAGGTTTTCCCAACTCGATAATTTCATACCTACTTCCACCATTCAACGAGGTAACATAACCCTCTCATCTACTCAGCTCCACCACCATTTCTACATACCGCCTTGCTATAGTATTCCGAAGTCCTCTGCATATTGCTACTGATGTCGGACCAACCTGCCTCACCTCGAAGGGCCCGGGGCGATTCCCCACCGCCTCGCAAGCGAAGTAGAAGTGGCGACCGAAGCCAATCACCGCGTCGCGACCGTAATAGACGGGGTGGACGGGATGGTCGTGACAGGGCAGGCGACAGAAACCCCGACAGCTACCGATCCCGGGAAGAGCCCTGGAGAGACCGCAGAAATCGGAATAGAGATGACCGGCAGGATCGAACAGGCAGGGAATCGGATAGACAAGATACGGATCGCGAGGAGAGAGACTCAGACAGGAGGCATGCAGGCGGAAGCGAGGGCGCAGATCAAGACCGACCACGGCCAAAGAAGGGCCTAGGAGGGTTCAAATACAAAGAAAGACGCCGGGACGATGCGGAGGATGGTAGAGACGGTGATCGCCGCGGTGGTTCGTTTAGAGGCTACAGAAACCGTTCCCCGTCTCCGCGCCGCCGAGACCGCGACCGAGATGCTGGGGCCTCCTCGTCCACCAAGAAACCCAAGTCCAAATCCAAGTCCAGCGGCGCAGATACCTCTCAGCCACCCGAAAGACCACCGGCCGCGCCCTCGAGCGGTGGCGAAGAGATGATTATCGTCCACGTGAACGATCGGTTGGGCACCAAGGCGGCCATTCCGTGTTTTGCGTCAGACCCCATTAAGGACTTCAAGATCATGGTGGCGGCGCGGATCGGGCGGGAGCCGCACGAAATCCTGCTCAAGAGACAGGGGCAACGGCCATTCAAAGACATGCTCACCCTCGCCGACTACGAAATTAGCAACGGAGTCCAGCTCGATCTCGAGGTAGATACCGGCGATTAAGCCGGGCCCAGCGCGAAGGGAGGCGTCGAGAAACCTCGGGGACAGTGCTAGTAATTCCGTCGCCTTGCTTTCATACATTAGGGGGTTGGTGCGCGTCGAGCTATTGGAAGCTCAGTTGGTCAGCGATCGACCTCTCGAACATCGCCCAACGCCATATTATTTCGTATATACCCGATAGGTTCTAAATACATTCGCGCCTCGGTCCCCGCAAAAATTGAAGTCTCCTAGCATTCTTGTCTAAAGAAACCCCCTTCTTATGTTTTTTTGTAGAAGGTTTTCTTCTTTCTATAATTCCGTTCCTCTCAGTTCGCCTCGAGATGCGGACACGGCCCAGACGTGAGGGAGAAGACGACGTCCAAGTTACTGCTCCCACCCTTAGTTACAGCATCCAAACCTGCGGATCATAGCGTCCTGGCGGCGGATACACTCCTCTTGATCCTGGATTACCGCCATACGCTCTCCGAGCACTTGTCTTAGTTCCCTCACTTCGTCAATCAACCTTGCTTCGCCTACGCTCTCGTAACGCCTCTTGAAATCTATAGTAGAGACAGAGTTAGTAGGTAAAGGTCTAGACTCCGCGAAACGACTTACGATCAAGGCACTTGTGTTCCCACTCCAGCTTAGCTTCTAGTCGGCAACCGGGAGCCTCGCAAGCATCTAGTAACAGCACCTCGTTAGTAAACTAGTTGCATCGTGTCGGCGGAAATGTGTTGCTCTTACGGGCCTCGCAGTAGGGCGTCTCCTCTTCGACCCCGTTCCTGCAGCCACGGCTGCGACAAGAGTCTAGCTGGACAGTTAGGTCTAACGGTAATACCTTCGAAAGGAAGCGGGACCAAAGAGGTCAGCTCACGAGACGGGCAGTGTAAGGCCCCCGGCGCTGTCCTTCGATGCTCGTTACAGCTGGCAAATTGGCACCGATCTATCAATCTCCACGGTCAGCCAGGTCTTTTTTCTATCTCTTAACGATGAGTGCTAGCTAGAGGGAAATACTACGGACGACTGGTGCAGAGGCGAAAGGCCCCGGTCGAATTATTACAGCCTCTCAAGAAACAGGTATGGTTGGCGCAATGCATCGAGCCGATCTGCTTGAGTACTGTACAGCCAGCAGTACTGCATTGGGTGTCTGGCTTCCGTTAATGTTGTGACATCGATTAGGACAGCGGTGCGGATGCTCTACTACTCACGGATTCTGCACAAGTTGTGCGGATCAGTCTTGGGCTGGTGGCAATCGGGCCACTCGCACACGTTGTCTAGACCGGCCAAGTTAACCGCGGGATCCGCACTGCTCCTCGGAGAGAGAGAGGAGGAGGATTGGGGAGAGGAGGAGGATTGGGGAGAGGAGGAGAGAGGGAGGGAGAAAGCGTACGTGTACGGCAGAACCTCCCCTGATTGACGGTGATAGCCATACAGCCTGGCCTCCCACAAGTATCTTCCCAGATGATCAGCGTCAGTTGAGCAGTTCGACACGCGGACATCAGTCACTCACGTCTCTCGCAGCAACTTCTCCCGGCCTGTACCATGCTGTGGCATCCTTCTGCAATACAGTTATCTTCCAACCCATTAGATTACTATGCCACGGTCGTGGGAGGTCCCCGACTTACGGTTATCGCAGTAGGTCATGAACTGGTTTTGGTTTATACCGTCAGGCCGGCGTTTCTCTGGGCATTCTCGCAGCGCACACTTGTCTATCAGAGGTCAGTCTAGTCCACACACTTCGAACTATACCATCAGTAGTTCCTACGGTCATAGCAAAATTTATAGCGTCTGAACACCGGATTGTCTGGGTCGCGGTATTGGAGCCTCGGGCATTCGCATCCTTGTACGGTACATATTACGTCTCCTCGCTATTAGTTTATCGTCTTTGCTCCTATCGTGGTTTTGGCACTCACGATGAGGGCAAACTGAATCTTTCGGGTCCTTCTGGAACTCGCATCGCGGGGCCTTCATTGGGATTGGGAAATAGAAATGGTCACAGGTATCTGTGAATTGGAACGTCAGCTACATGAGGCGCCGTTCCGCCCGTCTCTCTCCCGTGGACCTGTTCTCCTCCTTGGGTAAACCACTCACGCTTCTTACAGAACTTCGAAGAAACTGGCCCGGATTCATCTTTGCGTCCCCTACAACATGTAGCGGCACATCCTGGTTTTGTGTGACATCCCATCATCTTGCAATTTTAAGACTGGGCGACGGCTAGAGATCAATATTGGGTTTTTTTTTCTCCCCTAGATTCGAATCACTCTGGGTGGGAGGGGGGGCAATATCGGAGGTGAAGAGAGAGAGAGGCCTTTCCCCGCCGGGTAACCACAGACGTCCTATGCTACTATCATAGTCTCGGTGAAGCATCGGGGTTCTATGGCTCTGTCATAAAGAGGGGTTTGCCGAAAGTGCACTTCGAGAATGAACGCCCGCATTCATCATGGTCCTAGGTATTGGTCGTGGTAGACGCGCGCGAGGCTGGTGGCTGTTTATAAACGAGGTCCTCGTCACCACTGGACCGACCCCCCTTGCGATGCCCTGATTCGACGTCAGGGGAAGCCGAAGCAGATATCACAGTAGGTAATATGATTACCTGCATTATTACCACTCTTCCTTTGTCCTAGCTATTGAGCTAGACAGGAGAGGCATTTTATGGGCTGGGTTTCACGCCATCGAACAATCTCAAGGCTAGAGCCTCGGGGGTCTGCTGCTTTCTCATAACAGAGACACAGCTATCCTCGACCACAATATCGGTCTCTATTACCATACCCCTACATCTCTGCCTTCTGTGAGCTATCTACAACACCCAACTACCTTTACTTTCGACGTACCTTTGGTCACGAAAGTCCGACGGGTAAACATGTCGGGAGTCGCAGTCAGAATATTTTCACTCGCGTACGCCAGAGCCTTAATCCGTCACCGTCTCCGTCTTAGTCTGGGGCTGAGTCTCTGCATCTCGCAGGCTGGTATCGCTGTCAGAGCCTGCAGCGTCATCATAACTGGTGCCCCAGTTTAAATCGGAACCGAACCCATGATGATTAGGTATAGAACCGACCCGAGGTGTACAAATGGGTTTCAGAAGAGGTTCTCAAGGCCTTGTCTTTGTCGAACTCGGAATCGAAGCTCCAAGCAACGTACCTAGCCGCTTCCGTGGAAGGAAACCAGGAAGTCGTCGTCTCCGGTTGCCCACAGGGGGAAATTCATGGAGTATGTACCTAATGTAACAATGGTGAGGCTGGGTTGGGGCAGCTCCACCGTGCTGCTGGAACGGTCCGGGTAGTATTACCCCAAGGAATTTTCCCTCAGCCACACGGACAAAATATTTGAGCTGCGGCTTGTCCACTAACATTCCTTTTTCAGAACCGAGAACATGACGTGGTCCTCGAAGAACTTGGACCCCCACCTTTCGCAAACCAGGAGACATGCCAAGATGTCGTCGAGGTCCAAGTTATCTGCGACGGCTAGTACGATTTCCGGTAAACAATCGTCGATTATATCCCCTCGCAACTTGATGCCCGAGAAGTGCTCTCGTAGGAAGCGCATTCTTTCGTCGCCGGGGGAGCCGGGGATGTAAAGGCAGGTCGACCGCACATGCGTCGCGTGTCAAAAGGGTTAGACACGGCAGTGATGGCGGAGTTGATAACTACTCAAGGATCGCGCGTATATTGGAGCACAGAGCGTGATTTATCGCAAAGTCAAGCACCGTCTAACAAGCTGCCATGCCGTTGATAAGTTCCAAACGTAGAAAGCCAAGCCATTTATAGAGCGTTTGGTTCGCTTCATCGAGGCGTTATGTCCGAGCTTTACCAGCGGGGAAAAGGGTGAAATGGCTGGGAGAAAATAAGACCGTAGAAGTGACTGCCCAGATCCCAAATAGGGAGGTCAGGGCATGGTGAAATACCGGGTGGCTTGAGTCACTAGGTGTGTTTTGTCGATCCAACCTAGCCGGCTCGCTGCTTGCCTTGTGGGACTTTCTCTTCACGGCTACGTTCTCAATAGGGGCCAGGCTGGACCTAGTAAGCTTGCGCCCAAAGACGATATAGCGCAGATAATCCCTAGACATTACGAGCTAGGGCGGTTTGACTAGAGCGACACATACCTACCTACATGCAGAGGCCTTGAGTTCCTCGTCGCTATCAAAACAAGATAAAATAAGAGTCTAGCGAGGTTGAGCGGTAATACTGGACTTTGCTCTCTTTATAACCACCCGAACCAAATTCTTATTATAGACTCCGGATTTACATACGTTGGCCAAGGGTTCATATCCGGCGTGAGAAAGGTAAAAGGCTGTCTGTAAGTTACCTGACCAAAATTCAGGCCCCGGTCTTTTTCATATATAACTATTGAATACCTCCTTACAAGTCACATGCGATACTGTTCGTACCTAGAATCCCCCCCTAAGTTGATATGCCCCCCGGTTCTTACGTTTGTCATCAGAAGACACATGAGCCATGCCTACCTACCTGTAGGTACCTGTCTGCCTGCATGAGGTGGATGGGCCTCAGTCATTAAAACTAATGAGGAAACAGCCTGACATTAGGGAGAAAATACCCAATATACAATCCTTTCCTTTCATTGATAGCTATGTGTCCGGCCTAATCTCCAAGTTGTCATTCGGTGGGTGGGGGAGATGTCCCATTGATTGCCACGAACAAAGACAGTGGCGGTCTACAAGTGATTCGGGGTAGATACAGGACCTAAGGGAATAATATACCTAGCCTGAATCTAGTTACCACAGCTAACCCATACACAATGATGGCCTTCATAGAGCGGCCAAGACGGGATGCCCCTTTAATGGACGCATCACGTGACTTGGCGTCGCGTTTTCTGCGATGCCGAGCGCGGGAGCGGACGCGTGGCACGATTGGAGAGCCAAATTCCCTCCCGCCAGTCTGACGCAGACTCTTAGTCCTCCTAGTGATCACTGAACTCGCAGTTTATCAAGCGCAACTTGTACCCAAGTTAGAACCATGGCTGCGGGAGTGAAGCGCAAGCGTACCGAGGGAGCCCCAGAGCGCGCCGTAACCGTGGCGCCAAAGGCGGCCAGAACCGCTTCTGCGCGCGCGGTCGCTGACGGGTCCCCGCCTGTCCCTCCCGACATGGAGGCGCAGCTGCAGCGCATCGCGGCGTCGAACCGCACGCCTTTTGAGAAGAAAGTGGTACGTTCCCTCGTCTTCCCATCCCCCCCCCCCCCCCCCTCCCCCCTTCCCCCTGCTGACTCGTCGGCGGGGACCGCCAGTGGACGCTGCTGTGCCAGATCCCGCGGGGCCGGGTGTCGACGTACGGGCTGGTGTCGGCGCAGCTGGGGTCGTCGGCGCGGGCGGTGGGCGGCGCGCTGCGGCGGAACCCGTTCGCGCCGCAGGTGCCGTGCCACCGCGTCGTGGCGGCGGGCGGCGGGCTCGGCGGCTTCCGGGGCCAGCGACCGCGCAGCGGCGAGGGCGTCACCCTCGACGAGAAGCGCCGGCTGCTGCGCGCCGAGGGCGTCCGGTTCGACGACAGGGGCAGGGTCCTCGGCACGCCCTGGGCCGCGTTCGTCTAGGCCTCCTTCCTCCTCCTCCTCCTCCTCCTCCTCCCGAGGCCCTTTGCGAGATGAGGAGAAAAAAAAAGGAAGGAAAGAAAACACGTTCCCATGGGCGGGGACGCTCGATGTGATGCACGTACGATCGAACCGGAATGGAAGTTTCGAGCAGTGCCGTGAGCCGGCGCGTGTTAGCAGACCTGCAGAAGGATCAAAGGGGCGGCGATGATGGGAGAGTGCATTGTGCGATATGGGTACATACACAAAGACCTTCCCTTCGAGCTCAACATCTTATTCTAGAAAATACCAAGTAGTAGGTAGCCCCCAGGAATACTCTTCGCGCCCCCATCCACTTCTCTCATAAGTAGCCCCAACCGCGCTCGCCGTCCATGTAAGATCGGCACTGTCGCTACACCACCAAGACCTCGCTTCTCGCACAGACACTAGGTGCCTATATCTATCACAGCCATATTTCACCCGTCCCCTTTTCCAGTTCCAGCTCCCCTCCTCTCCCCCTCAAGCATCCCTCCCTACCTACGCACCCACGATGAGCGTCCCGCCCGTCAACCGCGAGCGCAGCCTGCTCGACGACGTGCGGGCCGAGCAGCAGCAGGACCTCGCCCCCCCCCTCGGAGCCGCAGGAGGAGGAGTACGACGCCGACGTCTCCGGCAACGAGGAGCACGCCCACATCGACGGGGAAGGGGGCGGCGCGCACGAGGACGGCGTCGTGGTAGCCTGGCTGGCGCTACACGGGCACCCATAACGGCAGCGGAACTCGCAGGCGCCTACACCTCTATACACCATCTCGCGGCTCCATCCCACAATACCTATATAGCGGCACACCCCAGCTACAAAAAATAGGTAGGAATATTAGAGAGGACCCCACAACGCAGCGAAGCCGCACGCGGCAGACGAGCGAGAGAGAGAGGCGACGTGACTTCCCAGCAACCAACGGCGAAGCGCCACCGTAGACAACCCCCCGCGTCCCCTTCCTTGTTTTCCCTGTCCTGCTATTCATTGACTGTCTCTGCCGCTGCGTAGCGCCACCAAGCTCTGCAGCGAGAAATCCCTTTCCTCTCGGGGCAGGCACTCGCGTTTTTTTTTGTTCGGGGCCGTCGTCGTCGATATACCTACCTAGTAGGCACCGAAACGGACCTCTTCTCCTCCCCCTCCCCCCTTTTTCTCTCTGGCATAGGTACCTACTATCACTGCTAGCCCCGCGAGCGACCGACACACCCGCACGCCTTGTCCCCGGCGGCGGCGGCGCATACATGCCTCTGGGTTGGGCGCGGGGCCGGGTGTGGAGTGGTGCTAAGTTAGGTCGATCGACTGGGAACACTACACCTCCTCAGCCGGGAAGCAGACGTGTCATAAACTATACGACGTCGCCTTCCGAGTCATTTTCACGGGCCGCTGATGCCCAGACTACGCAATATACACAATTACGGCACTATACACCACGCGCCATAGGGATGAGCCAAGTCACCCAAGTCACCTCCAATGTGCATGCCACCCCTTCTCGCTACAGCGAGAGGAGGCGTCGTCTGCGTTGAACAGAAAACACACCGCGAGTGTAAATTCATTAAAGTGTCCGTCTGTCCATCTGTCTGTGTACATACATACGTACATGCATACATACATGAGGCGGCGGGCCGGTAGCAAGTTGGACCCGGACTGCCTTCCGGAATGAGGTAAACATGGGGGGTGGTTGGACATCTTGATCGCGAGACCGAAGAGGGGGCGTGAGGAGAGAAAGAAAGAGAGAGACAGGGAGGGGGGGAAACGAGACGAGGGCAAGAAAAAAAAAGTCGAACAGACTGTCAAACCGCGCCCGCCGTTTTCTCCATGGTCGACCGATCGACCGACGCCGTGATAAGAATGAAGCAAGGGAAAAAAAAAGCAAAGGCATTCCCCGAATTGTCGCCGTTATCTACTCTCCCAACCCTTCCCCTTCCTGAGAATCAAGGAAGGCCCCCCAAAAAAGACAGTCGAGAGAAGAGTAGTCCTTTCATTTCGAGGTCGACTAATCGATCAGTCGACGCCTCCCTAGTTCGTAGCCTCCCTCCGTCCCAACTCGGTCAACCGCGGGTTACCTCAAGAAATATTATCAAATTATCGGAAGGAGTCAAGAGACGGAGAAGGGGCGGTAAAATGCCATAATCGATATCGTCGAAGCATTTCCCGTGCGAGAGGGAGTGCGTGTATTGTGTGTGTGTGCGCGCGCCGTAGTTGAGGAAAATCGTAGGAAAAGGGGGTATATTGGGCGAAACCCGAGATCGTAGTAAGAAGCCGTCGAGTTCATACGGTTGATTAAGGCCGTGATGCGTGAACCTCACGGAGAGAGTGTGAGTGAGTGAGTGGGAGAGGAGAGAGGGGACAATAATAGACTAGAGAAAACCCGCGGGGAAACGATATCGAGGCTCTAGTCAAAGGCATAGTATGCGGAATCGGACAGAGAAGTCAGTCTACTTAGGGCCGAAAAGCATCGCGCCACAAGCGAGGCGGCGGAATACGAGGGTCACCTTGACAAAAGGGCTACGGACGAGGATCAGAAGAACGACGGCTTCGTGAGCACGCGGTACTCGACATAATCCTCGCCATCGATGTTGATGATAGTACCCTGGCTTACGAGCCGATCCTTGAACGGTCCATTCTGCTTCCGTTCATATTTGATGCCCATGTGCGTCATGACATCGTCGTTCCCGGCGCCCCTGCGCATGTTTTCTTGCGCCAGCCAAACTTGCTGCATCCTATGCATATTCTCCTGGAAATCCCGGCGGCCGTCCTGCACGTTGATCGCATTCACCGGATTTGCCATGGCGGCATTCCGGCTGGCTTGGTTGTGGGTGGTACGCATCTGGATTGCCTCGATTCTGGCAACCTCCCGGTTGGCATATCCCTGGACGCGCTCCAGGGGGTCACTACTTGTATGCCGGCTCGACTGTCGAAGTTCAACTTCTGAGAGAGAATGCCGGGACGGATGGACGGGCTCCACTCGAGGCTCGCCGTGAGATATAACTTCTCGTCGATGCTGCCTCAGCTCACGGCCTTCGCGGATCTCTTCACGGTCCTGCGCAGGTGGTGGCAGGAGGACCGCATTCGCCTCCTTCGCAGCCTTGTTGGCATTACCCGCCGAGATGCTGGCCGCGCGAGTCTGGGCCTCATATACCGCCTTGGTCTCGTTTGCGACACGCTCGGCCGGGGTCTCACCAGCATCGATCTGCACTTGGCGGACACGAATGTACTCCTTAATCTCCGGCCGGGTCAGGTTTGCGAGATGCGGGAGGAAGGTAACCTCGTCGTACGATATCCATAAAGCACCGGCTCCGCTCGGGAAATTTCCGTCGATGTAGCGTCCGTCCATCGTCTCGCGCACGAGCTTGACGCGAAACATGTCATTGGCACCAAGGATGCCGTAAACCGCATGCTTGTCTTTGTCCTCCTCCGGGCTGGACTTGCTCCAGCAGCCGACCAGAATCCGAGTCGGCTTCCGAGGGGCGTGGGGAACGTCCATAGGGTGGTGGAGCGTACCGATACGCAACGCGTGCTCGTCCTGTTCCACGCGGTCGCCATGTTCGTGCTCGACACGCTCCGCGATGGTACCGACGCCGCTACCATAGCGACGGCGCTTCGGCTCGGGGCGCCCAGCCAGCGCATTTTTAGGAATCTCTCGGCCCCACGCAACAACGGGAGACTGAGGGTTCTCGGGAGGGGGGTTCATCTCGAGGCGGTGCTTAGCTTCCCTGATGGCGGCGAGGTCGGCGTCCTGGGTTCGCTGACGGATGGTTTCGCCTCTCACTTTAACGTATTCTTTAATTTCGTTGTGATCTAGCCCGACAAGATGGTCCAGGAAGACGATGCGGTCGAACGTGACCCAGCTGCCGCCCGGACCGGGAGGCAGGGGGAATAACCGCGTGTTGATAGATTCGCCATTGATGTTAGTGCTCTGAAGACGGGTGCGCAAGCGATCGCGAATGTCGATGAAGCCGACAACAATGTGCTTTCCCTCTTCCTGGGGGACAGGGGAGTCGCGCCATCGACCTAGGATAACATGCTTAGTATCGTCAGGCTTAGGCCGCTGCTTGCCCTTCACCGAGGTAGTATCAGTATCTTCGCCATCCTTGGCTAGTACGTTGTCCAGCCTGTTCTCATTCAGGTCATTGTACAGAGACGGGCGCTTGCGCTTGGGGTAGTGGGGCACGACGGTCTTGACCCCGTCGGCATCCGCCATATCAACGTCTTCTCGCTCCAACGCCGCTACGCGGCGAGCAGGCGACTTGTCACCATTAGCACGGGCGCTAACGATGATCTCGTCGCCTAGCATGTCCGGATTCACACTGGAAACTGAGCTGGAATCGGGAGGCGTGCTCAAGTCCGCGTCGTTGGCGGTATCATCCTCTTCCGAGGCCTTGGGCTCCACGACCGTCGGCTGCCTGTCACCTCATGTTAATATGCGTTGCTGCTTAGAATGAGGCGGTGATCGCCGTCGTGAAATTGGCGACGAGCGAGAGGAAGGACGCGTGCACTAGAGACGGGTCTATAATTCAGCCATGGGGCGGCGCTTGCCAAGTACGCCCGGGTGAGACGCAGGTGAGGTAGGGTTCTCTTCGAATATAAAGTTGAGTTGCGATTGGGTTGAGGAGCTTCGAAGAGGGTAAAAATAGACGAATAGGTTACATGCAATAATTGCGAGGTAGTCTAGCGGTGAGCAGCAGCGAGTATGTCCAGGTATTGTTTCTTATGACCCACGCTGCCTGGGACTGCTAATGCGTGTTTGATAGACCGGGTGGGTTGGGTGACATAGGGTGCTCTCCGAGACGGGGCTCGTAGCTATCGAGGAGGCGGAGGGCCGTGATAGGACAGAAAAGTTGCGACATAGGGAAAGGGAATGGGGTGGCGCAGGGGCGGGATAGACCAGGGTGGACGGAGGGGATAGTAAATAAAAGAGACGAGCAGGCTTTGAAGAGAGAGAGAGAGGGGGGGGGGGGGGAGGGGGAGAGGTGCTAGTGAGGCTTTTAAACAGAAGAGGGTTTTTATAATTGATGACGGCAGGAGGTAGGGGGAAAATGTGATGAGCAATACCGTTCTCAACCTGGGTGGGAAGAGCAAGCGGGAAACGTCTAATCGACAACAAGAGAGAGAGAGAGGGAGAGGGAAAGAGAAAAGAAGATGGCGAAGACAAGGGGATGGAGCGTAACTTACTTCTCGTCAGCGGCCTCGGGCGCAGTTTTTTCCTTCTCGACGGTGTCGACAGACACCGACTTCTTCGCGTCTGGCTTCTCCTCCTGATGATCCATCTTGCCGGTCACTACTACTACTAGAGTATCGAATTAGACCCGAGCTGCGGAGCAGAAGCGATGCAAGAGATCGAATTGGTTCCGGGGTTGGCCGAAGTCGCGTGCGCAATGGCCAGGTTGCGCCTCGCGAAAAGAAAAGTGAAAGGGGTTGGCAATGCGAGACGGGAAGAGGGAGAGATGAGGGAGATAGATAAAAGAGAAAGGTGCATGCGTTCGTAGATGGGTGGGAGGTATACGAGGCAGATAAGAGCCAGGAAGAGAAGAGCGAGAGAAGGAGGGAAAAGCGGGACTGATGGTGTTGGGAATGGACGGCAAGAGGCAACTACCAACTGGAAAGGCGGACTGAGAAGGGCAAGTAGGACATGTATATTAAATGCCTCGACTAGGAAGAGTGAATGGTATAGGCTGTGAAGCGCGAAGGCAAACTGCCGCCGGCTATGTCGACAGGGGGGAATTCGAGACTGCTCAGCTAGAGCCGATAGGATACATCAATACTTAACACGGTGGGGGGGAGGGAACACGGAGAGTAACTGACTTGCGAAGTCTACAGGGGAGCGAGGTGGAAGTAAGCCCGGGTGGCGGACGACAATGGGCACAAGAACAACGATAACAATAGTTACCGGGTTGGTGCGATAGAGCGGCGGAGGCGAGAAAGGCAAGGTATAGGGCGGAGTGGGGGCGGAGAGGGCAAGCTGGGGCGGGTTGGTTTCGCAGACTGAGGCAGACTGACGGACAGAGAGAGAGGGAGATGAAGTGTGGGTGGGTGAGGGTGAGAGGGTGAGAGTGAGGGAGCGGGCGAGAAGAGGCAGAGAGAGAGAGAGACAAGACAAGAGAGACAGAGAGCGGTGGTGTGATGAGAGCGAGATTGCCAGGGTATCGAGGATGACGACAAAAACCCGGTTGCCACCAGACGGGCTGAGTCGCAGTTGCTGAAATTGGTGCGTTGCGACCAGGTTGGAAATGAATTGGAATTGGAACGAGATTAATTGACGGCAGCGACTCGAGTTGCCGCCGCCGCAAGATCTCATTGGCGCGTGCCGTGTCCTTGTCACGGGAAGGGGCAGACGCGCGACGGCGAGACGAGAAGGGAGAAAAAAGAGAGAGAGAGATGAGATGATGATAACTTACCTAAGCCGGCTGGGGAACCGAAACCACAACAAGGCCGGGCGATGAACTCGATGGAAGCGCACCGAAACGGCGGCGCGTTGCCAGTGCGTGCGTATCCAGACGCGCAACGCTAGGTAACGGCGGCAAGTATGAATAGGCAGACAGGCAACCGGGGCGGTGTCGAGTTGCGCGGGCTGGCTCGATGGCACGGAGTAGAGAGAGCGTTGGTTAAGGTGGGTGAGAGAGAGAGGGTGAAGGGGGCGGAAAAAGTTGAGGGAAGTGAAAAAAGGGTAAACGGCGGGACGAGAGAGGTGTATTGAGAGAAGTGATTGATGAGCCGGCAAAAGTAAGCGTTGTCAATCAAAGTTGTCTGACCCAAGGGAAACCCGGACAGGGGGGCGGCACCTTAATATTGTGCAATACAGGCTCTGTCTTCGGGTTTTCGATTAAGCTGATTGGCCCGCGCCCGCGCCCACGGTACATTGGCACCAGTCTGCCCAAACCGCTGCTGGCCAGTACCTAAAGCAGCGTAGCGTAGGGTACTTGGGCACGCTACCTGCCTTCTGCTAATACGCTACCTGCGCTAGCCTCGAGCCCGTACCAGCCCAGCACCAGCACCAGCACCAGCACCAGCACCAGCACCAGCGGTACCTACGTCGCCCGTCGCCCATCGTGCACTGCGCGAGCGCGCACTCCCCCCCAGCGCAGAGAACCAGAAGAAGAGGGAGCCCGCTGTTTTTTTTTTATCGTCGCTATTATTATTACCTATTACCACTATTCTCCCATGCTGATTTCAAATCCCCTTGGCTACCACCCGGCTATGCGACGCCACAACGGAAATACGTCCAACTGCGTACGTCCACACACGCACACACCCCCCCCCGGCCGGCGAGACAGCCAGGGGAAGAAGAGCAGCACAGGATGGAGGAAACGGGGGATATACATGGAGAGCGAGAAGAGGAGGCACAGGAGAGGGAGAGAGAAGGGGGGAGGAGGAGAGAGAGAAGAGAAGAGAAGATGGAGAGATAGGAGGTGCATACAAGCTTATCACGTATTTTTATTTTTACTTTTTCTCATTTCTTGTTTTATCTCATTTCATTTATTTTATTGTCGGTTTTAACTTGTTGCTCATACATCTGTCCATCCGTCCATCATCCCATCCAACGAGGCGCCCAACCTGGCAGCTATGTGTACAATACATACGGGTATTATTATCTTACTATTACTAGGTTAGTAGCCATTATTACTTTCAGCGTTATTGCCTGAGTGCAACCTGCCAACCTACGTAATGCTAATTATACCTGCTGATGATGCATCGCCTATCAAACCCTTAACCTAGCCTCTTTTTTTTTTCTTCCTTTTCTCTCTCTCTCGTCTCCACCCTCCGGTCGCCCCATGTTTCATTGCGCCTGTGTCTATACATATACATATACATATGTATATCCAGCGCCTTGCCTGCCCTACTTACATTTACCTCCTAGTATCCTCCCCAAGGATATGTATACACATGCATCCGATTCATTCAATTCAATTTCTCCATTCATTCATTCGTTCATTCATCCCCATCCACCCATTCATATGTAGACGTACGCTTGCTCGGACCCGGCATCTTCCTAGGAAAAGCCCACGCATACAACTCGCTGCCTCGAAGTGGCTCTGCATTGTGTAACATGCATTCACATATTACGCATACTACGAACAAGGAACTTCAGCTCGGCTTCGTCTGCCTATCCGAACTGCCGTAGCCAGAACGAGGGGGGTTGGGAGAGGGAGAGAAACCCGGATAGACCAGCACGAGCAGCAGCAGCAGGTGCCGTAGGAAAGTGAACTGCTTGGGTGCGCGGCGATTCGGGCATCCAACCCGGCATATACGTGTACATATATGTAAGTATATATATATATATATATACACATATATTGTGGACGGCGGGAAAAATAGAAACGCGAAGGGGTGGGCTGGGGTGAAGAGCGCATCAGCCCACGGCGGTGCGACAAACGGCTGCTAGGCCGGCCAGCTTAAACTACGGACTCGATCGCGCAACATCCAGACCCTAAATTTAGGGCAACACACTTCTTCGCTGTTCCGTCGCCCGCCCGGCGCAGAGCGCGTAAGGCGAAGAAAAAAAAAAAAGACCCGAAGGGAGTTCGGTCGCCACTCGCCCTCCATTTGTCGCGCCTGGGTGAATATACAGGTATAGATCAGCCGTCAATGCGTGCGTCCATGCCTTAGTTGTGGTATCGGTTCCCAGTTGAGACCCCCGTTGTTCCCAGTATTGTCAAAACTGTGTGTGTGTGTGGTGCTGGGCGTTCCTAATGTGGGGGCGCCTCAAGCCGGGATCCCGGTGAACAAACAGTTACATAGCCAAGGTGGAAATGGAGAAACGAAAGACGTATCCGTCAACTCGGCGCCCTATAGCTTGGTATTACTTCTAGTCATGTGTATATAACTGCGTTTCGCTCGGGTTTCATTGACCTACTAAGCGGCCGGGGGGGGGGCTCTGCCAGAAGTACCAACAAATTCACTCAGCCCGCCCACTGCCACCCGCGAAGGCACGCATTTGCCTATCTAAATATCAAATACCATCCATACCTTAGTCGTGCTACACGCAGCTAGATACGGCCGGATAACACAACGTGCATGCGTAGTAGTATATACCTCTCCTATACAGTACATGTCGATAGATACTGTGAGCCAGAATGGGCGGGGGCTTGGCTTCGTATCTTATGCTGTGCTTATTCTTCCTAGCTAACGCACTATAGGTGCGGATCGGATACCTAATTGAAACACGGGTCCAGCCCAGCTCACCGGCCAGAGTAAACAGAAAATCAATTCCAGCAATTCCAGCGTTGGGCGGCCATTTAGCCCTAACCGAGACGGACTTGTCAGACATTGGTTAATATGTCCAGAAGAGAGAGAGGAAGAGAGAGAAGAGAGAGACTACGTCAGGCAGGGAAAAAAAAAATTGATAGCACCGTGTTATTCCGGGTGAGCAATTTACAGAGCTGCCTGTCTAGCGCATCTAATTACCCGATCGAGGCCGTCTATGGGATTTCAATTACTCGGTTGCGTGCGTCTACCGACTTGGTCGCCCCGTATTACCCCATGTACTTTATTACTAGACGTAATATGCCTGTCTGTAGATACATACCACATACTACTACATACTCTATTCTTATTACATAGACCCAGTTGCGCAGGCAGGTAGGTAGGTACCTAACCCTGTTATCCGTCCTCTCCCCCCCGTTCACTCTTTCTCCCCTTCTCCTTTCTCCTCCTCCTCCTCCACTTCTTATTCTTCTCCCTCTCTGGTTTCTTCCCTCCCTTGCGATGGTCGAACGTGCGAGTCTCAAGTTGACTAGCGGGGGAGGTTGTCGCAGAAAGGTTAAAAAGGCCTGGCGAATAGCACGGGGCACGTCGCCGTGGAGGGAACCCGGGCAGGATGCAACGTGGACATGGTTGAAGCCGCTGCGCACATTCATACATAAACACAGCTATGTAGGAGGCAGGTAGAGAACATAAGACACCTCCACCCGCCATTTACACACCTATACATATACGTGCATGCATATAGACTAGACTGAGGAGTAGACGAGCTTCGTCCATCTTACTTTCTTACCGGCTCTACTCCCTGCTCAGTAATCACTGCGCCTGATAGGGCGTGAGAATGGTACACCAGTCTTACGCCATCATCGCATCACTCAACTCTCTGCCGATTACCCATTACGTGCTTCGTGCGACCGCCCGCCCGGGGCGGAATGCACGGGTTGGTAAGTCGACGAATTTTCCATCGAACTATGCGCCCCCCCGGAACTAGAGCGAACATGGCTCTTTGTCGGCCTGACCGGGGGGAAACTCGAGCGGACGAGTCGCTAGCTAGGCGACAAGAATAAAAAAGCCATACCCTCCCCCCCCCCCTTTTTTTCCTCTTCCACTTCCTCCTCGTCCGTGTCCCAAACTGCTTAAAAAGCCTCGTCGACGTTCCGCACCACTGGATTGTACAGATGGCGTGCGCCAAGTATTATTCCTTTTCTTCTTCTCTCGGTGCCGTTCCCAAGCACAGACGCCTCGTTGTTTCGCATTAACCGCAACTTAAGGTTGAGGGGGGGAAGAGCCGACGGCGCAGCCCAAGTTGCCAGGCGTTGCTCGCTTCGATCGCGGTCGGGCCGTAGCCCGTCGCTTTCTCTCCCTCGGGCATTCTTATGTAGGAGATAGATTGGTTAGATTGGCCAGAGCAGCCGGGTTGGTTGATTTGTGAGCCGCGAGCGCGAGAACTGGAATTGGCTTGCTTACCTTAGCTAGGCAACTGATTAGTTATTCCTGTGCCCGCGGAACCGAAACCGAGAGCCAAGACTCCCACAAGCCGTCCCCCCTGCCCTCTCGCGAGTGGGCTCATTTGTCCGAGATACGTTCTGCGCATACGTTAGATACTAACCTAGGGTTATCCACCGGCCTCTCGGATTACTCGAGAAAATGAGAAGAAAAGTCTAGAATTGTGTTCCGTCAAGGGGGGGGCGTCGGCGCGAACTAGGCAACGCCCCTGTAATAGTAGGTACATCGCAGCCAATTTACGGCCCATCCTCGTCCTTCTAGGCATAGTTGGACATCATCCTAACGAAACGCATTGTAAGACGACACCTGCAGGGAACAGCTTCACTCTGTCTCCAAACGGGAGCAGAAGAGAGAAACGAGGTAACGCGAGGTAATTAGTAGTAGTCCTGCGTTCGGTCGGTCCATCATACCAGGTCCTTGTCTGGGGGTAGTAAGCCCGTTAATACTGGCCATTGTTGCACAAGAAACCCCCCCCCCCCCTTCTGTACGTCTTGGGCCTCCCTTTGTACGCTAACCGTACAATAAATGCGTATATTAAATAGACGTGTGACGAGACAACTCGGCTTCGCGACAGCTTAGCCAGCTCTTATTCTCTCCACTCCAGTTACGCATCGTTGTCGCGTCAGCTCTCCTCCCCCGTCCCCCTCCGGGACCCCCCAATGGTCGTCTGCGCGACGCCTACCGCTGCCGTGTTACCCCGCCATACCGCGAAGAGGGAACGGAGGCTGATGCGGGAATTACGAAGGAGGTTTCGGTCTGCCATGTGGCCCTGCCTTGGCTTGTCGTCTTGTCATATTCCTCGGTCAGAGTCGGGTGGCTAGTCGAGGTGCATAGAGAGAACAGGGTAGTAAGAGAAGAGAGCTCTTGGGAGGTCATGCAGCTCTGATATTGTGGCCTCATGCAGCTCTTAAGACACCAGCGTCGACTCCTCTCGTCATCGAGGGGTTTGCGCCCGAGGGCTGCATATCTAGGCACGAAGATTTCATTAGGGCTGTGTCGGTGGATCATTTGATCGATCTCATGCTGTGGCTTTTATATTATTGTCGGCCTTCGCGGGGACATGGATATGGATGGTGAATAGAATCGCGCCCGTATTCGTAAAACATGGTACAACAATACCGACGTTATAACACGCGTGAAACCCATACTTGAATGAGTGCAAGTCTATTTGCCACGACAGACCAAGGCTGATCTGGCATGGTTTCAAGAGCGTGTAGAAAAGGTATTCCCAGAGTGCTGCTCGGAAAACCAAGGGGCGCGTTGTTAAGGGCCATAGGTGGTAGGGAATTCCGAGGCGTCGCAGGTGTACGATTCAACCGCCTACGTTCTCTGGGGGGTGTTGGGCGGTTAAAGCTCATCGATTGCCTCCTAACCCCCTCTCCCTCTCCCTCTTCCACCACGACCACCACCTCTCCCTCCCCTTGTTCCCCTACCACCTTTCTTCCCCTTCCCCCCACCACCCCCCGCACCGGCACTAAACCTCTCGTACAACCTTTCTTCGCCGAACGCCGCCTCCCCAAACCTGAGGTAACTGATGAGGCCGTTGTCCACGACGGCGACGGTCGCGTTGCGATACCCTTGCTTTAAGCGGCGGTACATAGGGCCCACTCCTCCTCCGTTCCGGCGCTCGTTACCGTCACGTGGCGGCGGGTCCCATGGTGTACAGCCCTCGAGCAGCGCGGTCAGCTGCTCCAGCGTCGGGACGTCAGATGTCCGCGCGTTTACCACCGCGATGTAGAAGTCGGGTGTCCCCGGCTTTGTCTTGGAGAAGGTCGTAGTGCTCTTCCAGATGTGGTAGTGAATCTTGAAGGGCTCCTCTGGTTCCGGGGCTGTCGGCGTCAGAGAGGTGGTAGAATTGGGGGTGAGGGTAGGTGAAGACGGCCTAGACATTTGCTGAAAGCGCGGGGTAGGCCTATGCCGCTGGACGAGATAGAGCTGCTCAAAGATGGGATTATAGGAGCGGTAGAGACCTGGCCTGACGAGCGGCCCGTAGGGCGGCGGATCCCGTCGCTGAGCTTGCTGAGAGTGCCCAGCAGAGATGAGGGAGAATAAGCGTTCCCACACTGTCTGCGGCGGTCTCTCAGGTTGCTGCGGAAGTGGGAGAGGCGTTGCGCGCATGACCCTGTAGCCGGTCCGTCGCAGATTGGAGTAAACCTGATACTTCTCGAGACTGACCTTTCCCCTCTCCCCGTCGGGGCCGATGAGCAGCGCATACGCTGCCTGCAAGCTGAGCGGTATGCCCAGCTCGTAATCCTCGAGTTTGCCATCGGTGCTGCTGTCTTTGTCGTCCCCATCCTTGCCGTCTTTATTCACCGGAAAGACGTCCTCGATGCCTCGCGCCGGCCACCACAAGCCCAACGACCCACGTTCGACTAGGTACAGTGCCTCCTCGGGCAGCAGCCACGTCTTAAGCCAGCCTGGCGTCTGCCTGTACTTCTCGACGGCGCCGCCCGTAACCACGCGCCCCGTGTTCTGGCCTAGGGGGCCCTTGATCTCGCCCTCGACAGCGACGACGCGCTCTCTCGCGAACAAGCCCGCCTCCTTCTCCCTGTCATCCGGCCTGTCGTAGCGCTGCTGCCCTCCTTCTCCCTCCCGCTCCCCCCCCCCTTCCCCGTCTCCGGAAGCGGGCGGTACGTCGGCCCACTTGTCGGGGAAGTACCAGGCGCGGGTGTAGTCGCGCGGCTTGTGGGTGCGTGTGAAACTCAGCACGTCATGCATCGCCTGCCGGCTGGCCTCAAGCGCCTCCTCCTGGGCGCGCGTGCCGTGAGCCTCGAAGTCCTTCTCGCCGCGGCGCAGGGTCCTGCCCGACACCGGCGTTGGTGAGCGTCCTTGGGAGCCCGGCTGCTGTAACAGCGACGTGAACATCCGGAAGTCCCGGGTACCGTCTCCATCCTCGAGGGCGTCCTCATCCTCCCCTTCTACGTCTGCCCCGGGCAGGTCGGACGGGGGTACCGGCGCTGGGTCTTCGTCGTCGAAGGGCATTTGTTCTCTTGTTTAGTTGCTTACTCGCTACTAAGGCTGTGGGCGCGGAATCGGTGAGTGAGATTAGGGCAAGCCCGGAGGGATTGTGAGAAGTTGATACCACGGTAACCCAAGACGGGACGATCTGCTATGATCTGTACAGGCAAAGGCTGAACCAGTGACCGGAAAAGTGTCAGCAATTACCCAATTAGTTTCGAGGAACTAGGTAGAAGTCGAAATGAACTAACCTATTATGCTTGTAGAGGGGCTGAAGTAAGAGCCCCATCACGTAAATCACGTAAATCACGTACCTGTGTATAACTAGAGGTACTACAGATAGGTACCTTTAAGGTACTTAAACATAACACTCCGCTGTTGTAGGTTATACCGTTACTAAGTTAGATGCCTACATGTGTGTTGTGTGTCGACCTTATCGAAAGACGGGTACTTAACGTAGGAAAGAATAGGTACCTTAGGTATATTGGATGTACTATCATTACGCACTAGAGTAAACGGCCGCCCCTCCTTTTGTAGCCCTCAAGCCCCGCACCAGGGCTATGTGCAGCCTAGGAACTTAGCACATAATACGACGACCAAGTTACCACGAGCAAGTGAAAAAGAAGGGAGTTTGGCCGAGTGGTTAAGGCGTTGTGTTTAGGTCATTCGTCCAAAAAGGATACCTGAAGCCCGCAATGGGAAACCGCGCAGGTTCGAATCCTGCAGCTCTCAACAAGACTTTTTTGGTGGCTACAGGCCACGAGCCCGTGGGAACTAAGCTATCCGGATCAACGTTTTATATTTTATACCAAGAACGTGCATTCTTGCAGGTGCATATTCTATGCTCCTTTTTGTTCTCCCCTCTTTCCGTTTCTCCTTCATGAGGCCCTGGCTTGACAGGATGGGGGATGGGAAACCAAGGTGAAGGAGAGGGGCTGGCTGGGTTGGGATATAAGGTTCCACACGCAGGTAGGCTTTGGCCCACTACTATACATACACATGCAGGCTTATGGTAATTGAAGCCTTATAGGTGCCGTACGATATAACCAGGTAGTCTATCTCCCTACCGAACTTGACCTACCTACCTGCCTAGACGCCTTGCCGACTTGATATCAATCTGATCGTCCTAAAATTACCCGTGTAGGCTATTTTGACGAACAAACGAAAACAATAAGAACTCGTTCTTCCTAGGAATAGTTGGCCGCGAGTAGTAACCTCAAACACGTTTGAAAGCGCGTGTTTTCTTCACTCTTCCACAATTGTCTCGGCAACGCCTAGGCAGGTAGGGTTAGTAACACAAGCGCGTACGGTACGTGGGTTAGTTCGTCCTTGAGGCACTAGAGACGTTTTGAAAGTCTTGTTTCTGTCTTCTCCCCCTTCGTCTTGCTAAGCCGTGCCCGCGTATATACCATCCTCGTCCAAAGCCGTGGAAATTTGGAAGGGGAGAGATATGTATATACACGATGCAGACCCGATTATAGAACACCCAAGGCTTGTCCCATCGTACAAGAGGGGCTTCTCACCACGGGGATGGCCCTCAAACAAATGTGTGTATATGTGTGTGTTTGCTTCTTTTCTCCCGCGCGCGGCCGGGTGCCGGCATGGTAGGTGTTTTACTAGTACCACCGTCAACTCGATGGTGCATAGCTGGTAGCGGTGCCTCGTGCTCGTAAGTAGAGGGGAGGGCAGGGCAGGGGAAAGTCAGAGACTCCTCGGACGGCCGTATTCCTAAATAACGCCGGGGAACCGATGAACCTGGTATCGTATCCTTCCGGCCTCGTACCGCCTTCTGCAAATGCATCATGACCCTAACGCCGCAAGTATTTCGTGGCAGTGCCCGTGTTCGTCCAAAATGGACTTGAACAGTTAGGCTGCGAATCCACGAACTTCAACTCGTCTCGTCGCCCTAACATTCCCGGCGATTATGATTATTAGTCGTGATAAGTGCCTTGTGCACCATATCGCCATTCTGTCCCCCGCCGTGGAGATCGAGCACTCACGTCTCTCCTTCTCCCATCCTTCTCGCGTTTTCCTTTTTTTTCTTTGAAAAGTCGCTTAAGTCACCTATACTAGCGGGACCGTTGAACACAACTTGATGTCCTAGTAGACAAAATGCCACCAGTGCCCAACTGGCTGGTCCCATGACACCGGCAAGCCTGTTTTGTCGCCCTAGCTGAGGCAGCATAGTAGGATTGCGTCGCGATCCGGTCGGGCTACCGCCTCGACGTATAATTCACTTCTTCTAATCTGCCCGAGGATTGGGACAAGTATTTTCGGTCGCCGAAATTGGAGGCGCGAACGTTTGCGCGTAGCATGCCGGTGAATTCGGTCGAGATCGGGTGCTAGAGGCATAGGAGTGTGCTTACAAGGAAGCCAACACGATGTCCCGCCGTTTCCGGGCCCGTGGGGTCTCATTCGATTAACGGTTTCTTTTGTCCTCCTATCACGCGAATTCCCGTCGTCCCTAGCGCTCCGGGGTCGTTGGCCAGTATAATGGTTCTTGGTGGTAGCGGTGGGTTGTTCGGGTCGACAGAAGAAGCGTCTCTCGCGGCTTGCTCGATGGCATCCATTTCTTCCTTACAAGCTTGGTGATCCATGGAACATATGACGATGGGCTGTCGGAGTGTGATATCGCGTGCCGACGTCAGCTGCGCCTATGTTTTGAATCATGATTAGCAACAGCTCGTAAAGGCTCGTCCCCCCCCCCCCCCCCCCCGGACTTCCGTCATCTTTAGGCGCGCATTACCTTGATGCAAAGAAAAAATTCAATCTTATACAGCGTAGATGTCGTCGTAAACGATGCGATCTCGTAATTCGGAAACGCCGGTTGGCCTCGTCGGATAATGCCGTTCGCGTCTCTCAGGTCTTTGTGGGGAACAAGAATCATCATGTTGGTTACGTATCCGACCTCGGGCAATTTGGCGCCGACGTTCTGGGTGTGCTTTTGAAGTCGAGTAATCTTCTTCGTCGGCTCGTCCCCTTCGGGATTGTAGGTGATCTCCTCCTCGATAGAGAGTATGAGCTTCTGTATCGTCACCTTTCTCGCCTTGGCCATCCAATCGGGATTTGGAGACAGCTTGATATATACGGTGATCGGATCCATGGGTCCGTAGCTCCATCGCGGTAACGAAATCCCAAGCGTTACTATATTGTCCGCCATCGCAACCTTGTGTTCGGGCCGGTTGTACATCCCAAAGGTCGATAGGGTGTCGTAGCGCTGCAATGGCACGGGGAACGCGTATTTCTGCACACTCTGCCCTTGCTGCACGGTTACCACCAACTCGTAGAATGTCTCCGCGGTCCTGGCCGAGAGTTGTAGCGATGCCGGTGGTATTCTCCTGTTGGTTTCTTCGCCGCCTCTTCCAAAAGGGATGAACAACACGAACGGCAGATCCATCGCCATGACGCTCTCGGCCTCCCTGCCCGTCGCACACCGGTATAGTAAGAGCTCCTTGCCAACAACATCGGTCGTCTCGCGTCGCGGTGTCCCGAGATGGCGCTTGGCCATGCTTTCGGCGGCTGGGTGGATTGTCTCTCTTCTTTGTAGACATATTCGGACTAGGGAGATCGCGACGGGAGCGGAATACCCTTGCGACGGTCTGATCTCGACTTTTCCCTCGATGCGCGGCTGCGTATGTGCAATTGTTAGTTTGGGGCTAGGCAGCCGGGAAACAACCAGAGAATCGGAGCCGCCGCAGGATGTTTTCGGGTCCTGCATTCCCCTCTCCCCCCAAGCGGCAGAAGCCAGCCAGCCGAAAAATAAACACAAGGCGGGAGTTGGAGGTATGGGACTCACCAGCGTCGCCGAGATGCCCGGGTATCCAACGAGGAAACTACTATTCGGAGGGCCAGAAACCCGGACAAAGGCGGTCACTCGCTCTGCCATGTTCGCGCAAAACACCCGACTGGTGGTGAACGAAGGCGTGCACGTTCAGCGTTGGGCTGGCACATCTATTCCGTGCCAACGGCTGCGTGCCGATACCTCCTTCGAAAAAATTGGCGACTCTCGAAAAATAAATAAGCCGTAAAAGGTGAGGCGAGTTACATGTCCCTGTCAGATTCGAGCGGATAGGGCATTTCCCTTCGAGACTGAAAGGTCGCAAGGTTGGTCTGCAGTCGCAACCGTCTCTCGTTCGAAGGTGAAGGGAAGCAATGGTAGCCGGGGCGGCGCGTGGAGGAAATTGGGTACGAAGGGCGGGATGCGATCAGTAGGGTCAGCTGGCTGGCCGGGTGGGAGGTTCCTGAAAGACCCTCGGGTTGTAGTAGTAGTAGTAGTAGTAGTGATTTGGGGAAGGGGGGGAGGGAGTACTGGTGGTGCTACTTGTGGAGGACGGTGACTGAAATGAAGAGAAAGACGTCGAGGTGACTGGCTGCTCGGGACCACGGGCGACAAAGACCGATATATGATAGCGATTGATAGGGCTGGTCCGCGCACTATCTGGTTGGGAATCTTGATCGCGATGCGGGCATGGAGCAGGCCGAAGGTGCGAGAGTTGGACGGATGCGTGGGCAGCCGTGCAGGACGCTTCTTAAGAGTACCGGGGGCCCTTTGACGATCTTGACTTACCCACGTAGGCCGGTCAGGGGTGGGAGCGGGTTGTCCGAGGTAGGGAATAGATGACGGGCGGCTGGCTGAGCAGGCCGGATTGACGACGTCGGACGAGGGGTTTTGGCTTGTAGCGAGTCTACCGAGAGGAAGAATCCCCGAGGAGAGGTCGGCCGTGAATAGGAGACGGCACGTATGGCAATTTCCAGGAAGATCGCAGAGCGGAGTCAGAAAGACGAGTGGGGAGGACCTGCTTACAAGATGCCGCCAACCCCACGGGCTACATGTGAGTGAATGGGGCCAAAGCAGGAGGGCCTTGGGGAGAAGTCGACCAGCCACGAGAGGAGGCGAGGATGCCACCACGACGCTGCTGGGAGGTGTGCTGCCAGGCGCTGCCGGGTAACGCTGCCAGGTAACGCTGCTACGGCTAGGTAGACGTGGGCAAGCCACCGAACGACGGGGGGGACGAGATCGGGGATGGGAAAAACCGAGAGGAGCTGGACAAGCAAATCACATCAACATGCTCATACACCTAAATACCACCTACCACACCTGAAGTGGGAAGAAGCCTGAATGGGGAAATCGAGAGGTACTTAGCAAATTAAGGTACCGGGTGGGGCAGACAGTACCTGGCTGAGCTGGTTTGGCTGAACGACGGCGAGGTAGGAATACCTGGCGTCGGCGTCGCATCGCGCGCTGCGTAAAGTACATCGAGGTGCATCTACGCACGGACATTCAGTATCTAAGGAGGTAGGAGGTACCTATCTGGGTACTCTTTTTCCCGTCTTCGATCGGACCTTGGGATTCGTCTTTGCTGCATTAGGTACCTCCCCGCCTGTAAGTACTTGGGTGGGCACCTAGGTACCTAGGTAGGACTTCACCTGCCTGCAGGGGCCAACCAACGGTCGATCCGATTTGGGCGCCTAGGTCGTGAGGGGTGGGAGTTGACCCGTCGTTATATGCCCTAGGGCGGGTTCAACTTAGAGGAGGTAGCTCAATACCTACAGTAATAGTAGTAGGTATTAGTAGCTCGTAAGCAGGTACCTATTAGAGCTCGCAGTGTCAATGGTATGTGGGCAACAATATGGAGCCTACTAATATCGATCCCGCCCATATAGGTAATTACTACGGACAGGCTCCCTAGAAGTACCTAAGGTATGCACCGATCTGGGTAGGTATACAGACCTACTGCTTGGAGAGATGTGTGAATATTTAAATGCCACTACCTTTAGGTAGTACAATACGTAGAAAGTATGTACAGTGCATTCCATAATTTGGGCCATCGGCGCCTCCTGCGGTATTCGTCTCGCTGAGTTCGTTATTCAACGCATGCCTCATTCCGACTACTACCCCCGACGGCATACCCCAGGTCCATCGGGGACTAGATCCTGTAACTTCGCCTAGGGTTGCGCTGGTGTGCTATATATGTTCGTATGCATGCAGCGGAAACAGCGCGCCCTGACTACTGCCATAGTATTAACATGAACCCCAAGGCACGTCCGCAGACGGGTGTCTGTATTTTCAGTGTAGGGAGAGCACAACGTCGGCGTCTGAGCATGCGTATGCTCTGGGTAGCGGTTAGGCAGTTAGGTAACATGGGATGCAACCACACTACCTGGGCATAGGTACACCACGATGGAAAGGGGGAAACTTACACACAAATACATACATACAAACCCGCCATCATCCGAACGGACCGAGCTTCAGCGCGGGCCACTCGCGTGTGCATGTCTGCGCCTGGATGGAGGAGAAGAAAGAATAGAAGAGTTGCAGAAGGTGGTTTCGTTGGGGTCGTTTGGGGGCCGGGTGGGAGCGGGAACCTGACAACCCGGATGAGGCTGACGGCCCTAAAGATTTCCCCCCTAGTTTTTCTTTCTTGAATGGGCTGTAACATACCTAGGTGGGTATTGGTAGCCAGAACCGCGCTTGGCTATTCACATATATTGATTTGTTGAAGTCCCGTGCTATTGTCTTCCTGAAATTAGCCATGCACAGATGTATACCCAGGCTTATACACGTATACCTCCCCACAAGGTATCTCCTAATCTATTACAATAGGACATACACCTGCCTACCGGTCGTGTAGGCCGACCTTAGATGGGGTCTCTGTGCTGAGGAGTGGGGACGCATGACACCTTCGTTGCCTAATAAAGAGGACAGAAGGGACAAGAAAACGGAAGAATACCTCGTTTAGCCCCTTTATTCTGGAATTCGCACTCGAGGGGGCAGACGTAGTCGGTAGCCAGAGCAGCTGGAGGAGAGCACGAAAGAACCCCAAAGCCATCCGGTTTTGGGGAGAAAGATTGGGGGGGGGGAGCGATGAGAGATCAACTCAGCTATTTGTTTAGTGCTTACCGGAGCTTGCTTACTTACGACGTAGTCCATACCTACCTTGCACACCCTCACACACCCCTTCACGCATAACAACCTGTATGTAACAGAGTCCGAGATGGGACGAACAGGCAGATCCTCCCTCCTCAACCGACCCTCGCAACGCTGCATCCCACACACACGGCGCCTTTTGCCGACCAGTGATGTAACCCCCCGATGTGCGCCATCGATTTTCCACGCGGAAACGCCAAAAAGAATATTTCTAGGGACGGGGTACGACTCGCGCGAGACGATTCCACGTGTTGCCGTCCCAGAGGGGCGCGAATGACGCGTCGAAGTTGAGCGAGCGAGGCATGTACCTATCTTAAGCAGGGCTATACATAGGTAGGTAGATGATAGGTAGAGGTCAAGGCAGTCAATATTAATATAGGTAACTTGTTGTTGTATTTCCTGCACCGGAACTGCCTCCTTACGTCCACCCATTACCCACAACTACCTAACTTACTAGGGAACTTATGAGGATAAGTATATCGGGTTGGGCATATAATGCCTTGACGTAGACAATTGCTATACGTACCTACACGTTAACCGCGCTCAGTCGCCGATGGGACGTGAGAACGAGAACCTTGGATAGAGTTACGCAGGCACTGACCGAACACAACCCCTCGGCATAACCGGAAATGCGGCACTCAATTTGACCGTACCTGTGTAAAGGCATATACATGCATTGATAGCCGTACTGATACTATACTCGGACAGTTCCATACACCCCCCTAATCTTGTTTAATTACAGACATACAAACACAGCGCAAATACCTCGGAACCTCCTACCTGCCCGCGTATAGAGGCATGCATCTAACGAAGCGCGCCACGGTGCACTATAGTGTCCTAAGGTACCTAATAGGTATCTACAGTGCCAGGTATACATGTCACATGCCTACCATTCTCAGTGCTGTATGTTCGAAAGCTTAGTACCTGAAGTCCTACACAGTACCTACATCATTGGGTACTTAGGTACCCAACAGCCTTGGGCTGTCCTGGCCAATCAGACTAGAGTGCCGTGGTCCCCGCAACGGACCCCTGAGAATGGCTCATTTTGGTGCCCCCACGGTCTCTCGCCCGTGATCGCAACTCTTTTTTGAACCTCCAACCCCGTACATGAACTCGCGGTCCGCCCACCGCCGCTCCATGCCCTCGCGCGACACATCCAGTACGCGAGCTCTCGAGGACGTAGCGGCACGACTTACGACTCCCCCCGACATGGTATCCGTGCCGTCCTGAGCCCGCCCTGGCACCACCACCACCACCAACCACCGCCACCACGATGTCCGTCACTCTGCATACCACCCAGGGCGATCTCAAGATTGAGGTCTTCTGCGAGAGCGTGCCCAAAACCGCCGAGGTGCGTCGAGCGCAGCTTCTCTCCGCGCCGCACCAGCCTAGCTAGCAACTGACACCCTCGCGCCGCCAGAACTTCCTCGCCCTCTGCGCCTCCCACTACTACGACCGGTCGCCCTTCCACCGCCTGATCCCGGGCTTCATGGCGCAGGCGGGCGCGCCCGCCGACCCGACGCCGGACAACCCGAAGGGCGGGCGGTCGATCTGGGGCGGCGCCTTCGCGGACGAGATCCGGCCCGCGCTGCGGCACAACGCGCGCGGCGTCGTGTCCATGGCCAACAAGGGCCCTGCCACCAACGGCTCGCAGTTCTTCATCCTCTTCGACAAGGCGCCCCACCTCGACGGGCTCAACACCGTCTTCGGCAAGCTCATCGGCGACGAGAGCCTCGCTACCCTGGCCAAGCTCGAAGCCCTCGAGGTCGACAAGAAGAACCGTCCCAAGGACAAGGTGCTCATCGAAAGCGTCACTATCCACGCCAACCCGCTCGCCACCTGACCCCTCCCAAGGCCAGGCCTAGCTCAAGAGGCCCATATGCAAAGCCGAGGCACGGAATCTGACGTCGCGTCGGCGGTCCTGCATCTCATCTACGCCCTGTGCCACGACCGCACTTGACACCTAACCAGACTACAGTCTTGGTAGGCTATGCTAGCAAACCGCGCGTCGAGCTATGCCTTCCCGATACGCCCGTACGGGGAAATCAACAGGCTAGTAAGGGGCCATCCTCTCTAAATACTCCGAGGAACACGGGCACCCGGGGCCATGAATCTACAAGCACCTCGGGGTGAGTTCGGTAGCTCGGAACGGGGATACGGCAGACTGCCTCCGGGACAGGTTGTGCTTGTCAAATAGAGAGCCGTTCTAATACCTATCCGTACGCCATAGATGCGCCGTATTCCGATTTCTAGGTGTATTCACATATCCCCTCCATTATATAGATGCACGACTGTATCTGTACTCTCACCCACGCGTAACATGAGAGGCACCCTACACGGAAAATATATAAGGCCAGCTAAAGTGCCCGGTGTTAGAACATCTCATCTCACGGATTGCCATCTAAGATCCAACCAGTACCACCTAATATCCAGCAGAGGACGGGCAGGAGACATGAACGTAATAATCGGTGCGGTGCGGCGCCGAGAGCCTCCTCCGTCTCGTATCTATATCCGCGAGCGCAAACAACTTACCTACAACTCCTACGCAGGCCGATTCATTCCCGCAATAATCACAGCATCCTCGCCGACTTGCAGAAAGAGTCACTACAGAGCAGAGCCGTAGTGTAGAGCGGTGGCACAAGGTCTAGAGACGTCCCCAGCGGGCAGCGTACCTAGGTATACCGGGTAAAACTACCCAAGATAGTACCATACAGGGAGGGGGGGGTCTATGGACAGTATGTCAGCAATAGAGTCGGGGTACCGACACGGTAACTAAATTTAGTAAGGGTTACCTTAGCTAGTTATTCTTTCGGAAGGGCTAAAAGAATTATAGCAAGGGTCGCGGTACCGACCTTATTACCTTCCCTTCTTATAATTTCAGGATGGTTTTTATGACTACGTAGGAACTAACATCCAGACGGACATAACGTCTATATATTCTATAGGTACCTACCTACCTACCTACCTACCTACCTACCTACCTACCTACCTACCTACCTACCTACCTACCTAGACCTGTTGTCTTTATCTTTTTTTCTACAAAACACCACGATCTACCACCTATCTTCGAACCTATCTTCGAATCTATCTTTAAACCTATGGGAGCTAGTTCAAGCATGGAATCTATCTATCTATCTTCGAACCTATAGGAGCAGGTAGGTAACAGACGTAAAAGATACAAAGGTACAAAGGTACGTACTTAATAATATAGAGGTAACCAGGTAATCCTATAGAATATACCTTTTTTAAAATAAGGACATTATATCCGGATAGTAACTATGTCGGGAAATGGTAATAATGTCAGCCTAGAGTTTAACTTACTCTTATTACGAGGCAGATACTATGTCCAGTCATAGAAAGGGTTGCTGACATAGTGTCAATAGACCCCCCCCCCTCCCTGTATGGTATCCTACCACCCGTAGTGGACCACTATTAGACATAATAAACACCGGTGTCCCGCGCTCCCACTCTCCTAGCTTTCGCTATTCGCAGCCGCCGCTCGACAGGATGCGCGGCAGGGAAAGGAGGGCCACATATCTAACGCGAAGATGCTTCTAACAGACTAGCCCGCGTCTTTTTCCGTCGCGTGTAGAGCTTAAATGCACAGCTACGTTAGACCGCCCGCCAAGCGATGATAGCAGGGCGGAGAGGCGCAAGAACCGGCTGCATGAGAGAGCGACGACGACGCTCCTCGCGGTGAACATCGGGCTTGCCGGCCGGTCGAGAATATAAATTTCTAGCACCTATGTGTCCCGCGACCCATCCTACCTCCGCGTCGCTGGGGAGGGGAGTACTCCAGGGTTCTTTCTGATACCTAGTTTGCCGACACTTATGACTGTCCGGGCGGGGGAGGAGAGTTCAAGCCGGGTCTCTCTGACTCCCCGGTGCTCCACCGCCCGAACTGTGATACAACCCGTCGAGCACCCAAGGTTCGCCGGAGTGGCGAGACCTGTATTGTGAGCTTAGGTGCTTAGAGCAAACGTATAACTCCGGGGGGTCTCCTCTTGCTGCGTAGTTCTCCCTCCCCGACCCCGTCTCCCGAGCTTTTCTCTTATTCCTCTCTCTCTCGACAATCTGCGACGCAGATACCGGCCGCCAGACCCTCGTAATCATCTCCTAAATTACCAAGGACAGGAATATAGCCCTCTCCTCACTTCTCCTCGCTCTGCAGATCATCCTCTCGGCCAGCCTCGCCACGCCTCCCCTTCCCTCTGCGCAGCAGCCAGATCTCTGCACCCTGCACCTCTCGCGTCTCCCACGCATCAATCCACCCACCCACTCCCCTCGCCATCTATCCATCTACCTAGAGCAAGCTCCTCAGCGCTCTCCTCCCCACACCCATGAACGACAGCTCCCTCCCCGCGGACCCGGCGCCCCGGGGCGGCGCCATCCTGTACGTGCTGTTCGCGGTGGCGTCGATATACCTGGCGGTGTACTGGGGCCCGCTGGTGCGGGAGGCTCTGGCCAGGGTCGGGCCGCGGCCGCTGCTGCTGCCGGAGGAGGAGGAGCAGGAGGAGCAGGCCAGCCGCTCGTGCTGGGCGGCCGCCCACCGCCACTACCACCGCCACAGCCCTCGCGTATTCGATATCGAGCCCCACGCCTCCCTCGCCCAGCTCCGGCGCGGCCCCGACTGGAACCGCCGCGCCCGGCGCTCCCCCACCCCCACCCCCGCTGACTTGCCTCGCTTGCCGTCCGTGGTGCCGCCGTCGCTCTTTGGCGTGCGGCGGGGCTGGGACAAAAATCCGGACTCGATGGTGTGAGAGGAGGCCGGGGGGGGTGATTTCAGAGTGGTTTCATCGGTTTCCTCGCCTGTCCCTACCTCCCTGCTTATCTACCTACCGAGCTCGCACATACCTATATATGTACGTGCGTAGGGAGAAGGGTGGGGTGATGGGTAGGTACCTGGGATCGCGAAGACGGGAATAGCGTTGTGTTGTTGGGACTATTCGTCGGGGGATAATATCGGGGTTAACCGACAAGAGAAGATAGGTACTGAGGAAGACAACAGCGGAGCTTACTATTATGCACGAGGCGGTTCAGACGTCTTCGTCGTATCGGTGTATATATGGCTCGTAGGTAACCCCGGGCTGCATCTACGGTTTATTCTCCCGCCACCCTTCTTCCCCTTCGGCTCTTCTACCGTAAGATCGATCGTGCCAACTACCTACCCGCACGTATGTCCGTCCGAGCGCACGAAGTAGAACGCCTCCAGCAGCCCGACGTAGTGCAGCCAGGCGCGCCGACCACGATCGCGACATGGAGTACCTAGCTGGTGGCTCGCGCCGTGGATGTCGAAGCGGTAGGGGTGCCGTCTCTCGGGAACCTCCGGACGAAGTCAGTAGCGGTTCTTTTCCCGAGCCAACTCCTCCCCTCCCCCCCCCCCCCCCCCCCGCCACGAAAAAAAAAGATACCCGGTACGGAGCAGAGACGGAGACGACAGAGGGGATTGCGAGAATTGATGCGAGGAGACGAAAGCATGAGCTAGCCTCACCGCCGCCCAGGAGAAGGCGCGCAGGCGCGCGTCGCGCGAGAACTCGTTGGTAGTAGATGGCGGTGACGGCGGCGCCCCAGATCAGCGCGAGGATGCCGGCGTAGTCGAGCAAGTCGCGCCGCGTCGCGGACGAGTGGCTGTGGGTCCCAAGAGTGATGCTACAGGCACCTACCCATATTCTGCGGGCCTGCGCAGCTAGGTACCTGTCGCCTAGGCATGGAGCGGAGGAGCCCCAGCTCGTCCTATGGCTGCCGACGGTGGTGTCGGGGTAGCTGGGGCTGAAGACGAAACGAGGGGGGTTATAAGACGTCATCGTCGCCCTCTTAGACGGCGCCGCCAAGGAGCCTACCGTCATTAACCTTCCGAGCATTGGATTTAACTTCCGAGCTAGGGGAGCAGACTCGCTCAAGTCATCGTCCTGCCGGCCTCGGTGTATGAGGGTTTGGTTGCTACGACAAGGGAGTGGAAAAGAGGCTAGGTGAAGGTCTGTCTCGATGCATTATTATCCACCTACCTTAGGTGCCTCTAGGTACCCGATCTAGGCACCTCTTAACTGACCTACCTGTATTGGCCAAGCACCTCAGTAGCTGTAGATGGCAGCTCCTCGAGTACATCGATAATAGCCGGGCCGCTGCTGATCTCCTCCCTAGGAGGTGCCCCTCCAGTCTAACCGGGAATTGCTCGCCGTGCAAAGTGCGTTGTAGCGCAGCCGGTTGGGGCCTGTCCCCCGCCTCCCGACACATCCGCGCTGGGCTGCGAGCTTCCCTATGCCGCCCGTGATCGCGGCCCTGCCGCCGGCGGACGACGGTCGGACGAGTGAGCGGGGCCGATCCCACCTAGTCAAATGCAGAGAGCCCGTACTCGTAGACGCGTACACAGACGCGGTAGATAGCCCGCACACCCAGCGAGACGGACCGATGAATACTCATTACCTACAGAGCCCATGTACATACACATACATATGCGCATGCATATGCCGACATACCAGGCCCTTTCCCCCCTTAACATTAAGAAGGCCAATAGGCGCGTTCCCACCTAACACGGTACGGGTGCCGGCACCGGCACCGGCACCGGGCATCCAGTAGCCGCGCCGTTCTTCGTGGTCGCCTGTCCCCAAGTGCCCGCCGACTGTGTACTCCTGCTGTATATGTGAATAAGACGATGGGCGGGGAAGGAAAGGGAACAGGGGTGGGGTAGAGGGACAGCGACAGGCGATCAATTAGTGGTAATCCAGAGCGGCAAGGGTTGGAGAAACAAATGTGTATATTCAATATATAGGTGTGTATATATATACGGAGAAGCGAATGCGTGGGAGGGGGCAGACTGATGAGAGGGCGAAAGGGAGGGAGAGGGCATGTCTGTCGTAGTCGTCGTCTTCGTTGCTGTTGTCTTCACATTAGTGTCTATTTCCATCCCTCATCGTCTAGGTATGCACGTATGTATCGTCTTAATAGCACGACGCGATGCGGCGCAACGCAAGGTAACGGGACAGGAGAGTACAGGACGGGACGGGACGGGATACTGCAGGGTGTGTGGTTGGATGTGGGGAGGAGACAGCAAGGTGGCGAGGCAAGACGGATGCAGCATACGGACAGCCCGACCGCCACTATCACTGCGGCCGCCGGCAGACGCAGACCGGGGGAGGAGGAGAGAGGCGGAGAGGAAACCCTCCTGCGTGATCGACAGATAGCATGCGCATTCATCCCATCGCAAGTTGCTCGGCCCACGCTTCCCTCTCTTCCGCTCCAAATCGTGCATGCATATGCATCTATATATGATAAGCATACGTGCTACAACATCCCGTCTGGCCTGCTTACCCTTCCTGTTCTGCGTGCGTACTTAACCTCAGTCTCTATGGATTACGCCAAGCGGAGGTGCCCGGCGCCGAGGCCGGGTATGAGCTCGTATAATACGGGGACGATTTCGACGGCTAGCCAACCGATGCCTGGAATTCGTGCGCCTCAAATCAGCCATGTTGCCTATGCGTCGTCGTACGATTTGCCTTTTTCGTTCCCGGTCTGTTGTCCTCTTGGGGGCATAACGTAAGAGGAAAGAAAGGGACTCACCACAGTAGACGACGAGCTTAGTCACAACCTCGACATCGTACCGCACGCGCGGCTTGACCAGCATCGAGAAGACCTCCTTCTCGCTGAGCTCGTCCTGCTGCCCGACGAATATGGTTGGCTCTCCGTTCGCGCCCGTCGTCTCGGCCGGCGAGACGATTACCCTGCCCTCCCCCATCAACTTTTCGAAGTCGCCAAGTCTACTACTACTATTATGATTATAATGATGGTGGTGATGATACTGTTGCTGCGGGGGTAGTGGCTGCGTTTGCTGCTGTCCGCTGCTGACGGCGGAGCTCTGCGCTGCGCCGTCGCTTTCGCTCTGCGAGCTCTTCGCACTCTCTTTTAAATCCTGAGCGCTCGTCCTGCTGTGTAGCGCTGAGTTGCTGCTGATGCTTTCGCGGTGCCGGCGTTCGCGGTACGCGAGCGTCTCGTACGCATCGGCCGCGCTCTGCGGCCCCACCGACACCGACCTGCCGCGCCCCGGGTGCCGCACGGCGGTGATGAGCCCCGGTAGGTCGCTCACGTTCGGCATCACGTTGTCGACCCTCAGCCGTAGCGGGATGTTCTTGTACTCCGACGCCGGCATGAAGAAGCGCCGCGGCAGGCTCAGACCCCAGTTTTCGATCAGGCGGAACAGGTGTGGCAGACCCCTCAGCAGCGAGGGCTTGGCAACCTCGCGCCACGCGAAGATGACGAGCACGCCGAAGAGGATGCGTGCCACGACGACTACCCAGCCGAGCGCGTGGAGATCGAAGGTGATGTCGGCCAAGGACGATTGGTTGAAACGCCACGTCCCGATCTCCAAACCCATCATGACCCCGGCGAAGGCCACACTGTCGTCAAAGCAGGGGCAATCGTCCGCCGGTTCTGGATGGACCCGTATGAGAACGATGACCACTAGTAAAAATGTGCACAGGCCAACCCAGCCGTTCTGAAAAATGAACACGTCCAGGGCGGGTCCGTAGTAGAACTCGATCAGCGAGATGATGGCACCCATGATCGATCCCACAATTACATCCACAAAGCCGTGCATGCCACAGTAGAGGCGGCCAAACACGATGCTGATGGCGTAAAAGTAGGCTAGCGCCTCGAGAGTGGACTTGGTGGTGGGCAAGAAAGGATTATCAGGCGACCTGAGGCACAGGATTGCGTACACGGCAACGGAGACTGCGTTTGCGGAATGGGTCGAAGGGAAGCCGTATTCGAGGGCGGCCGAGCCCGACATGGTAATGCGATGTAAGGGCGGCGACAACGGCCGCGGGAGGGAGAAGAAGTCCTTGATGAAGCCGGTGAAGAAGACGCCGCTCGCCAGAATATGCACAATCCTGATGGCCAGGTTAGCCGACCGTTTCTCCCTCACGACGACCACATCTGTGTCCGCACGTCGGCGGGGAGGCCCTACCCTTTGCCAAAGGAACCATTGCCGCACCAGAACAGGATGGGCAAGCCGACCATGAAGAAGGTGTGGGTGCCGAGGTTGGCGGTGATGGCAAAGTAACTGTCGAGAGCGGGTGTGCGCAGGACGTCCTGCAGCCAAGCTAAGTAGGGAGTCTCCCATCGCACCAGCGGAAGGGCTCGCTGTCGTAGGTAGTAACGCCATTTCGGAAGGGCGCGTTTGTCTGGGTAAAGCTGGGTGTCAGCGGTGAAAGTGCCCCGAATGCATGTGAACATAAGCAGGCGCGAAAATCACAAGCTTCCCCAGGCCTCGAGCGCTACGGTCCCGCCGCATACCGAGCGATAACCATACTGGGAACAGCCACAACATCGCAATCGCGAGAACTCGTGCTCGTGTGCCATGCGACTCTCGCACCCTCTCTCCGCATTCGTAGGTAGAGGCAGATATGCGGGGGACATAGGACAGCAACATACAGTGATCCAGGCTCCGTAAGCCAGCATCGATTACGGGGGGCTTCTCGGGGGCGGGCCCGGCGGTCGCATCATGGGCGGGGAGTTTGGTCTTCACAGGGTCGGCGCCACCATTGGCGTGGGCGTCAGCGGGAGGCATCGAATCTGGGCGTGTCTTCGTCGCTTGAATCCGGAGAGAGGTGGTAGCATGAAGGTGCGAAACAGGACAACTCGGCACGGCGGCGGTGTTGTTGCTGTTGCTGCTGCTACTCCAGCTCAATTGGTCGAGTCAGGAGTGGAGGGAGGCAGACGGGAGGTTCGCGCATCGAAATGTACCAAGCGAGGTGTGTATTGTCGCTGGGCGGGTATTGGGGTTCCCTAGTTGGCGATCGTGGTAGAGGTGGTATTCGCAGTTGGTAAGTTGGCTAAGTAGGGTGAGGTAAGGGGGGGGGGGGGGTGAGGAAGGAGACAGGGAGGAGAGAGAGGACAGGTGAGCCCGGGCGGTCGCAAAATTAGAGGACGGAGGAGTTGCAGGGTAAAAGGCAAGAAATTGATCCAGGCAGAGTAGAAAATCAAAAATTAACACGCAAAAAAAGGTGTAGGATCGATTGATGGATATATTATAGTCTGGAACGGTTTCTCCGCCACCGAACGGCAGAACGCACCGTCTCTCGCTTTCCGCTCGGACAGGTAGGTAGTAAACACTTTTCTCAGTGTCACGCCTCTGTTCCTTTTCGTTGGTCCTCTCGCCCGCTCCTTGCTCTCACCGGACTTGATAGTCCCTGCAGCTCTGTTCCGATTAGCAGTAGCTGCTGCTAAGGTTCCATTCGAGGGTATTTTATTTTTAAATAGGATCTCTCGGCAGGGCCGTGTTATGCCGTGGTGGTCGTCGGGAATTTGTCGACTAACCTAAGAGCCGGCCACGCACGCTGGACGGGAAGTTGGTAGTGTTGGTGGGAGTGTCGCAGCAACAACAAGTACCTAGCAGCAAGTTATCTAGTTTGGTCACCCACCCATCCATCGATACACACATACGTGCCTACATACCTACCTCTACTGCTTCCTACATACCTAGCTACCTACCTAACCTACCTACATACTAATACCTGTAAATAGATAAGTAGGGGGTGGGATAAATGATGGGGATCGCTGCGTGCATCGCGGTCGGCAGCAAATCGGAAGACCCCGTCGCATCTCTCCCCCCCCTCCGTCCTCCCCACACCCGTGTCGTCAGTCTTTCCCGATAAGTCGCGCTATGGCTTCATAGCTGCATTCCTGCAGAGGGTGTGAACCTGGGCGTCTTCCATGCTCAGATCCTCCAGGGATGCGAGCGGCCATTTGAACGGTGAGTATTACCTACATGCTACTTGGGCGTAGGACACCTACCTACCTACCTCCTACCTACCGCTTAGCTACTGGATATACCCAATCCGCCTAAAGCAGCAGGCCAATGCTATGTGCATTTGGTGTATGAGGTAAGGTATAGGTAGGTATAGAGGTAGGTATAGTAGGAGGTAGGTACCTGGCAGACGAGGTATGGTAGCGGTATATTAGGTACATATCTACATGCCGAGGCAGATCAAACTTTAAAGATACTTAGCACCTCCCCCACAGAATCCTTACATAAGGCACCCACTTCTCTCATCAAAATTTGCCTGTCTACTAATATCCTCGACGCCTTTACCGTAACCACAGCAGCTTAGCGACGACGAGATTTCCTCCCAAGCGCAGACGTGCCGAAGTGCCAGAGAAGCCGCAGATCCGGTGAATCGGCCGTCGTAAGAAAGCCAGCCTCTCCTCCTCGCTATCCCGCCGGGACCTAGCTGCTATAGGCCGCTGCGTCTGTCGTGCGCTGTGCGAGGGGCTCTTGAACCTAGGTAGAATAGCCAAGGTAGCTCTCCCCCCTTCCCCCCCTCTCCCCCCTCGTCGCAACGCTCACACCCACGCGCGCGCAGGCCCAGAGACGGGGCAGTGTCGGGGATGCAGCATATATCCCTCGTCGGCAAGCGTTGCGTCGTCACCGGCGGCAGCCGCGGCATCGGCCTGGCCATCGCCCGCACTTTCGCCGCCTACGGCGCCTCCTGCGTCCTCGTCGGCCGGGATGAGTTCACCCTCCAGGAAGCCGTCGCGACCCTCAGCACTGACGCGCTCCCCGAAGACGCCGTCCCCCACAGCACCGTCGCCTTCGATGTCGCCGACACTAAGGGATGGGACCTGCTGCTCTCCCACGTGCATGTAAGCCTTGCCCCCTTTCCTTTTTTTTCCTTGGAGAAATGAACGCCTCCCCCCTCTCCAAGGGTATTTCGACGGAACCTTACATGCGGATGATTAGAATAAATGTGAAATCCTCGTCAACGGAGCGGGCATCATGCAGAGGTCTTTCCTCTACAGCATAGACTACCCGGAGATCCAGAAGACTGTCAACACCAACCTAATGGGTACCATATGGGGCTGCCGGAAAATAATGCCCAAGATGATGAAGGCGAGAGAGGGTAAATCGAGTCGACATCCTTCCTTCTGCTGTTTTCGTCCCTTATTCCTCCTCCCCACACTCTGCCGAGGGCAATGTTCGCTGATCACCTGAGGACGTGTATAGGGTGTATTATCAACGTAGCTAGTGTGCTAGCCACGAACGGCGGCAAGGGCGCGAGCATCTACGCCGCGTCCAAAGCTGGGGTTGTCGGTATGCACCACGCCCCCCAGTCTCCCGATTGAGTGACGCAGTATATCTAACACGCATACTCTCTTCCTCCCACCCCCTATTTCTAGCCCTAACACGATCGTTGGCCTGGGAATTGGGCAGGTTCAGCGTCCGTGCCAACGTCCTTGTACCCGGATATATCCGCACCGATATGACCCGAGGTGATGCCTCCCTCCCTTTTCCTTCCCTAACGTTTCCTTTACTATTGGCTCGGTCCCTCTCTCAGCCCCGGCTCTAAGCTTCTTCGACAACCCATGCTAGACCAACCATCGGCTCCTCTACAACGTACACAATTACTAATATACATTCCTCGGTCTAGGCATGGACAAGAGGAACAGCCTTACTTCCCAAATCCCTATAGGGCGGATGGGTTCTCCCGATGAGGTGGCTGATGCTGCGTTATTCCTGGCCCGAAATCCCTATGCGCACAACTGTGTCCTCAACATAGACGGAGGCTTGAGTGCGGTGTGAGACCGAGTCAATCGATACTGTGGCGGTTTGACTCGTGTAGGTTAATGACGACACCTAGTCAAGAATTTCGATAGCCCCGGTGCTCGCGTCATTGTCGTCGACAACGACCACGTCGTCGTCGGCACCGGCGATAGCGGCCATCTTGGCTTTCTTGGCCGGCGCGAAATCGGGACCATCCGCCCTCGGCCGTTTGAGCTCGTTGATGGAAACCTCGCCGTCGGCAATGCGCTTACCGTTAGTCTGCCCAACTCCGTTGCTCTCCGCGGCTACAACGACCACTTTCTTCGGCTTTCGAGGGATTTCCGGGGCCTGGTCGGCTCCGGGGCCTTTGATCGGCTTATCCGCGAGTTTACTGCAGGGACGGGTTAGCAGCTTGTATAGTAACAAGAAAGACGTATACTGCAACATACGCTTCCTGGACGTTTAAGACGACGTTGATGAACGTATCCTCGTCAGCCTCGTCCACGATCGTGACAAAGCCATTCTGCTTCACACCTGCAATGTATTAGATGCCACACTTGTTATTATGGGAATGGACGCAGACTAACCGAGTTCGCTCAGTGGTTTGTCCAGGTTGTCAGTCTCGTCTGGGTCGTAGAGCAAACCGGCGTCACTGTTCACTGCGAATTCCTTGTCGCCGTAGCCTAGCTGCAATCTGACGAAATCCTCCACTAGATCATTTAGTGTCGCCCTGGATAGGTCTACGTAGATGCTGGTATTGTATGAGCCGCAGACCGGGCAATCTGGATTTGGTGGGCGCGGGCGATCCGTCCCGAGCAGCCTCTGGGGTGCGAACGGCGTCAAGAAGATCTAGACCATCAGCAACGCCCGCGAATTCCACGCCTCGTACAGTACTCACCTCCCGCGTTCTGTCGTACTCGCCCTTCAGGACCTTGAAGGATTGGATGACGGACAAGCCGGCAACGATAGCGTTGGTCGTCGCGATGGCCGGAATAATGTTGCCGGCCATCTGCTTGATATTGAAGCGCGACTTGCGGTCGATTCCGAAGATATGCGACCGAAGGTTGGCGCTGGCGGCGACGAAGTCGAGCGTATCCTCGTCGTCCTTGTCAAAATTGATGGTGGGTTTCGGTAGATCCGCACCCGCGGCCTGATTCAGCTCTAACATGCGCTTGCTCAAACGGTCCAAGCTGTCGTTGAATACCACCAAATTCTCCTCCAAGCTCCACACGCGCTGGCCATCTTTGACAATCTCGTCCTTGCGCGCACGCGCCTCGGACGCTTGGCCTATCAAGGTCTCGTACTGAAGGGGCGTCGGCGGTTCTCTAGATTTCCACATATCTTGCATCGAGCGTAAGCGGAGGATGTCGTTATGGAATACTTTGTCGAACAACATCTGGGAAAATTGGGCGGTGCCAACCGAATCTCGTATCTTCTTCAAGGCCTCCGACTCTTTCTTAAGCTCGGCAATCTCCGACGCGTTGTCCTCGTTCTCGGAATTGTCCACGACCGCCTGATCCTCGCTCGTGCCGAATATCTCGTTGAGGAGATAGCTCTTGCCCCAGACTATGCAATGTATGGGCTGGCTCGGGGTGCTTCGGATCGTGCATACGGGGAAGGTCTTGGGCGCCTCTTTCGTCGTGCAATCGTAACATGCCGTAATGCCCTTCTTGATAACCTGAACCTGGCCGTTGAAGCCAGTCGTACCACTCTCGATCAGCGGCACATCGGCGGCGAGACACATTCGGTTGACATGTCGTCGCGCCTCGAGATTGTCCAGCGCGTTGAAGACCACCTTGAAGCCTCGGAACCATTCGACGCTGAATTGCGCATCCTTGATGTTTGCGTGATGCGCGAGGATGTTGACGTTAGGATTGAATCTCTGGGCCGCCTCCTTGGCCACCTGCCGCCGGGTCAGCGTTTTACTCCGCGGACGTCATCGCGTCACCTTCGGGTCGCTCGTACCAATGCTTTCGATTTACCAATGTGCTCGTGGTGGAAAAGGAACTGTCGGTTCAGATTGCTGAGATCGATGGTGTCGAGGTCGACGATGTGGATTTCACCGAAGCCCGAAAGAGCGAGATTCTTGAGCAGTTCGCAGCCGATCCCACCAGCGCCGACCATGAGGACGCGCGACTGAGGAACTTGAGTTAGCACGAACCTGGAATCGAGGGGCCGGTCTGGATCCATCTTTTGATCATGGAGATTTCGAGGCGGAACGAGGCAAGGCAGGTAGGGGCAGGGTGCATAACGGTTCGGGTGCGAGGCTGGAAGTTATAACGTGCAAAGCAGCGGCGTCAGGACTGTAGCGCCAGCAACATCACAAACGCGATCTCTCACGAAGGGTTCGTTCGTTTGCGCGTGCAACTGCGAGGCTGCAGGACGACGCTACGAGGCGCAAACAGGGGGGGGGGGTGCAGCGGTACATGCCGGCAATGCAGATGTAGGCACCTTACCTCCTTGATATTCGTATTGAGGCCGGGGCCAAAGGATCGGCGATTGAAGGTATCTCGAGCTACCGCCATGGTGAACAGCTACCCGAGTCGGTGTCTGGACGGACTTGTTGGTGAAGGCATGTATATATGGGTGGAAGACGCGAGACGTCGAGTTGATGTCGATAGGAAGGGAGGCTCGGAGCTTGACGATCCCTCGCTAGCTAGACATGCGATTAACACGGTGGGGGAGGGGATAAAGAGGCGGATAGGCCGGGCGGGTAAGGCGTGAAATGTAGCGGGAGAGGAAGATGAGAAGGAGGGTAGAAGATGAGTGTGTCAATAAGAGCGAGCATAGAGGGAAGCCGACAGGTAGGGAGTCGAGAAGGGCGAAGGGGAGTAAGATGGGGTGTTTGGTTAGGTCGTGGCCGTATGTCCCCGTGTATGTCTTTGTATGTAGTTAACAACAACAGCAGCAAGTCTCAAGTTAGATGGGTTAGGTAGGTAGTTCTCTCTTTTTTAATTTTTTTACAGGCTTCTCAACAGATTGGCTTATCGATTTAATTGATTGGTGGTAAGGATGGTACCTGGGTAGGTACCTACAGGCTGCAGGTGGTGGCTTGAGCGACTTGTCCCTGGGTACTAGAGTTAGTGAGAGGTACCTCGGGTGGATATTGCGGGTGGCAGGTAGCTTGCGTACCTCATACCTGCATACTACTTTCGGTACCTTAGGTGCATTGCATCAGCATTCCAGAATAAACGGAGTTTTTTTTTAATATATATTTCATTTGCCTACCCATCTAACGGTATTGGGTACATGATATACATACTTTGAGCGTGATACGTAGGTACATACTTCACGTAGGCAGGTACCTAGGTATATAAGAGGTAGCTAACAGAGGAGGTATAGTACCTCCTATCCCTACGTTCAGACAGCCAAGCCAGCCGTGCGTAAATACTACCGAAGCCAATGGAACCTAGGGCTGTTGCTCTGTCGAGACTATATATATGAGTAGAGCCCTTTTGGCAACCGATGGTGTAAGGAGGTTGCTGGGGAACCAGCAGCTTAATTGTATACACGTAAATGTACGTAGGTAGGTAGGTACCTATAGGTACCTACGGTAGTAAACATTCCCTAATGGTAGGTACATACCTGCCTAGGTACCTAATGCAGGATGCAGGATGGAGGGGAGCGCTAAGCCGCGATAGCCAGGGAAAATAAGAGGTACCCACCTACCTGCATTAGGTGCAGGTGGGTTAGGAGGTACCTACCTACCTATTCGGTACCTATCTGATATAAACCTGTAGCTGCATCTCCTTACCGCCTGGGGTCAGGTACAAGTACCTACCTTTAAGTCAATATAATAGGACGTTTTAGCCGTGTTCCTATTCTCCAATCATCCGCTACCTCGATCGTTCATCTGATACCCCGTCGAAGCAAGTTTCGGAACGGATTTCTTCCTCTGTTCTGGACACCGGGGAATAATAGTTCTCTACAAGACGCGGCCGTGAGCTTCTCTCACCTGTCCGCTTCCCGCGTTATAGCCCCGCTCTGCCGCTCTGCCGCCATGTCCGATGACGAGGCAGACCCGGAGCTTCTCGCCCTCCTGAGGGCGCACCTCCAGGGGAAGCAGGATCTGGACGAGGAGCCCGAGACCGGAGTCTTGGAGGGCGCCGAGTACGTCTGCGACAACTCCATCGACGTAGCCCTCAACATGAGGGCGACCAAGAATACCGCTGCTATCATCTACGAGCAGATGCGGCTGAAGGAGTACTCGACCGCGAGCTGGTCGCAGCACGAGCTGCACCCCAAGTCCAAAGATGAGTCTACTGTCGCCTTCATCTTCACCATGGACCTGCTCAACTTCTCCTTCTGGTCCCTGCGCCCGGAGGACGAGCGCTTTACCGTCTCCTACCGCGGCAAGACCTGGACCGGATACTGGAGCCTAGTCGCCGCGCTGCAGAGGGCGCTGGAAGAAGGTGGGTAGTCGTCCCCCTTTCTTTAAAAAAAAAAAAAAACACCCAGCTCGCCAAAGATCGTCTCGTGTCGGTGGGTAGAAGCGAGCCGTAGTTGACCTCCGCGATCCCGCTCATAGATATTCCCATCACCGACCCACACTACTGGCAGAACGAGGAGGACTGCAACCTCGAGTCCCTAAAGCACGTCTTCCGGTCGAGCACCGACGAGGAGATGCCCCTGCTCGAGGCTCGTCTGTCTTGTCTCCGAGAGGCCGGACAGGTTCTGTACGAAGTAGGTTGAACCCACCAAAGACCCTCAAAAGAAATGTCAAAATGCACCACCACCCGCAAGCAATAGGGATAACGCATCGCCAACGCGCCGTCCCCCCTTCTCCTTCCCCCCTTCTCGCAGAAATACGGGTGCCGCTTCGCGACATGTCTGGAGGCGGCCGGCGGCTCGGCGGCGGCGCTGGTGAACCTGCTCGCGCGCGACTTCGGCTGCTTCCGGGACGAGTTCCGCTTCGACGGCCGCCGGCGGCCCGTCCGCCTCCTCAAGCGCGCCCAGATCCTCGCCGCCGACCTCTGGGCCTGCTTCGACGGCCGCGGCTACGGCGCCTTCCGCGACGTCGACAAGATCACCATGTTCGCCGACTACCGCGTCCCCCAGATCCTCGCCACCCTCGGCTGCATCGGCTACAGCCCTCCCCTCCAGGCCGTGATCGTCCGCGGCGACGTCATCGAGAGCGGCAGCAGCTACGAGCTGCAGATCCGAGGTACGTCTTCCCCCCCCTGTCGGTGGCTCCGGCTATCATCTCGCATCTCGTCCTATATATGCGAAGGCGGGAGAACGGCGAGAAGCAGGCACTAAACGACAGCGCAGCTTGCAGCATCTGGTGCGTGGAGCTCATCCGACGCGAGATCAAGCGCGAGCATCCCGAGGCCAATATCAACGCGGTCCTGATCGACTTCTTCCTGTACGACACCATGAAGCAGCTGGAAAGCGAGGGCAAGGAGACCATGCCGCACCACCGAACCAGAAGCATATGGTACTGAGCCGCTCCGATCAGGCGGGTTGCGACGGCGGTGGCCACGTTGATACGTCGCGAAGAAGCAGCGGCAGTAGTAGTCGTATACTTTGCTTGGAAATGTTGGACGGATACCACATTTCCGTTTTTGCATTCTCTAGCTAATCTGCTAGCATGTAGCCTCTGAGGACTAAATAAAGCCAAGCTCGATATCAAAGACCCCTCCTCAACGCCGCCATCATGAACATTTCACGTGCTAGGAATGGGGGCAAACTCCCCCTCCCTGCTTTGGATTCCTCACCCCGACCCTAGCTCTCCCCCTCCCCTTTCCCCACCTTCATACAGAACTCAAATCGCCCCAACAGCGGTCGAGTTGAGGATCTCATCCATGTGCGCGGTCTCGGCAGCGGGGGCCTCCTCCTCGCGGAGCAGCACGGCGAGGACCTCGAGCGGGGGGTCGAGGCCGAGACGGTGGGCGCGGAGCCAGCGCTTGGTGCGGGTCATGCCGACGCAGGGCTGCGCGCGGTGCGTTAGCGAGGGGGTTCAAGGTGGGGGGGAGATAGGGGGAGGGGGGGGAAGGGGGGGGGATAGGGCCACACGCACCCCGTACTGCGAGCTCACGTCCCAGTACCGCAGCACCTTCTCGCCTACATCCAGGCCCTCCTGGTGCACGCGGCGCGCTCCGCGCGCCTGCTCCAGCGCCCGCCAATACGCGTCGATCTGCCGCGGCGCCAGCGCGCGCGCGCGCCGCACCGCGTCGGCTGCCTGCGGGGGGACAGCCTCTTCCCTCTCCTTGAGCTCGCGCTCGTCTTCTTCCTGGGGCTCGCGCGCGGCGGCCGCCGGAGGCGAGGCGGGCGGCGCGACGACGGGCGGGGTCGAGCGGGTCGAGGCGGGCGGCGCCGCCGCCGCCGCCTTCTTGCCCCCCTGCGACGCCCCCGTCTTGGTCACCCGGTGGTGGAACGACAGCGTCGACTGCTTCCCCGCGGAGCCCGCGGAGCGGGCGCTCGCGCGGCGCGGCGGAGGAGGCATGGTGGTGCGGGAAGTCGGGGCGTGCGGGCGAGGTTGCGAGGGGGCCGGGGGGGCCGGGTGGCAGCAGGTAGTAGGTAGGTATCGGGTGGTGATTGCTGATACGGTGTGATGCGATATCTGAGAAGCAGTTAGGCTCGACGACGGGCGTGCGTCAATCGCGGGACGCTTGCGGATGTGCTGGACAGATGGACAGATGTTGTAGGCGGGTGCGTAGATGGATTGGTAATAGGTCGAGGATGAATGGACAGATGTGCTGAGGTCTACCTGGCCCTGGAATGACGCGGTGATTGTGGGCAGGGCTGGGTGGCTCCCCGGACATTGGCGGGGCAACACGAAACACGAGCGCTGTCACGTGAGAACACCCGACGGGCCCGTTTTATCCGGCGACGGCCTACACGTAGGAGGCTGCTGACTAAGGTATCGACTTACAAAGGATGTCCAGACGGGCGTCGATATCCGGGATGCTATCTGGCCCGGATTCGGACACGAGACAACGCGCTCAGGATATTAATATGCGATTGAGACTCTACGGCTGGCCTTCCTAGGTAAAGGATGTAGAGGGGGGGGGGGGGTAACTGTCAGTACGTGCCTACCTTTGCTGCGCCTGCCTGCTTGTCGAGAGGCAGGAATATTAGTAGCCCTTTCCTCTTCTATTCATGACATGCTTACAAAGGGTACCTACCGCACAATAGAATAGGACACGAGTTAAGACCCTATCTTGAGAGAAAGATTTCTCGATTCCAGTTACGAAGTTGACTCCTCTGGGAGAGAATGTGCGATAGAGTCAACAATCTCGCGGATTTCTCTCGGGACAGACTCTCTCGAGCACTTCTCTATTACTCTACGATCCCCTAACACGCCTGCCACTCTACTTTGCAGGCTTCTCGCCCTTCTTAGCCTGCTCCTTCTGCCAGGCCGTCTCCACCGCGGCCTCGTAAAGATCGACCTCTAATACGCCGAGGCGAGGGGACGGGACCGTCACCTCTGGTCAGCCGCTTTCCCCTAGCAGTTTGGTATACCTATAATAAGGGAAGAAGAGGGTTTTCGGAGGAAGAAGGGCTGCTCTTACCGGCCTGGATCTCTTGAAGGCATGCCTCGGCTGTCCTGCCCACCATTCGCGCTAGCACGTCGACTGGCTTGATGCCCACTCGGTGCGCGATGTCGTGGGTGATGGGGTCTAGAAGGGCAGATACGAACGTCAATATCACATTCCGGTTGGCACCGTATATTTACAGTCGCAGTTCCTCATATGCACAGCGTACAGCTATGCCATAATGTCTGAGGCTATAGGGCCCAGGGGGAGAAGCTAGGCGGGTGTGCAAATGGAGAGAGATAATACAGGGAGCGCGATGCAGAGAGGGGCGGCAAAGGGAAGGAAGAACAACTAGGTATAGGCCTTACGATCGATGATGAACCCGTAGAGGCCCTTTGCCGCTGCGGCTGCCGTGCTGTCTTCTTCCTGGTACAGCTGGTACAGCAGGTCAAAGTCAGCAGGAGTGACTTGCGGGCGGCTTGACATGGTAGACAGCTGGTACTCGACGGCGTCTATGAAGTTGTGTATCCGGCTGCTGCTGCGTTCCGTCGAGGCGGATTCTGGTACTGGTGTTGATGGAGGCGTTAATGGTACGTGAAGGAGCGACAGGTTGAGCCGGCTCGAAGACGGGCGGGCGCGAAGCCAACTTGATAAGAGCCTCGACATGTGGGTGGATGTGTACGGGAGCAGATGCGTGAATCAGAGGCGGAAGCGGATCAGGCAGTCAGGTAGGAAGGAAGGAATACTGCCTGAGTCGCGCCGGTCTTCTCCCGAAGTTGTGACGAGACGAGAAACAGCACAGCAGTTACAGCAACAGAAGATCGGACCGGGTGGATGACTGTGAGAGCAGTTTATATGATGTCGCCGTAGTTTTAGGGGGGGGATTCACTCGTGTGCGTCCGGGGATGGGCGATGGGGTTTGACGGCAACAATCAATGATTTAGCAATCCGCCCAGCACCTGTGTTGTTTGCTACTTGCGATCTGGTGGTCAGCCCTGCTACCGGCTGTTCTCTCCGAGCAGCAAATGGGTAGCTCGAAGGTAGGTAACGATAGATAGTAATTTTCTTGCGCGTGCAAAGTTCGTACAATTCGGTGGTTTCCTGCCTGGAAATGACCCCACCAAATTGCGGCGGCTGTACTCACGAAAACGGAGTATTACCATGGCCTCCAGGGCACCACCTGGGTGAAAAAACGTCTCCCCTTCATCAACCGCTCAGTTCATCAAGCCGTCAAACCAACTGTTTTCACCTCAGCCTCATCGCCATGACGCCCATCCCCAGCACAACAATGGCCCCGGCCTGTCCAGGCGGGATGAATATCGAGCAAGTGCAGATTGTTCGTTCCCCCTAATGTATACCTACCTAATTCGTCGGGCGCTCGGCACTAACCGCCTCGAGGAATCAGCTCGTCCGTCATGGCGAGCGAAGCCCAATATGGGCCCGCTTTCAGAATGTAAGTCGGCGCTTCTTCTGATGCCTCTGCTGCTGTGCTGACTTCGCACTCGGCATCAGACTGGGTTGTCTCCCTGTAAGTGAGGAGAGCTGAAGCAGCTGCGCACTCGGCCGCTGACTGCCACAGATTGGCCGTATTGCAGCGCCGCTCAGCGGTTCACCCAGGTTGTCATGGCTACCCAGGATGGCTCCAGATGGGAAACTACGACTTGGAAGAGACGCCTAGAGACGTCTGGGCCCGGCGGGCGACCGATTCCCGCGCAGGGAGCAGGCGGCGAGACCAGCAGCATCTGGTATGTGAGGCTCGCCCGTCTCCCGGCGTAATTCCGAGGCGTATTTTCTGACAGCATTCTATAGTATGCCTGGAGAGCTCACCGACAGAGGACGGGAAACCTCACTTGCCTTCGGCAAGTGGTTACGCCGGCTCTACGTCGATCAGCTGGGCTTAGTGCGTCCCAGCATGACCCAGCCCGCGTAGTGACCCAATTAACGCTCAGAAGTTGCCAGAGCATCTATCAGATGCTACAATGCTCTATATCCGAACAACGGAGGTGCCGCGAGTCGTCGAGTCGGTGCAGCAGATCTTACACGGCCTGTATTCCTCGGGTACAAACCGAACGTCGGCTCCCTGGGATATTGCTATGCGCTCACGGGCCGAGGAGACGCTGCTCCCAAACACCAAATCATGTGCTAGACTCGCCGAGCTTACCAGAGCATTTTCTCAGGCGGCCGCAGAGAAGTGGAACGGAAGCGACGACATGAGGTATCTGTCTGAAAAGCTGGGCAAATGGATGCCTGGTAATAAGGTCTTGGCTGTAGACTCTCGGCCTAGTTTGTCGGCTGTCATGGACTCTATCAACGCAACACTTGCCCATGGGCCCGACACCCGGCTTCCCGACGAATTTTACGACGAACGAGTTCGCAAAGTCATCGACCGCATCGTAATCGACGAGAAGTTTGGCGGCTATGGTACCTCTCGCGAACTACGAATGCTTGGCGTAGGCCAGTTGGTGGGAGATCTGGTCCTGAAGATGGTTGACCAAACAGAGTGGAACCGGAGACACGACACGCTGCGAGACCCTACCGTACAACCAAGCGCCCCGCCCAGGCTATCCCTCTTAGGTTGTCACGACCGCACCATCGGCGTAGTTCTAGCAAGCCTTGGGTGTCTTGATAGCAACGAGAAATGGCCGCCCTTTACTAGCCACATTATCTTTGAACTGCTTCGCAAGAAACGGACACCTTCCCCGAGTATGAATGAAGGTGGTCGGTGGGGGCTATGGGGGGGTGCTACCACTGGCTTGATTCTAACCACGGATCAGGGAGACACGGGCGAGCCGCGAGGCGTCGGGCGACAACCAGTCGAGAAACTCACGACGGAGGTACAGGATCTTGACGAATACTTTGTGAGAGTCAGATATAACGACCGCATCATGACGATCCCCGGATGTCGAGCGGAAGGGAAGCATTTTGATAGGGATGAAAGTCTCTGCACGCTGGCAAGCTCCCCTAATGTACCTGCGTAGCATCTTCCACTGACATTTAGTCCGTAAATACCAGTCGGCATTCAGGTCTATTGTACACAAGTTTACTCCTAGAAGTTGGAAACGCGCGTGTAACTCTAATTTGGGTGCTTCACCGACCACGATGAGCAATGAACCGGCCGGATATTAGGATATGTGTGTATGTACTTGAGGTAGCCGGCGTAACACCGAGTCTGAAGCACTTCCTAGACAAGAAAGGGTCCTGGTATGAACCATAGCAAATAAACTTGATGATTGCTAGAGATTAGGTCGACTCCCGCGCCTCGAGCGCCCAGGTTTGTCGGAAGACTAACGTCATGTCTTTGTCTGCGAAACGACTCGCTTATCTTCGTGTCCCCTAAGAATACCCTCGCCGCCCTCGGCTGCCCCCTTCTCTACCTTCCCGGAACGTCCTCGTCAATTCTGGAAGGCCTTGGCGGGGGACATCTCCCAGGCATCCCTTGACTTCAGCCGTTACTCGTCGAGGGGTGACCAACAGGCGCCAGGCGACTACACAGGGTTCAGCCACTTGGGACGTAAACAAATGATCATCTCCCAATGCCCGCAAAGAGTGTTGTCTGTTTCATGACTCAGCTGGTCACGGAGTGTCATACCTTTTCGCACGATTGTCTTTCAACTTCATTCAGGTAGTTAACCAGATGTCTTCTGGCTCCGTTGATGGTCGTAATGTGTACATGCTTCCCCGAGTCTCACATACCGACGTAAGAAGCCGTTTAAATCCATCGTACTAAACGAGCGGCGTATACAATGGATTTATTCTAATACCCCTAAGGTGGTTTTCCCAACGTCTCCCTTCATGAGGTTTGATCTGCCTAGAGAAGACGAGGTGAAGGCGAGCAGTTTATGGCAGCGATCCCAAGTGAGCACCGAGGAACAGAAGGGGTATTACGATTAGATTCGGGAGTCGACTTTGAAGCATTGCTCTGACCTCGACATGCTTGTCAGCGACTAGGAAAGGATGTGCTGCTTTTACACCCAGCTGGGCATGGCGTTATGTTTGCTTTATTGGATCATATCTCAAACAGCGCGAACGAGCAGAGAGCACATGAAAATTGCGTGCCCAAAGGGTGTCGTAGTACTAGAATCAAGTTCAAGGCTGATGTGCCCATCCCGGAACTGCAGAGGAAAACTCCGCAATCACGTCTGCAGGCTCTCGGCTGTAGTCAATCGTCACGGCGGATGACACAGACGGTGGAAGCAGTCCAAGCAACGCGTAGACCTTATCGTGTGGGAGTGAGCAAGTCGCGTGTTGTGCGAGAAGCTTCAGCTGCCGAATGGAAGCGTCGTTCAACGAGCGTCCTGTATCATCATCTGGTGCAATCTCTAGTGCTCTCCATGTGGATATAAATGCCAAGAGGTCCAATCTGGGCTTCAATTCTCGCCAGTTTTCTGAGTCCGAGGGCTGCTCAGACTTGGAATAAGAGAGAAGAATTTCGCCTACGGCCTGAAGTGTCGATAAGTGGAATGTCGACTCTCCCCAGTGCACCACCGATGTTGTAGGGCTAACCGCCAGCTCTTGGATAATCCACAACCGCGACCAGTATTCCTTCCGAAAGAGCAGCATCAACTCCACAAGGACTATATCCCGCAAATGCGGCTTGCCAAACCCGAATTCATCTTCATCGTCGGAATCTGCCCAGTGATATTGGTTGAAAACGAGCACATCGGTGTCCTCCACCAAGTCCATGAGCCGTTCGTCCTCGTCGTTCGCCTCTCCCCAATCGCGCTCTTGGACCCCCAAAAGCTCCTCGAGAGCTCGCCTCCCATATTCTCTCAAGACCACCTCGCAGAGAAGAAGTTGTTCGCCTGGCGGGCTAAGACCCAGAACCTGCAGGTCCTCTTGCTGCTTCGTCCAAACCGTCACGGCAAAAGCACCGCCGAATATATCCTTCATATGTGAGATGTGGGTATTCCGATCAATGATGTCGGCCTGGTTGATGCACAAGGCGTCCACCCAAACCTTCATGCCGAGTCGGCACTCGAAGCTTTCTCGCAAGTCTCGCAGGGCCGCCTCCAGATGTTTTTCCACAGCCGTGGCAACGCCGTCCAGGAAGACTGTGGCCTTCTCTCCCGCGCGACCCCCCCACGTATAGCTTAGGCAGATATAGTCACCCCAAGTGAACCTTGCGGCGATGTCGTAGATCTCGCGCCTAGGCGTGGCGAGTGTAAAGTCGAGCCGGTCGCTCCAGGCCTCGGAGAGCTGGTAGCTACTTATGGTCGACGCATTCTGGTCGCGAAAGGAGACGTATTCGTGTTTCCAGTCGCTCAGAGAGGCGTAGTGTAGACTGAGACGTATTGGTCCAAGTTCTGAAGTGTTTTCGAAGGAGAGCAAGCGGATTTCGCTCTTGGAGACGTCGAGGGGGCGGTACTGATTCTCCGTTATCGTACTCTGCCTCAATGAAGCTGCCATCTTCTCTCCATACAAAGAGTGTATTCGTGATTGATTTCCAGGCACGGGATGTGACGAGCCAACGAAGCCGGGCAACACCACGCGGGGTAAGGGCGGCCAACCCAGCATTTATGTTTGGTGCCTGAGGCATATTAAATGTTCTATTAGTCACACCAGAGTCGAGCGGTGTTCGGCTCAGAGGGACAGAATGGTTTTCCCACGCGGGGCGTGTCCCACGGCAACATTCGACGCGTGCCGTGCTTTCAACTACCCGGCAAAGGGACCCGGAAAGAAGCGGAGGAGCATCACAATCTTCACCCGAATCGCAATGGTAACTCGAGGCCTCGAGATGGTGCGCTTCCGCGGGCGCTACTACATTCGGCACAACCAGCACGACAGCGACTTACGGGGAGGCCATCACGAACGCCGTTACCTGGGGCATCAAACAGGGGCGGGCCAGCTTTCAGATAGTCGTCCTGTCGCTTTTCGAAGTGGCCTTTGTGGAAGTGTTCGTTGGTGACGACGAGCCATTCGTCAAAGTCAGCGAACCAGTAAATCTCTCGCCTCTGCGCGCAGAGTATTGTATGAGCACACATCCGCGCGAGCGGCCAGAGCTGAAGCCCGGCATGGAGATCCAGCGTCAGCGCGGTGAGCTCGTTATGCAGTCAAACTGCACGGGGAGCGCAGACGGACTACGAGATCACTTCCCCGGACTCGCGTCGCTCGTCAATTTCTTCGAAGCCGCCGCAAGCCGTCGCGCAACATCCCAGTCGTCGGCAATTCTCTCTCGCTCGTCCACTCCTCCGAAGTCGCCGCGAGCCGCGGCGCAACGCCCAAGTCAACCAGTCATTCTCCCGCCTGAGCTGCACGACCGGATTCTAGACTTTGTCGACGACGATACTTGGAGAACCTGCTTGGTCGTATCGCGGAAGTTTCGTTTCTCCTGCCTCCGCAAGTTCAGACTTGACGATCGGATGAGCATCGTGGCAGGCCCCTTTGTAGAGCATCACGAGGAACCTCGGCTGTCGTTCAACTTTGAAGACACGCAAACGGGCAAGATCTTTCGGACGGCGGAGGGTCCGCATTTTCATCGGCGGACGGAAGAGTATAACTGGATGCCAGTCATCGGCAGTGACCGGAAGGCGCTCATGTTGAACGTAGTCGTCCAGTTTGAGCCAGCGCCAGCGGCCAGCATGCCTGGTGATGAATAATTCACCAGGGTAGAAGTTGGGATTCCCCAAGTCTAAGCAGTAGAACGTTGAAGACACAGCATGGGACAGAGTTTTTCCTTCATTCTAGAGGTTCTTCAATACAGATCTGTGCCCTTCTGAAGTGACCCCTTGTAATTTTCTTGTCCCGTCCTACAATTCTGATCTGCATTTACAAGTACGACTTGAAGTCGCCCTGTATAAAATCTTCATCACGGAATTATGGTCTATATTTTTCTGAATGACTATTCACAATAAGTCTATTGAACGTAGCTATTCTTGCCTCATGTAGAATGAAGTGTGACAGGACTCCTGGAGGTAGTAGCGGATCCGGAGCACCTCTTTAATATGACTTAATACCATACTCCGTAATGACGAGACTCCCATAGCCGTTCTTGGTAATAACGGGGCAGCCACTATCAACTTTGAGTATCTGGGAGACTGTGACGAGTTTGCTTCGATAATATCTACATAGATGAGGATGTTGGGGACGACGTCCAACATGAAGTTAGTTGTCAGATTACTATCACAATGGACTTGTGTAGAGATGTGGGATATGGGACAGAAAATGGGACATGTAGGAAGAATATTATCAATGATTTGTAAAGTAGCTGGTTAATGCATTTCTTCCGTGGCCGCAGAAGGTACAGCACCATTGATATAAATAAGGAGATAAATAAAAAGAGCGAAGATCTTGTTAGCGCTCTAGATCTTGCAAACGCTCACGCAAATGAGTTATTAATAGGTCCTAGCAGATCCCAAGACTGGAACCGACTTTGCAGTCTTTACCAATGATGCCCACCATATGAGGTTGCAGCCGCGGATTTGCATCAGTTCATTTCTATGGCCCGCACGTCGGAAGCTCAATGCTGACGGAATGTTACGGCTTGCCGCCCACTTGTCCTGCGCTTCTTTGTTCCGATGGCTGCGGTTTCGACACGGGCACCGCGAGGCTGGTATTGGTAGGTAGATCCGAATCCGGAAGAATACGTTGGTATACAGGGACCGAGCCGATTATCGTCATCGTCGTCCAGCCTTGTTACCGACGTGACGTAGAACTGTTACTAAGCTGGCGGTCAAGTTGAGAGGGCATCGGCACTTCTCGATACAGTTGGAAATCGAATATGGATATTTCAATGAGGAGGGAAACTGCACGAAAATAGATCTCGCTATCTTCAATTGCTCCCATAAACCCACGAGTCGACGTATTTACGAGAAAGCTATCTATTAATATAGACACCTAACTTAAGTTATTCGAGACTCTTCAGTAGAACGACCACATTCGTCTTTATACCACAGAAAAACCGGCTAAGCCGACTCAGACAATACACGGCTTCGTTCTAAGCTTCGAAGGTTTACATGTTGATAAGTTCAGTTAGCTCTAAGAGCGAGGTTACACATGCTATATTATACCCCTACCTACGCCAAGAGACGGATACATGCCTCCATATGTAGGTAGGCACATACATAGTCGGCTAGGATCACACGTCGTAGGGTGCTCTACAGATACATCTACCGTATAATATACTGTGTACTTCATCCAAGTCTATTACACCTTGCCCTAAGAGTCCAGCAACTCGATACGGGTACATGCGCATTCCTAATGGTCCTTGGATTGGGTCCGTATTAGGTAGTTTCGGGCTAGTTTACGGGGGTTGAGCTAGAGGATATTCACAATAGGCGAGTTACGACAACTAAAACGTTGGGAGCGTCGGGAGAAAAAAAAAAAAATCAAACTGCTTCTATGTACTGTGATGGATTGCACAGGGAATATAAAATACAAAGAAGCCTTAACCCCTGCTGCCGCACCACAGCAATAACACCCAGAGGGAATAAAACGCACTAAAAACACACTCGTGCCCCGCTAACTTGGGCGGATCGGATATCATCATTCAGCGGCTATTTCAATAATTGCCTAAAGCAGTGTGAAGCCCGCCGACGCGACAACGGCGATTATCGACGGGATGACCATGATCGCAGCAGAGATTTGGTTCTGAGGTGCGGCACTCGCAGGCGAGTTAGAGCCGGAGCCCGCGTTAGTGCTAGCATCGGGCGTGTTAACCGCGTCGTTAGCAAGGGGCGTTACGGCGAGGTTCTGAATGAGCGTGCCATCAGCTTCCTTGACGTCGTGCCTGACGGACCAGTCGCTAATCTCGATAATCCTGCCGCTAGGCCTCGGCGTGACACCGTTGTCGATGATTTCCTGAGCGCCCGGAGGGACGACTGGGAGGGTGAAGTTGTTGTTGAATCCGTCCTCCTTGATCAAGCTAGACCTGCACACGGGCGGGGTCGGCGACGTGCTCGATGCCTTGATGCTTTGGATTTGGTTGAAGTCGACTTTCTGGTACTGGCTCTGAAGAGTACGGAAGTCCACGAGGAGGTCGACGGTGAGATCGGCGTTGCACTGGGCCAGGCCGTAATTGTTCAGCTCCTGAGAGTACTCGTAGACGACACCGCCGGCGAAAACACCCGTCATCTGGTCGCTGTAGATGGTGGGGATCTCCGTGAAGACACGAGGGGAGGGGGTATTGCAGCCAAATTCCGAGTAGAAAATGGGGACAGAGCTGCTCTCAAACAGAGCAACCAGCTGGTCGTATCCGGACTGCTCAAACGTGCTCTCGCCGCACCACGAGTAGCTGTTCAAAGCGAACAAGTCTGCTCGGGACATGTCGTTCTCGTCGCCGTCAATCGCGCACTGGAAGTAGTTCCAGGAATCCTCGAGAACCACGCGGACATCAGCGGCCGAGTAGCCGACGGGGATGGGGCGGTCGGAGTGGTTCTTGATGTAGTTTTTGAGGTCACGAGTTACGGCGCGGACGTAGGGAGGGACAGTGGCGCCGGTCCTGACGTTGTCAATGACCTCGTTTCCGGAGAAGAAAGCCAGCGTGTTGGGGTACGACTTGAAGGCCTCGACAATAGCGAAGGTACGGTTTAGGTACGCCGCGTAGTACGACTCCCACGGCGCCCTGCTGTTTAGAGACTCGCCCACGAGAGGCGAGTTGACATCGAGCAACATGTACATGCCAGCCTAGCGGGGGGGAGGGGGGAATGTTAATACTGCTAACACAGGAGCACTCGTATATATACATTCTCGACACTTACGGCGTTGAAGATACTGGCGCACTCGTCGTGGTTCAGGTTCGGATCCAAGTTATATACCCGGATGGCGTTCACACCCAACTGCTGCATCAGGGCGGCATCACGCTTGCAAACGTCGCCATTGGAGAGAGGGTCCTTGCCGGAGGCGGGATCGTAACCGGAACTTCCACCGATCTGATAGGCCATGCCGACGATCTGGAAGGCATTTCCGGTATTCGGGTTGACGAACTGGTTGCCCCGAACTTCGAGAGGGGTGACGGCGGCGGCAAGGGTCGCGCCGCCTAATGCGGCGAGGGCTGACCGGACCAGCATGTTGTGGGATTAGACACACAGTGTCGGATATCAGCTCTGATACTACCAGCAGTGAGGTCGACGTCTGTTTCTTCCTAGTGAAGGGTTTCTTATGTTGCCCGCCGTCTTAAAGGATATCCGCACGAGTGGGATATATAGCTCCGACACGAACGTCGTTAATTCGATACTGGCGGTTGGTACTAATGTCCTAATAGGGTACGATATTGAGAGAGAGACACGAATAAGATATTACTAGCCAGGGGGGAAACGGTAGCCGTAAGGAGTATAGCGAGTGAATGCGAATGAAAGAAGCGAAAGAGAAGAAGATCAACCAACAAACAGACGGGAGAGGGAAGAGCGACGAGCACTGCGAAGGAGTGGTGAGAAGGAGGTCAAATACATAAAAGAGGGAGTTACGAGAGAGGGAAGAGAGGGAGGAAGGGGGGATTATGAGAGAGAGAGAGAGAGAGGACGAAAAGAGGCAAATGAATCCATAGATAGAATACCACCTTCTACTACATTATACACGGGCAAGAGCTGATTGGAGTTAGCGGGGGAAGGGGACGGGGGGGGGCAGGTACTTCGGAGAAGGGATGCGATCAATATAACGCCAAGGTACCTCTACCAGGGACGGGTACGAGAGACCTGGGTACAGTGAATGAGCTGCGCCGACGCCCAGGTCTGGGCTGGATTGGCGATGTGGGCATGTACCTACCTGTACCCTGCGCGCGTTGGAAACCCGTCAGGTCAACCCCGTTGGGGGGGGTTGTTGGCACCACCAGCAACGTGAGGGCGCAGGGGCAGGCCCGGTACGGACACCGACCTTAGGTACCTCTACCTACAGCTATGTACCAGATGTAGATACTTCAGGTAAGCGATTCGCATGCGGATTTAGCACATGTACTCGACATGTACATACACGTATGTATGAAGAAGTACGCGGCGCTGGTGAGAGGGACGAAGTGTATAATACACCCGAGATACCCCCCTCTCCTCCCCCCAAGCAGTGAACCGGGGACGGCGAGCTTGCCCTGACTGGCCGAGACCGTAGAGCAGCCCCGAAAAGGGCAAGACGCCCCCTTGGCTGTTCATTGGCCGATCTCTCCCTATAGGACGCCATAGGCTACGAGGTCTGGCCCGGCGGTAAACCTGGGCGCACTGTGCCGCATCACCTTTGCGGGGTGGCGGTGGGCCGTGTTCGTCCCGCCGGACCTCCACGTCGCACTGCCGAGCATTATGCGACTTCTTGGGGCCGGCCCCTGGCGCAATATCCAACATTGAAGATACTACGTAGTACGTATACGTCTGGATGCCGCCGGCCCGACAGTTGGGTAGAGGTCGGCAGGCAGGTACACGAGAGGGCTTCGAGGGCGGCGGAATCCCTAGAATAGCCGTGCTAGATCCTGTCTAAAAATTACCACCGCCAACACAGTCGTTTTAGCCTTGTTGGCGGTGGCTATGAGGTACCCGGACTGCACCCGACAACGCGCTGACGATCCCTCCCGGCTTCGAGGGTTGCTGTACCTACGTGTAATGCCATGGAAACCAAGCCAAATCGCAATCAATCGGCCTGGGCGTTTCGATTGGCATATGCCCTCTCCCCAAGCCCTCGCGACCCTCCCGATGGAGCAAACAATTTTACTCGCACGCATGCGCGGATTAGCTGTTTTGCCAACCCAGCACCGCATCCTGTCATCTTCTTCGTCTGGCCGTATTGTTCGAGAGAGGGAGAGAGAGAGGGCCACCTAAATAAACACTGGATATCTGTTGTCCCTGTGGCCCGATCTAATAGCTATTCGACGTGTGTGCATACCTGGCCAATACCATACCTACCTGTAGGTAGAGGTAAGCAAATATGTACTACGTATGGAGGCGTGTGTGTGTGTGTGTGTGTTGTGTGTTGGCGCTTCGTATTTATTTCCCCCCTCCTAGCAGAGCAGATGCCATTACGGGACACTGCCATCGAATCTCAGCTGGAGCCAAGCTACGACAAGACCAATAGCAGGCAATACCTAATAGCCAACCTGCAATATCTCTCTCTCTTCAGAGAACCCTTCCGCTGACAATGCTCCGGCTAGCTTCTTCATCCTTTTTTTTCTTCTTCGCAGCTGGCCGTGCAATACGAGATTATCAGCGGTTCTAAGTCTCCTCTTGGCAGGCCTTCCCCCCCGGTCCCCTGCCACCTGCCACCTGCCTATCCTCTTTCCTCGTTCCCCTCGTTCGCGACGCCGTTCTGGAACACACGATGCGCATACGTATAATCCGGGTATGGATGCTCGCACGCATTACTACTATCACGGCTTGCCTACCCGCCCGGTGGTTCCATGTCCGCTTCTCTCGCCCGCCAATGGCTGTCCCCAGGACCGCACCCGGTGTAACATGCCATCCTGTGCTGACGGAAGGAAAGTAAGCAAGAGAGAAAAAAAAAAACTTCGCTCCGTCGTGCCCGTCGCAAGTGTTTCGAAAAGCTCGGGCGACGACGTCAGAGGCTGCGAACCAGGAGCCTGGGCGATTTGAAGGCGAGGTGAAACACGGGCCGTTTGTTATGTGCGCAAGGTCAGCGACAATCGCAATTGATTGCGATTGGCAGCTTGCACGCTTTAGCGGTGCCGGGTAGGCGATCGCCCTCCTAGTCGGGTCCCGTTTACTACCGACTACCACGTCGTAGTAGGCAATCAAGTCACCGAGGCGTGAGAAGGGTTAGCTAAGAAGGGAGAATTAGATCTGGGGGGAGTGTGTGTGTGCTCTCTGTGGCTCTGCGGGCGTGCATATGAGGTAATATGTATGTACACTTGTGTGTTGACCTTTTTTCTCTACCTTTTTTATTTTTTATTTATTTAATTCTCTCAGCCTTTAGATTGGCGGGAGGTATGTCTGATATGATCTGGTAGTATATGAACATGGGCACCGAGTTAGGTACCTCCTCCTACCGCTAATACATATGAGCATACCCGCCTGCAATCCATATCCAGATCCCTGTTGGAAAAAGGGGTCCGCGACCCCCTCGTGTCTTTGGCGTGACGGGTACCTGGCCTGGCGCGGTCATTTATCAGGGAGTGGCCTGTGCCATCTGGTGCTGTGGCTCTGCGAGATGGCGTCAAATTTGTTAGAGATTATTCCAATCTCAATGCGTCCGTCACTTTTCATAGGTCCGCTTTTCCGCGTCTCGGGCTGATGACGTTGGGCGTCAGCCACGGCCGCATCGTAAGCCACACACATCAGACTGTGAGCCGCGCATCCTGTCCGTCACCCACGCTGCCCTCACCGCCCGCTTTCCCCCCCCAACTACCAAGTGCCACAAATTCTGCCGATTTGACTCTGCGACCGTGTCACCGCCCTCTTGTTTGTTGTTGGGAGCTGCGCAAGTTGGTACTCTACAATGATACAGCGAATTCGCAGGTAACGGTACTGTTCTTGGAAAAAAATAAAATAAAATAAAAAAAGGAAAAAAAAGGTGGCGGCTTACCCGCACCTCGCCACATCCGGCCCCGAACCTGACCCAGTTGGGGGGCTGTCTTTTCACATGCCCAACCTTGCGACAGCGCATCCTCTACGCATCCTCTCTGCGCTCGCTGGCAATAATAGACCTACGCTGTTCGCAATCCCCCGCTCCCTCGCGGCAACGACGCTCACCGCGATCCCCACGAGAAGAGTCGCAAGCACGATGGCTTCCGGTGTGTGCTGCTTCTTCAAACTCCCCCCCCTCTCCTTCCCTTCTCTACTCGATGCCATCGAGGACATCTCGCAGGTTCCTGCATCGTTGGCTTGTGTTTAGGGAATAGGACGGGACGGAATTGGGACATGGGCGATTAAGAGAAGACCCTGACGCTAACATCCGACCCTTCCACCCCCCTCCCGCCCCTCTCCAGTACCAGTGACCCCTCTCCTGCCCCCGGACCGCCGCCCCATCGTCATATCAGGGCCCTCGGGCGTCGGCAAGGGCACGCTGTTCCGGCGGCTCTTCGAGTCGCATCCGGACAGCTTCGCGCTGTCCGTCTCGCACACGACGCGGCCCCCCCGCGCCGGCGAGAACGACGGCCACGACTACTACTTCGTGTCGCACGACGCCTTCGACAAGCTCGCCGCCGCCGCCGGCTTCGTCGAGCACGCCGTCTTCGGCGGCAACCGCTACGGCACCTCCAAGCAGACCATCGCCGACCAGTCGGCCAAGGGCCGCGTCGTCGTCCTCGACATCGAGATGGAGGTTGGTCACCACCCCCCACCCCACGAGAGGGAAAGAAAGAGAGAGACAGAAGATACAGAAGGTAGAGCACGCGAAAAGGGAGAACTAACCGAGGAAATCTCGCATCACCGTAGGGCGTCAAGCAGATAAAAAAGAGCGGCATCGACGCCCGCTTCGTCTTCATCAAGCCGCCCAGCTTCGAGGAGCTCGAGCGCCGCCTCCGCGGCCGCGGCACCGAGGACGAGGCCTCCGTCGCCCGCCGCCTCGACCGCGCTCGCGACGAGCTCGCCTACGCCGAGACCCCCGGTGCCCACGACATCATCGTCGTCAACGACGACCTCGACGCCGCCTACCGGGAGTTCGAGGCTTTCGTCTACAAGCCCCGCCCGTGACCGCCAGACGTGCTACCCACGAAACACGCACCATACTGCTTCCTCTCCGGCCGCCTCAGCGCTTAGCTTCCCACCCCGTCACCTTGTCCCTTCCTCTCCCTCCGACGAGATTCGAAATACACCAGACTTCTACTTTTAACGATCGAGGCGCATCCTACAGTCGTAGAGCCCTAGACAGCGTCCCCAACAAAGACTTATAGATCAGTTCGATGTACATATGATTTCGAGCAAAAAAAAAGCTTTTTATTTGGCATAAGTCTCGTGTTTATTCCATCAGGTAACAGCAGGGCGGACTCCTTATTAGAGTACAGTAGAGGCTTGACCATCGAATTAATCAGAACAGCTTGGGAGAATATGAAGTAAGGGAGCACTGAGCGGAATACTAAAAGGAAATAATAAGAACGTCGAGTCGCCAGACTGTGTGGTGTGTGTGTAGATGGGAATACTGCCTGCTTGACCAATACATAACGAGTCCTCAACAACCCCAGCAGGTCCACGCGCGCCGACCCATTCCCAGTCGCACACAGGTTTTCTCCCCATACTCCCTGGAGTGTCTCCCGTGCATGAGTAACGCTCTATTACTTCTTCCTGAAATAACTTGAGTGTCTCGGGGATCTTCCTAACAACCCGCTCTCCGCTTTTCTACACTTCGATCGCCGGAGGGAAGCTCATTATGATAGTCGTAAAGGAGTAAACGAAACTAACTTTCGCGTGGGCTGCGAAGATATTAAACCCCACGACGCCTCGTGGAAAGCATACATAGAGAATCGAGTCCCGAAGACCTAGTAGCCGTTCATGGTCATCCGTTGGGAACCTCTGCTGATTTCGCGATCGGCGGCAGGGCTGATTGGTCGGCTGCCATGGCCTTGTGCGCTGCTCTCCTTCAATGCCAGCAATTGCTTGGCACGGAACGTCTCGTAGTGGATCTGAGAGGTAGTCTCGATGAGATCCTGGAGGTGCGTTCGGAGCAGGAAGTTCCTCAGATAGACAAATTCGCAGTGGTTCTCATCCTCAACGTTGATGACTCCCCACCGGTTTTGACGGCCGCGGACTTGCTTGCCATTGACGATGATCGACTTCTCGGAGCCGACGACAGCGAAAGGGATAAGGCTCTGGGGTTGATACATTAGTTTACGCGTTACTATGCATCATCCAAGGCGGATGTATCCTACCTTAATTTGGGTGTTGATCGAGCGCTCCTCCTCATCAAGCTCGTCATTGTCGTAGGGGTACATTTTAAGGTTGTGGAAGGCAAATTCCTCCTTGATGCGCTCCTTGAAAGCTTGTCTCTCCTCTAGGGTCAACGAGTCGGCTTTGGCAATGACCGGTACGACGTTGACGACATCCGAAAGCTTCTTCAGCACCACAATATCAATTGGCTTCAGCGAGTGACCGGAAGGCTGGATGAAGAACAGGCAGCAGTGGATGCGAGTATCGGAAATGTAACGCTCTCGCTGCGCCGTAAGCTCCTTTCGCAGGTAAGCAGAATGTTGATCCTTGATGTACTTGACAATAGGGTCCCAGCAGCGGTCGTTGTTGACCAAGTCGCCATAGCCGGGGGTGTCGACGATGTTGAGCTTCAGACGGACGCCGTTCTCCTCGATGACGTGCGATACAGGGTGGATCTCGGTAGTAGAGCGGACGGCCTCATCGGGGAGTAGCCTGCCCTTCGAATCTATCAGGTGGGATGCGAAGATGGTGTTGATCAGGGTCGATTTCCCCAGACCAGTTTGGCCTACGCAGCGGTGGCACCAGACACATCAGTTCAGAGAAACAGGCGCGCTAAGGCAGCTGGTTGGGGCGAGCGGTGTCGAACTATAACACGATCCAAGCCGCCAAGATTTATTACTTACCAACGCAGATGACGTTGAACTGAAAGCCTCTCTTCAGCAGCTTGCGCTCGATTTGGGACGTGATGCTGTCGAAACCGACGTGGCCGTTGGGGTAGATGGTCTGCGCCGCCATTTCGTCGAGACTTGTCGTATCGGTGACTTGGGTAAATGCAGAGCCGGGGGAACGTCGGAGCGTATTCTAAGAAACAGACCACTAGGCGACTCGGGAAAGATAAACGAGCGGCAGAGACGAGCTTCGGGAGAGGAGATAAGCGGGTAGTGGGAGATAGGAAGCTAAAGTTGATGATGATGGGGGAAGAAGAGGAGGGAGAGGTTGAGGTCGTGGCGTCTGGGAAGTTTTGGGGAGACGTGAAGAGAACTGGGGAGCGCCTTTGATTTGTCCCTGTCGAAGTTTCCTTGCCAAACAATAATTTCCGCGAAGAAGGTGCAAGGCCACGCTGGGGCCACAAGAAGCAGAAAGGGGAAAGGGGGTTTGACAGTTGCTGATAGGCCAATCAGCGGCCGTGCGCGGCGTCAAGGGCGGGTCGAGAGCCGGGGGGCGGAAGTTGCTGCAGCCAGCGCAGGTCTCGTACATGCATATATGCATACAGACATGCAGATATACAGATATACCATCTGGCTTAATCCAACCGCGCACGGCGGCTTAGGTAAGGCGGGCAAAGACACTTGCCCCGTTGTGCATCACGAGATGATCTTCGCTTCCTGCGCTGCCCACGACTTTTCTCAGAGCGACGAGCGCGCGAGCCAAAGCAAGGCAGAGGCAGGACAATTCACAAGACAAGAACACGGCTGCTGCTCGTATACGGCCGACCGACCTACCCTATCTGCATCCGAACAAACAAGCGCATATCTACCCTCTACCACCGCACCTCGCATTCCCCTCGCAGCTACAAACCAGGCTTGCGCCAACCTCCGGCCCCCCTTCACCCTTCCAGATACGGCAGCCATGGCGGCCGTACAGCAATTGCGGATAGCCTCGTTCTTCTCTTCCCTCTTCCCGAGGATAGCTGCCGCAAACTTCGCCCCCTCGTTCCGGTCGACCGTCCTCTACACACAACAAGCGCGAGAGTCCCGATTCCCTTTGATACCGGCGCTTGCCACCGCGCTCCCTGCCGCCATCTCGAATCTACCCTCGCTGCTGGGCGATATATGGGAAGGGATACTCCGGGCGGTGCCTAAGAAAAAGACGTCGCATATGAAGAAGAGGCACAGGCAGATGGCAGGCAAAGCTCTGAAGGACGTGACGGCGCTGAACAAGTGTCCGGCTTGCGGGGGCATAAAAAAGATGCACGTGTTATGTTCCGACTGCATGGGCCGTATGTTGCTCCTCTCCCCGCCTACCGCCACGATATCTATCCACTACTAACGAGTACGGGTCCCTTATAGGCATTGGAGGTATGCTTGCACGCGAGTTTAAGAGGACATGATCGGGCGGGGCACGGGCTGGACCATTAAGAGAGAGGCAAATGCCCCAGACAGATACGTGAACTACACACTAAACTACTGAAATGTGCGCATACGCACAGCTAGTATTCTGGCGCCCTAGGTTTCTACGGAGGCCGACTAGGCCGCTCGGCAGTGCGGCAACCGACAAAATGCTACATACCAGACGTTCTATATTGCACCTCTTCTGTCCCTGGCTTACGATACACAGCCATTGGCCTCCACTCGACTTCTACGCCCACAGGATCGTTGCCTTCGTTCGCAGTGCCTCCTCTTGAAGGACGTCGCTATGCATACACCAGGTATATATGTAGATATCCGCAATGAGAGTCGTGTTGGTCAACTCCCAGTTTGTATGCTAAACTGTAACATTCGCCCACTCCCTCTCCAGTGATGACGTACCTGACTTGAGTGCACGTTCACATGTTTTGCCCTCTTGACTAGCGGTGCGTGATCATCCCAATTGCTTATACAACTTTCACTGGCTTACAGCAATATTGATATGTCCTTGAATGGCTTATGCAGGTCGCCATTCGACCCCGCTCCGGGCTAGGTAGGTACTCTCCTCTCTATACCTAGGTATACCTACCTGTAGCAGTCAATCCCCTCACCATTTCTGCAGAGCTCTCCACAGCTCCCAGCCGCCACTCCACCAGACAGCAGCCTCTCGGGCAGTCTACGTGAGCCGATATCAACCATGGTATGTCAGAAGAAAAGGGCCAACGCTGTACTCTAGAAGTTAGATTTGCTCATCCCAGTCTAGTCAAAGCAATACCTCACCACGCATACCATCGACAACGGTAAGCATCGTCTTGTCTCCCCTCCGGCGGCCCCGTTGGGCTCTAGCTCGTCTCGAGTGATTCGACGTCGTGCATTAAGCAGGCTTCGTACTGACGACATATCCGCCAGCACACGTAACCGACATCTTCTCGATAGCAGCCACGCCCACCGCGTTGCTCTCCGCGAGCGGCTCCTCGACTCTGCATATACACTCCACCTCCGACCCAACCACCCCCCTCATACAGTCTCTAACAGGCGCACATAAGCTCGGCTGTCACCATGTCGCCGTCTCCCGCAATGGCAAGGTTGCGGCGTCAGCCGGCTTCGGCGGCGATGTGAAGATATGGAAGCTCGCCGACTCGGGCACGGGCGATTGGGAGCCATTCGGAGAGTTAGATCCCACAAAAGGTGCGGAAAGAGGGGCTGGCGAGATCTGGGCCGTTGCGCTCAGTGAGGACGGCCACTACCTGGCCTCCACCACCTACGACGGTCGAATTAACGTCTGGAACCTGTACGGAGACAGGTCGACAACGGTTCAGGAGTACGAGACCGGTAGCGCGGGTACTGGTACCTTTGGTCTATGTGTGGACCTAAGCCGTGACGGGAAGTACACGGCAAGTGGCCACCAAAGCGGTGCTGTCTACGTCTTCAATAATAACACTGGCCGATTGCAATATTCGCTCCCTGGTAGGTCGCGTGACCCGGGCGTCGAGGAGCGACGTCACTCGCCTTTGCTTTCAGGGGGCTAATCTGAGAATCAGGACTCGTCAAACCGATCCGTGCTGTAGCCTTCTCACCTGCGGGCACGCGTTTAGCGGCCGCCGGAGATGCGGCTGTAATCGCAATATACGACACAAAACATGGCGAGCACGTCGGTAACTTGACCGGCCACACGTCGTGGATCACTTCTGTTGACTGGAGTGATACAGGGGAGTATCTTCTCAGCGGCTCTTTCGATGGCAAAGTCAAGGTGTGGTCTATCGAGAGAGGTGCTTGCGTAGCCACGCACAGCGAGACCGACAAGGCGCTGTGGGCTGTCAAATGGTTACCCAAGACGGTCCGCAACGAGATGTTCTGTACGGCGGGTGCCAACAGAAGCTTGACATTCTACCGCGAAGCTACTGGCGCATAGATGGTTCGGCTTACTCGGAATCTTCCTCGCGGAAGGGAAACTTGTTTAGTTGGCGTTACGAGTAAGGGAATTAAAGAAAAGCGAATTTGACATATCTATAGCCAATTTCGCTCGTATGCTGCTTCTGTCGTTTGAACATGGAGGAAATGACCGCTATGTGACTTAACGAGCTGCGTTTTCCGTACATCGCCGTGTTTCTATGCCTCAATTACCCTAGTAAAGCTAACTGTAACTGGGATATGTAATTAATTGTAATGGTTACTAGGAGAGAGTTTGTAGATTGTTTTTAACCGTTATCTAGTAAGCGACAATCGAAACGAGGGGCATTCTACAAGAATTTTCCGAGGTCACCTTAAGTGGTCAACTAATACGAAACTACTGCGTACGCTGGTGAGGGCATGTGCAAGCAACCTCAATCGCGTCCCTGAATAGAAAACTTATTGCCGGCATAATGCCTAACTACCATCTCGACAATTACCTACAGACACCGGACACAGATTTCGTCCTCGCTGGTTGTGAATGTGCGCACTACTACGAATGTATTAACCTGCAGTAGATATTTGACCTATGGCTTCATATCGTAGCTTATAGAAATGTAGGCAGGCAACTGAGAATGGACTTCTAGTGACTCGAACCGGCTATTCCCTATTGGTTCGAGATCATGTATTCAGGATCTTACTCCCCTACACCGCGCGCCCTTCCGGCGCCGTACCCGTCATGACAGCCTGTATCGCAGATTATTCCCCTGACGTACCAACAAGCGACTCTGGCTAAACCCAACCTACAACCACCAGCTCATACAATGCAATAGTTGGAATCACAGAACGCCTATCTAGGATAGGCTGTCATACCTAGGCGTCTAGGTCACCAATCCTACAACTTATTCATCCTCTACCTACCGCCTTACTAATATCTACTACTTGCCCTCCAATACCAAGCCATCTCTTCAGAGCGATGACTCGGGCCACCACGCAAACAGCTTCGGTACCAAAAGCAGTAAAAATTCCAAGCCCGCCTGGCACTGCCGAGGAGGAGACGGTAAAATGGGGGAGCCCGGTAGACACACCCCCCACCCCCCCTTCCGGTCATCACCGTCACGTCTGAGCACTACATCCGATGGCTCGCGCAGACGGTTTCGCGGGCGTCGACCCAGAGCCAGATCACGGTGCTCTTCGAGACAGAGAGGCACTGGGCTCATGGGGGGGACTGGCGGCAACGGACCTAGACGCGGCAACAATGATGGGGTTTGTGCAGCGGTGAACGGCGCGGAGAGGCGGTAGGGATGTGGGTGCGATTGCGCCAGTCTGGCTCGAGGCCGGGGAGTGAGCTAGCGGAGGAGATCTACGCGCACTTCGGGTTCCGCGAGGTGGGTAAGGTGGAGAGGTCGCGGGGATCAAGACCTGGGGGATGATATATTAGAGGGGGGATATCAAGATGAGAGCATGATACTATGTAGGAGCCTCGGAGTCTCGGAGCGAGATGAGAAACGTTGTGTGTGAAGCTGGGGCAGATTGCTGTACATCGGGCGTTTGTTTGGAAAAGGGGCAATAAGATGTGGTCACAGGCATGGTATGAACATGACTTGTAACATCTCATAGAAAAACTACCACCAGTCTCTGCATTGATTCTGAACCTGTATTATGCGTCTACGGACCTCAGATGCCTTTGTTGACTTGTTTTCACAGTCATGCCAACTGTGGGCAGTCTAGATGGCACGGTGGTTTTATATAGATTACGGTAAGACTGCCTCCCTCCTACCTCTACTTACTATTACCCACCAGACCGCCTACACAAAGGCATGCCTTACGCAGCCAGCAATAGGTAGGTATACAATGAACTAAGCGCACAGTTTCAGTGCCAGGTACAGCCATTTGTCCTTGCCACAGCGATTGCTACCTGTAAACTCGCCCAAGTTGAACCCCTGAACCCCCCTTACAACAGCTCGCACTGTAATCTAGGCACACCCAACAACAATTATAGCCAAATAAAAGCAAAAATCAAGTCTCCGGAACCTCTGGCATGGTCGCAGTAGTGCAGATTCATGAATATAATAGGGTATGTTGGGTAAATCCCTTGGGTTGGGGTGGCAACCGCCAGGGTCAGCCTAGGTCCAACGACAACAACATGACAGCAATGGAATAACAACAGGTACCCCCCAGCATGACCTCCGGACGAGGAACGATACTACTGTGCTCCCTAGACGTCAGTTTGCAAACCGGAGATAAGCTGGCCTTGAATCACACCTACCCACACAACAGCTCTACCCAGTATGAGGTATCATCCCTCCACCAAGGGACAACTTGGCACCAGACGGTGTGTTAACAATCCGAGACACAAACGATCAGTTCACTTAGCTATTCAACACGTTCCCCGCTTTGTACTACGAGATCTTCCTTTCGGTGGGCAGGGAAGGTTCTCACATCTCACTTGGTACTTGGGTGTGTAAGTATAGGGACCACAGGTGCCCGCGTTTCTATAGAGCATCTAATAGTATATGCTACAGGCAACAGAGAGCACAGCGGATGTACTTGTTTGTGTACCTACGTCCTTGGTAGTTGCCTACGTCCTTAGTAGTAAGCATCATGACGAAACAGGATGCCCCCTAGGCAACCGAACCAGCACACAAGCCGCCTGTTTCGCCTGTCAGGACAACTACAGAGCTTCCTAGTTGTCTAATCAACTCACCGCCCTGCTGCGGAAAACGGGGCAGATCCTCTGAGTATAAATTCGTCCCCAGGCCGCCGATTTCTTGACTTCTCTCCCTCCCTCTCATTCTTGTTTTCCATCCTCAACATGACTTCAGCACACACCCTCCTCAGGCATACTTGAGCCCTTCCCAAGGGTCTTTCTTTCAAGGAAGATGCCGAATCATTATCATCTTGTCCCTTTGACAAGCCAATATACCTCGTCACTTGCTCATCCTTGCTGTCATCTATGTTGACTACAACGGCTTACACGCCTACCACTCAGAAGTGTCCTGGATGGGATTCCTTCTAATCGGATAACCTCATAGCCCAGAGCTGGGAAGAAGTTAGTGAAGTCAGGATTCCGAGGCGGCCAAGACGCACGGCAACCCCGGATGGCATCCAGCGATGGTTAGTATTCCCGCCAATACTCGTTCAGCTATCCCCTTTGATGCAGATTTCACGTTTGGTAGCTCTCTTCCCTGTACCTGCCATTCCTTATTCCTCTTGGCCTTGCCCCAGGCTACTGTGAACATCTCCTATGTTACATCTTATTGACAACTGCCCTCTTGTTCTTGGGCTTCCACTCCTCTCTCTGCTCCCTTCTTTTTTTAAATAGAGAACCACCATTGTGTCGTCTCCTTTTACTGCCTGTCACGTTCTTGTGGGGTTTATATGACCCAGTAACCACCTAATGAGTCCCTTGCTCAATCATCCGGTTGACACTAACAGTACAACTTAGGTGGGTGGGATATTAAGACCCAAGTTACGGCCACCACAGATACGGCATCCTGCAATCCAGGGTTACTCAATCTCTACACCATTCTCTGCGTATCCCATGGGGGACATCCGCGCCCTCCACGACATAACGATCCACGACCTCGAGAAGAGGAAGGCGGCCTTTAAGGTCGACCCCTACTAGACCCTAGGCCACCGATCGGCGGGGTCCTTTGATTTCCTAACCCTCCAGTACCTCCGCGACTACCTCGCGTCCGCCTTAGTCTTCACGATTCATATAGACCTAGCCGACCTGGACCGAGCCACCGCCAACCCTGCCGAATTCTCCCAAGCCCACTTCGCCGTAGTGCTTTATTCCCCGAAACTCCGGAGGCTCTTTAGTTTTAATACGATCAGGGACGGCGCGCTCGACCGGGTAGGGCACGCGCTCGGGCAACTATAGCGAGCCTAAGAGGAGAACAACCTCGAGCCCTCCATAGCCCCCCAGTCCGCATGCCACGTCGCGTTACTAGACCAGCAAGACGGCTTCAGTTATAGCTTCTGAAGCGGCATCATACCGCATCTTATTTTCAAGCGGCCGATCGAGGTCGCCCGGCAAGCCCAGGAGAACGGGGGGCTTGACCTCCTTAGAACGGTAAAGGAGTACGCCGAGATAAAGGAGTACGCCGAGGTCGTGCAGTAGTTCTACGGCGTTCGGATATTAAAGGGGGGGTCGATATTATCAAGGGCCTCCGGCACGCCGTAGAGCAGAAGAAGCGATTCGACCTCGTCGCTGCCATGGCCTCCGGCCAGAGCTCCCCGATCGGGGAGGCCCCTAGCCGACGATCCTCTGTCCGCTCCATTACGTGGGCGGAAGTCCGGCGCTCCTCCGTCGCCTCGGTGCCTAACCCCCCTCGCTCCCTCGTCTCCGCCGACGGACCCGCCTCCCTCCGCTACGAAGACCTCGTCGAGGTCACCCACCGCCCGCTCCCACCCCCTGGCCCGGAGAGAATCAGAGCCTTCCTGTCTGGGGAGGTCTCCACGCCTTATAGGTGGAGAGGGGACACCTGCTGGCGGGTATGGTCGAGCTACCCAGATGACAGGACCGACACAGCTAGTGAGTTAATACCCTCCAAAAGTACTCACACACACACCATGGTGAGCGGAAGGAAATCTGTGCTAATTTCATGCAGCTAGTGCCTACGCCGATCTGACTTTCCCCCCTTATGTTGGTCTGCCCAACATTGGGTTGACTCCTTGGACACATTCAGCTGCCCCTGCGTCTAGAGCGATGGCTGAGAGGTTCATCATCTCAGTTGCCCCCATAGTAACAGTAGAAATTCAAGTTAGGTCTCCCTCTCCTCAGAACCTTCGCACATCCGCCAGCTCGTATTTCGTGCTAACTGTTCCGTAGACTCGACCAACCGCGTGATGTGGAGCTAGCTTCATTCCTCCCCACTCCCCAGGGGGTTGCTTTACGTCTACTGTCACGTACAGAAGCGGCCATCATTATATGCCAACATCTACAAGCTGTAGAAAGTAGGCGTCTACGTTTTACGCGACATCTGCTCATCAGTTCACTTACCAGGGGGCTGCAGCCAACGGATATGTTCTAACTTGCTAGAGGCTACGACCGCTGCCCACCTGCATCAATTTGAGCAGGACTGGTGCGCATCAGATCAACAGTCAACAGACCAACAAGTATCAAGGCGATGCAGTACTAGACCTCCATGGGGGCAAGGAGATGCGCCTGACACCTACCCGGTTATACCGTTCCGCTTCCACATGAAATCTTCCCTCGGACAGCCAGCAGGGACTTGGGGGTTATTCACAACCCTAAGGTTCCCAGAATATTTCCAACAGGGTTATTTCTACCAGAGCTGAGCCACCTGCTACCCCATAACCCAGGAGAGTCCACAATACGGCCCTCCTTACG